CAGGTAATTTGCTTTATATTTATCCATATCATTCGGAAAAAAACTACGAGATTTTTAATATTAACTAAATTATTTTATTAACTATTATAATATTATGCAATGAGAAATGTTTTAAATCTTCTGTCAATATATGCGCCACATCAATGCAATACGAATCAATGAACCTCGAGCGGGACCTCTCAGTTTAATGAAGTTTTTGTTTGTGGTAGGGACTCGAACCCTAACCCTTAGCAAAAACCATGGCTATTCGCTGGCGAAGTAGAAATGTTGATCGAGCCGGAAGAAGTTGCTTGAAAAATTTGTGAGAACAGTAGTCTAACTTCAAAAATAATATGAAAAATAAAATGTTTTCAGGCTGGAGAGATGCTATTATAGCGAAAATTACATTGCCTTAATTTTGAGTGGGATTCACTCAATTAAAGCCAGGATGAGTTGAGGAAAGTGTGTCCAATATCGGTACTCCGCCAGGAATCAAATTAAGCTATATACGCCTTTGCGACCCCGGTGCAATCTGCAATGCTTCTGCATTAGCTACAGAGATAACTTAGAAGAACGAGCGTAGTTGGTGTGGATTAAGAATCGTAATTCCTACGAGTAGGTGACTGAATCACTGAATTAAGACTCTGGGTCCTAGTTTTGAGTGGAAATGATACACACATTTATTTCAGACGTTGACGAGTGTTCCCTGGGAACTCACAAATGTCACTCAAACGCAACATGCAATAACACCATTGGCTTCTACGAATGTCACTGTCGCAGAGGATTTGCTGGAAATGGGACAACATGTTCAGGCAAGATTATTTTAATCGACTTTTTTATATAGCTAGAGGCTCGAACCAAGTAGACAAACTCATTGATATAAGCACTTCTAGCTGCAAGTAAGGAATCTGGTACGACATTGTTCTCTCTTATGAAGTCGAGTGTACCAGCATTCTTTTGACGGATAAATTTCTTAAATGCAATGCAATGCAATGCATGGAAATAAATTATATCAAACAATGTAAGTGGTCATCGACTATGCTCCTGACAAGATGGTTTATTTCAGACGTTGACGAGTGTTCCCTGGGAACTCACAAATGTCACTCAAACGCCACCTGCAATAACACTATTGGCTCCTACGAATGTCACTGTCGCAGAGGATTTGCTGGAAATGGGAAAACATGTTCAGGCAAGATTATTATAATCGATTTTTCATATGCAACTCAAATTTGACTCACTTTTCTTAACTGTTCCCTCACTGAATTTTAGTTGTGATTTCCTCTCAAAATGAAAAGTCTCAAACCTTCTTTTTTTAATTATCCTTCATCGAGTAAAGTGCCACAAAATCAATATAATTATATTTTCCTGGGGCGTAGAAAGAATCTAAATTTTTTCTTTGTGGGGCACAAGTTTCCAGAGGAACTTTTCAGTTTATAAACAGGGCAGTTAAAATGCGTATATGCATGGGTGGTTTAGTTGCTTTAGTTTGTTTTTTCCTGAACAATTTTAAAGTTTAGGATGTATACATTTTTGAAAGCTGAACCCAAAGAAGAGACGGAACGTTAAAAGCTATTTTATTTTCATTCCCACGGAAACTAATTCAAGAGGTTTTAAACCCGTTTACAATAAATTATTATTGTATTTATTAACCACAGGCCGCTAAATTGTGATATAAATCCGTGATTTTTTAGGTCTCCACTGCGCTGATTTTTATGAAAAGGGAAAGAATAAAGCGGCATTTATGAAATTAATCCAGATGGAAAGGGAAGTTTCAAAGTTTTTGTGATATGACAACATCAGGTGGAGGATGGACTGTATTTCAACGTCGTCTTGATGGAAGTGTTGACTTTTACCGAGGATGGGAAGATTACAAACAAGGTTTTGGTAACTTGAGCGGAGAATATTGGCTTGGTCTTGACAAAATACACAGGATGACAAATATTTCACAAAATGAACTTCGTATCGACTGGAAGATCTCTGGAAACACCATACGCTCATTATGATTCATTTAAGTCAGCAGTGAATGAGAAATACAAGTTGAATATTGGAGGTCTCATGGTAAGCATTTTAAACTAAACTGAGTCATATTTTATAAAATTATAAGATAGTCCAGCTCTCTATGCAATCAACTTTGCAGTGAACCATTAAATCCAGCATATTAAATATGTATATAGGAATATTATCAATGAGTGATCCATAAATATAATTGAAACGAGGCAGTTTTTGTATTAACTCGAGAAATGTAAAATATCTCCATTTTGAATTTGCTAAACTTTTAACAAAAAAATCTCAGGACATTCGATTACGTGCATTAATTATTGCACTCCTATTCGTTCTATTACCATTATTTGCAGGATCTCACTGAAAACTCTATATATAGGTGATGTTGGTGTCCTGGTTAAGTAAATAATAATTAATTGATTTTTTTGCATTAATTAAGGTACAGCAGGAAACGCGTTGGGAAGACAAAACGGTATGGCTTTCACCACCAAGGACTCTGACAATGATATTTGGAATGGTGGTAACTGTGCGGTGACATTCAAAGGAGCCTGGTGGTATCATGATGGTCATTATTGCAATTTGAATGGTTTTTATCATTATGGCGCACACACATCGTACGGTGATGGAGTCAACTGGTACTATTGGAAAGGATTAAAATATTCTCTGAAATCAACATCGATGAAGATACGACCACGTGAATTTGGAAAGAAGAAATAAAGATGTTGAACAATAAAAAGACATAAGGTTTACTTTACAAAACGTGTAGTGCACTAATACGTGTCTTGTTAGTTTTTCAAAATATTTAAAATAGAGATTCTTTTCCTACCATTAGCCTAACCCGCAGTTAATAGAATATACACAGTTTGGAGACTAAATAAAAATACAATACAAGTCATTAACTATGTTATTGTCCAGGTTTATGCAAAAAATGGCTCCTTTCTCGTCACGTATTTATTGTATTTTAGCGAAACTTACCAATGGCATTCGTCTTGCAAAGCTCATCAACCCGGATTTGAAATATATGTTAATTATCGCTTAATGATGAAGAAGAGAGCAGATGAATGATTAATTTTGCGTGCCTGATATTTCTACAACTGAGGAGCCTTGTCCCAGAGTTAGTCAGCGAAGCCTGTTAAAATCTTTAAAATCTAAACCTAGATTAGTTTAACCAGTGTTACCCGGCAGATTAGCAAGTTGACAAACCTGGTGAGGTGGGTTAAATTTAGCCCATGGGTTAGCACGCTAATCCGTTTTGAACAATAGATTAATATTAATATATAAATTAATTAATAACAAAATTATGTTACCGGGGGGGGTTGTTCCTTTCCACTGATATTGAGAGGACTTGCGCGCGAAAATGTGAAGCTAAAATTGAGATATTATTTAGCTGTCTAAAAGTAGGAAAGCTTTTTAATAAACTGTCGAAGTTTCAGGAAAAATAATGCATACTGGGAGCAACGCGCGACCCCTTAAATTGACAAATATTCCATTGCGCGCAGTGGACTAAATGCATCGTTGATTTTAGCGTGACAGAACTCATGCAAGGTTGTGCAAATGAATAAATTAAAGCGAGAAACTTAACAAAACGACGAAACGATTTAATAACAAGATTTTTATTCGTGATGTTAATCCTCAATATTTCCACCATTACTTTCTAAGCAATCTGCGGCTCGTCTGAGCACGGTAAACACCGTATATGAACGGCGAACCATTTGTCGAAATTCTTTCTTGCAAATCGCCTACGCTACCACCGGCAAACCTAGGCGAATGGACAGACAAATGGTTCGCTTTTCAGTGTTCACTATGCTCAGATGAGCCACAGCTTGCTTAGAATGAAATGGTGGACATGCTGAGGATTAATATCACGAATAAATCGCAATCAACTTCAGCTACACATTTTCGCGCGCAAGCCCTCTCAATATCAGTGCAAAGGAACACCCCCCTGGTAACAAAATTTTGTTAATGAAAAACCAAACTTGGCCTAGGTATACCAGATAAGTTTTAACTAATCCCTAGGAACACAAAAATTTGCCAAATTCTGCAAAATATCCTAAAAAACGAAAATTTTACATTTGGGACACTTTTTTTGATACACCCTGTAGTATAATAGGAGCTTCTTTGGCTGAAGGGATAGCTTTCCATAGTATAGCACAGAATATGACGGCTTTTAAATCCCTCTCAGTGTATTAAACTAGGCTGCTCGTATGTCGAGGCCGTGTTTTGGGCACTTGTAGTCTTGTATAGTTTTTGGTTTAACACGTTTTGAATCATTAGCTGTTGTAAATAATCGGTCTGTAGCAGATCTGTTACAATTTACATTAGACATTCTCAAATGACGCATTTAAACTGGTTTTTGCTTTGTAATAATCTCTTTTTTCAGATTTGTCGTTAAAATTGCATACAAGTTGCTTACAACATGTAAAACAAAATCGCTTTAAACGATTTTAAATCGCTTTCAACGAACGAATGCATCGGATTTTTTAAGCTCGATAGAAAGAACATTCGTTTTCCATAAGGTACTTAAGATTAAAAGGCTGACCCTGTGCGCGAGAATCAATTCAGAAACGTTTTATTTCTACTAATTCAAAATGTTACACACCTCTTCTAGCATCCGAAAAAAAATTAGAACGGGGACAAACTTTTTAGTCATAATGCGCCCAGCACATTTTTAAAAAAATTCTTCAAGGCCTTTCGTGTTACAGGGTAAAACTGCGAAAAAAACACGTGAATCCTTTCTCGAAATTCATGAAATTTAAACCAGATATTTCGAGAACCAAACAGAGCATATCTTTGCCAAAATGTTTCCAATCGTTTACAAACTAGGAAATATTTTGCACAAAATAGTACGAAAAAAAGGGTTTAAAACGGTCATATTTCAGCCATGATATATCTTCATCGTCAAAATAATTTGTTCATTATAATTATATGAAGTATGGGAGATGAGAATGATGACCGCCAATGGCTGTTTTGCGGGCTCGCTGTTCTTCCGCGCGGAATATGTAATAATGTAAACAAGTTTTAGCCTATATCGTGAATACGTTTTAAAGAATAGAAGAAGCAACTTTTTCCAGTATCAGGAAGCCTCTCTTTCCTATTAAAAAAGTAAGTATGATAATGTGATTTATTTATTTCTATTTTCTTAACATAGCCATGTCTAACTAAGCGTGCTATGCAAGAAACACGTAGCCTCTTTCGCACGCATTGCATGCGTTGTGGAGTCTAGACGACAGGTTGATTATACTTATCAGTGATTCTTGATGATACGTTATCAGTTTTGCAGGTTAGTATTTGTATTTGGCTTAATTGCTTATGCTTCTACTGATAATATAAATGTTAGCACGGTATTTATGTTTACATTCTGTATTTTGTGCCGCCACATCGATAAGACGATATGTTTAAGGTAAGTTTAGCGCTCTCACAATTCTCAATTACGCTTTTTTAACATTCAATGTAAAAAATCCCCCTGCCATAGTTATATTTTAGTCATATATCCAGTAAATGCATTTTCGCATTGAAATATGAGGTCATTATGGACGGATAAACAAGACCTGTCAAAATGTCAAATTTTCGCTGTTCAAAAACACGCTCGCCTCAGGCTACTTCCGCATCACACGTCGATCAGCGCGCGGTCTTTCGTTGCACCGCCCTATATATAAGCACCCTGCAATACACTCGAGTTCTTTATTCCGATCGCAAACACGAGAAAAATCATCTGAAAGCTGTATTGCGTTGTTTAAAATCCCGACCACTTCGTACATCTTGTCCTCTTGCAGTGCTTTATCAGTTCTTGCAGAAGGTCCCGTTGCTCGTTACCTATAGCTAACAACTCATTCTCAAAACCCGATCGATAAAGCTCGTCACAGTTTCTGTATTAGTTGCCACATCTGTCCTGGTATTTTGCTGACCTTCTTGAGCTTGAGTAACAGGCATTTTTCCGACTCAGTGAGGTGAAAAGAACCCCAACTGAAATCCTGGCGGGGTCGCCAATGTAATAACTCGCTTAGCTTCGAACAAAAAAACTATCTTAAACACCACACGCTTCACATAATTTATATACTGTTTTTGGAGCATATTTCTATACGCGCGCAATCTTTACTCACGCATACTAGCTACGTGTAAAAATTATTAGTCTTTATATTTACATTCACCACAATATGTTATATAATTTTTATTTTGAGTTTGGGAGCAGAAAAAAATGGACGACGTTAATTGAGCCAGCTGCAGATGATGACGATCGAACTTTAATCTCTAGCAAAAATTAACATTCGGCATTTCATAATTTAAAATTGACATGATTAAACAACAGCCGGATATTATTTATCGGTTATGGCAAGGAAAGCCGGTCAATGTTTTTAAGTTGAAACGCGCATGCGATGCTGAATTCCGTTCGAATAACACAAAACACCGAACGTGATTTTTTCTGAGCATTAAAATGACGCGTTCCTATGTTATTGTAACTGGCTAGTTTATAACATGCATAGTAAAGTTCTCGTAGTTTAAATTTGTCTAGTCAAACAAAATTATTTCCTGAAGAGACAACAAAAATATGGCCTTGATAATGTAAACTAAAAATATTTAATATGATAATAGGGAGTTGACGATCTACGACGGGATTAGCTCGACGAGGCTAATGGGAAATTGTTTAACCTGACGCGACTTTGAAGTATAATCATGTAAGCGTTTCAATTGTTCTTCGTTTTTTTAGCTAATCATTAATTGCAGTTTTATATAAACTGTAAAAAAGCAGCTATCACTTCGCATCTGCTTTCATGTCGCCCAGAAGCCGTGAAATTGCCTCATTTGAAGGCGTCTTAAGAATGGCAACGCTGTTCTAGGACCACAAGGGCTGAACGTTTTTAGCCGTGTACACCTTTGCTGCAATGCCAATGGTGAGAGGACGTTTGTACTGTACTCACTTGTGCGCATGCGCGCGTATCTTTTCAAAAACGTGAGCAGAACGTTGAACAAATGAATGAACACTCACAGATGTTACAATAAGAAAGTACAATTCCCTTTTTTCCTACATTGGCCTCCATGCTGTATACATACATTGAAGATATTTGCTTCTGCAATTCTCTTTAAATTCTTCACAATTATTAAGTGTTTATTTTACTGAAACGAGAACAACGATCAAAGCAAAGAATTATAAAAATAATTTTTCTAAAAGCTTTTCTGCATTTCACATGTCTTCTTCCGTAGATGAAAGCATTCACGATCGAGTTTATTCCATAAATCTCAAAGTTAATAACTGTGAACCAAATATGTCGGCATGAACGACTACAGTAGGTGTCCAACAAGGCCCCGATAGCTGTTGGTAAAAAACAACAGATCACCAGCACTAAAATAACAAAGGAAAATGTTTTCGTTTCTGTAAACGCTTGAAATAGACGAATTATAACCCTTGTCTTGCCAGACTTTTCGTTGTGGTTGCTGCAGCCTGCGACCATTGATTCGTCAAAGATTCGTTTGCGTTGTTTCCGTGACACACGTAAAATTCGAAAATTTAAAAGAAATATTAGAGAAAGCAGAATACAGCCAAGAAAACCTAGCAAAGGATAGCGAATGCTGTCAGAGATTTTGCAAACACTTCTGATTCTTTTGTCACTCCGATAGTGAACATGAAGTACAACATAAAGACAACAAGCAGTCAGCCAGACTCCAGAAATGGCCAGAAATACTCGTCGACGTGTCACAATCATGAGATATTTGAGAGGTTTTTGGATGAATAAATAACGATCAACAGTAATTAAGAGAATTGTAGCCACTGAAGCAAACAACAATGACCAAATTATAGAACGACTTAACTTACAAAACAAGTCCTGATCACTTTCAATGTTTAATATAGTCTGAATAAACTCGATGATCCATAGTGGATAAAATGTTAAACACACGAGAAGATCCGCTAATGCCAGGTTTGCTATCAAGTAAGATGTCGCTGTCTTTTCTTTACACAACAAAATTGTGTATATTATAACTATGACATTTCCCAATACTCCAATAATCATCGCAATAAATTTAAAAGCAATTGAGAAGATAAAAACACTGCTGGAAACTGGAGCGAAAGTTGTCCCATTAGTCATTTTTGAGCCGTTGTATTAGTGAAATTTTGACAACACGTACGTTGACAGGAAGTGATTTCACCAATCACAATCCTTGACCGACACTTTTGACGTTACTCGTGCCGTTTGTGTTGCTTAAGCTCAATAATAACAAACTTTCCTGTAAGTGCGAAACTTTTGTGACGGTTTTCGATGTACACCTGCTTGCTGACGTATGGATAGGTTTCAAAATACGAGTAGGTTTTACTAAACCGAGCTAAAAAAGGGTGATTATCTTGGTTAATTTGATGATATGCATAATTGTTACATTCCCCTTATGCTCAATAATCACTGCGATAAATTTAAAAGCAGCTGAAACATAGGAACACTGCCGGTAACTGGGACGATAAAGTTGTGCCATTAGTCATTTTTAAACTCACATATCGTTGTTTAGCAGTGAATAATGTAGCCTACATTTTATAATTATACGATCTCTTTGGATTTGAAACATATTACTTCAGCTACATGCATCTGGCATTAGCACATTACGTACGCAACTTTTTGCATATAATGTACTTGTATGAGGAGGTTCATTAAATCAACTTTTCGCATAATTTATAAAGTACTTGCACGAGGAGGTTTATTTAATCAAAGTCCGTTCCAATAAGAGAATTTCGTTCGGATTACAAGCAAAAATTAGGCAAGTGCATGACGTCTTTTGACCATGTGACAACGCGATAAATGAAATGATGAACTCAACAATGGAGTTTATTTAATTCTCGAGGAGAAGTAAAGAATTCAGAGGGATCCTACCTTCCATACTTTTTTAACGACACTCCTTTGAATAAACGTAATGTGATTGGTTTAGAGGAATAACATGTAAGTTAGTTCAAATTTTAAAACCAACAGCTGTGTATGAGCTGATTGCGTATCGGCAAGGTCCATTCAAAAGCAAACATCTGTCTTCTTCAAACTTATTCAAATTTGAACATTTTCAACCTACTAGAACATATTATTGTCCTAATTCCCAGCAGATATTCTGACTGAAAACTGCTAGTCTAAATTAATTCTTCTCTGTTACGTCATTCGGGAATTCTGAATGTCTTTGACTGTCAAGAAATTGCCAAACTCCTATGCTTTTAACGAGAAATCATTTGCACTTCATAAATCGATCCTTTTTTATTTGTAGAAATGAATTTGTTTATTGCATTTTTATTTATTTCAGTTGTAAGAATTTATGTCAATTAAATTTAAATTTCATAAAAACACATCCCATTTTCTTGTAACATATTCTAAAAAGTTCTATAAATAATATATAAATATGAGTTTACGCACCACTAAAAACCTTAACGCCACCGAGTTTACATGTAACTATTGCCATTCCGTCATGAAATATAACAATGATAATTATTTACAGTGTAGTCGAAGGGTGTCCCCCTTTGTCTAATACAGAGTGTCACCCCTCTGTTTCTAACAGAGAATTACACCCTCTCCCCTGCAGGGTATTTCCACCTATGACTCTAACTACATGCGTCTTCTTCATGTCTCTAAAAGGGTTATTATCCCATATCTGACATTGCAGGAGAGTGGTGTGTGTGGCGTGTCTTGATACCCCAGCTCTGGTGAAATTAGTTTTAAAAATCAGTCTGAAGACCTAGATAGGGGACCAAGAAAGTCGGACAAATAATTCAGTGATCGCCGACTGCATGTAGATGACGTGCAGAACCAGGTTTTACTACAGAAAGAGTTTGTAATTAGGAAAGTGAAGTGAATTAGTAGTAAAATATTTAGTGTCGAGGAGTAAACAAAAACTCCACAAAATAAGAAAATTCAGAATTATAGGATGCAGAATTAAAACAAATTTTTAGTGACAATTACAGTCGAGAATTTTTAAGATAATTCCTCTATAAGCTTTTCTGTACTTGATATGTCGCACTCCGTAAATAAAAGCATTCACGATCGAGTTTATCCCATAAAACTCGTACTGAACAACTACATACCACATCTGTTGACATGAAGCACTACAAAATTTCTTTAACAGAGAACCGATGATTGTTGGTGCAAAGCAACAAATCGCCAACACTGTAATAACAATAGAAAATGTTTTTGCTTCTTTAAACGCTTGAAATAAGCGAAATACAACTCTCATACTGCCTGACTGTTCATTGTGGTTACTGGCGCTTACGATCGTAGCTTCATCGAAGATTCGTTTGCGTTGTATCTGAGCTAACCGTAAAATTAGGAAATTTAGAATGAAGATGGAAGCAAGTGTTATATAAATAAGGGATTCTGTAGAGTATTTAACGCTGTCAGTTAGTGTGCAGAGACTTCTGTTTTTTTCCTTAAATCTCCGATAGTCAACATTAAGTACTGCGTAAAGACAACAAGCAGTCAACCAGACTCCAGAAATAGCCAGAAATACTCGTCGACGTGTCACAATCATGGGATATTTCAGAGGTTTTTGGATGAATAAATAACGATCAACAGTAATTAAGAGAATTGTAGCCACTGAAGCAAACAGCAATGACCAGATGGTAGAACGACTTAACTTACAAAACAAGTCCTGATCACTTTCAATGTTTAATATAGTCTGAATAAACTCGATGATCCATAGTGGATAAACTGTTAAACACACGAGAAGATCCGCTAATGCCAGGTTTGCTATCAAGTAAGATGTCGCTGTCTTTTCTTTACACAACAAAATTGTGTATATTATAACTGTGATATTTCCCAATACTCCAATAATCATCGCAATAAATTTAAAAGCAATTGAGAAGATAAGAACACTGCTGGGAACTGGAGCGAAAGTTGTGCCATTAGCCATTTTTGAACCGTTATATTCTTTTGTGACGGTTTTCGATGTACAGGTGCTTGCTGACGTATGAATAGGTTTCAAATTACATACGAGTAGGTTTTACTAAACCCATATGCATAATTGCTACATTTCCCTTATGCTCAATAATCATCGCGATAAATTTAAAAGCAGCTGAAACATAAGAACACTGCCGGTAACTGGAACGATAAAGTTGTGCCATCAGTTATTTTTAAACATACATATCGTTGTTTAGCAGTGGATAATGAAGCCTACATTTTACAATTATACGATCTCTTTGGATTTGAAACATATTACTTCAGCTACATGCATCTGGCATTAGCACATTACGTACGCAACTTTTTGCATATAAAGTACTTGCATGAGGAGGTTCATTAAATCAACTTTTCGCATAATTTATAAAGTACTTGCACGAGGAGGTTTATTTAATCAAAGTCCGTTCTAATAAGAGAATTTCGTTCGGATTACAAGCAAAAATTAGGCAAGTGACGTCTTTTGATCATGTGACAACGCGATAAATGAAATGATAAAGAAATGATAAACTCAACAATGGAGTTCATTTAATTCTCGAGGAGAATTAAAGAATTCAGAGGGATCCTACCTTCCATACTTTTTTAACGACACTCCTTTCAATAAACGTAATGTGATTGGTTTGGAGCAATAACATGTAAGTTAGTTCAAATTTGAAAACCAACAGCTGTGTATCAGGTGATTGCGTGTCGGCAAGGTCCATGCAAAAGCCGATATCTGTTTTCTAAAACTCAGTATTCAAATTTGGACATTTAAAACCTACTAGAACATAATTATATAGTCGTAATTCCCAGCAGATATTCTGACTGAAAACTGCCGGTCTAAATTAATTCTTCTCCGTTATGTCATTGAGGAATTCTGAATGTCTTTGACTGTCAGAAATTGCCAACTTCCTATACTTTTAAAGAGAAATTATTTGCACTTCATAAATCGATCCTTTTAATTGTAGAAATGAATTTGTTTATTGCATATTTATTTATTTCAGTTTTATGAACTCATATTATGTCAACTAAATTTAAATTTCATGAAAACACATATCATCTTCTTGTAACATATTCTAAACAGTTCTATAAATAATATATAAATATGAATTTATGCACCACTAAAAACCTTAATTACGCCATTGAGTTTACATGTAACTATTGCCATTCCGTCATGAAATATGCAAGAAAACAATGATAATTATTCACAGTTTAGTCGAAGGGTGTCCCCCTTTGTCTAATACAGGGTGTCACCCCTCTGTTTCTAACAGAGAATTACACCCTCTCCCCTGCAGGGTATTTCCACCTATGACTCCACCACTCCACCACTAACTGCATGCGTCTTCTTCATGTCTCTAAAAGGGTTATTATCCCATATCTGATATTGCAGGAGAGTGGTGTGTGGGGGGTGTCTTGATACCCCAGCTCGGCCAAAATAGTTTTAAAAATCAGTCTGAAGACCTAGATAGGGGACCAAGAAAGTCGGAGAAATAATTCAGTGATCACCGACTGTAGATGACGTGCAGAACCAGATTTTACTACTTAAAGAGTTTGTAATTAGGAAAGTGAAGTGAATTAGTAAAATATTTAGTATCGAGGAGTAAACAAAAACTCCACAAAATAAGAAAATTCACAATTACAGGATGCAGAATTAAAACAAATTTTTAGTGACAATTACAGTCGAGAATTTTTAAGATAATTCCTCTATAAGCTTTTCTGTACTTGATATGTCGCACTCCGTAAATAAAAGCATTCACGATCGAGTTTATCCCATAAAACTCGTACTGAACAACTACATACCACATCTGCTGACATGAAGCACTACAAAATTTCTTTAACAGAGAACCGATGATTGTTGGTGTAAAGCAACAAATCGCCAACACTGTAATAACAAAAGAAAATGTTTTCGCTTCTTTAAACGCTTGAAATAAGCGAAATACAACTCTCATACTGCCTGACTGTTCATTGTGGTTACTGGCGCTTACGATCTTAGCTTCATCGAAGATTCGTTTGCGTTGTATCTGAGCCAACCGTAAAATTAGGAAATTTAGAATGAAGATGGAAGCAAGTGTTATATAAATAAGGGCTTCTGTTGAATATTTAACGCTGTCAGTTAGTGTGCAGAGACTTCTGTTTTTTTCGTTAAATCTCCGATAATCAACATGAAGTACAACGTAAAGACAACAAGCAGTCAACCAGACTCCTGAAATAGCCAGAAATACTCGTCGACGTGTCACAGTCATGGGATATTTCAGAGGTTTTACGATATATAAATAACGATCAACAGTAATTAAGAGAATTGTAGCCATTGAAGAAAACAACAATGACCAGATGGTAGAACGACTTAACTTACAAAACAAGTCCTGATCACTTTCAATGTTTAATATGGTCTGAATAAACTCGATGATCCATAGTGGATAAAATGTTAAACACACGAGAAGATCCGCTAATGCCAGGTTTGCTATCAAGTAAGATGTCGCTGTCTTTTCTTTACACAACAAAATTGTGTATATTATAACTGTGACATTTCCCAATACTCCAATAATCATCGCAATAAATTTAAAAGCAACTGAGAAGATAAAAACGCTGCTGGGAACTGAGGCGAAACTTGTGCCATTAGTCATTTTTGAGCCCTTGTACACCAGTGAACGACGAAGTATGTACCGACGTTGCGTTATAATATACTTTCTGGTTTTGAAATACACCTGACTGCATGTCCTGAGGTTAAACGAGAAATGGCGGCAAATAATGATGTGTTTTGCATTTTTGCAAGAGAGAAAATTAACATATGAATAATTACGCCATATGCAAGTTAATTTGCGAGTCTTATTTACTCAAACCGTAAAATTTTTATTTTCTTGAATTTGAATTTAAATATTTCAATGCACTGATATTGGGCCAAACGTCCAAAAGTGAAATTATTTTAAGTTTGTCTCGAACACTAGGACTGCCGGCAGCTGAAATGAGGGTTTTGCTTGAAACTACAGCTCATAGATAGATATCGCTAACGAATAGGGAGCCATATTAAAATATTTACCTTTTATTAAAGTTCTTCGTATATTTATCTATCATATTTATCTTTAAAGGAGCAATTTCTTTCGTTATTTATACTAGGAAAATTGGAGCAGAAAAGTTGGAGTATTAACTTGATTACGTATAATCTAATATCGTGTTCAGCTAAACTGCATGATTATCTATAAAACATCTATCCATGCATATATTGTGATATAGTCAGGCATTTTTGCAAGGAGTCAGACAGACGAAAAGTTGAACGTGCCGCAGGCTTAGTCTTCCGCGCGGACAGTCGCAAATTTACAGGGTGTCAACAGCTGGGCATTTTGTTGTCGCTGTCTAAAAATTGCGGGCGCATTTCTTCAAGAAAAATTTTAATTCTTCGAACGCCAAAAACATGTATTTTGAGGAGCTTTTTCTCCATTTTTACTGGTTTGTTCACGGAAATAAAAGGGTGTATTCAAAGATTACGTTCCCGTGCTTGCATACAAGGGTATAACGACATTCTCACGTAAATATTTGCGAAAGATTTTTATTTGCAAATGGGCGACAAGTTGAAGTATTTCACTCATTGTCAAAGTTTCAGGACCAGGTTACAGCAGTATGCAAACAACGAATTAACCCTATTTTACTCTTGACAGAAGCTGACATATTGTTGTTTCCACTGGCGTGTTCATTAATCTATTTGTCCCTTCTCACGCGAAATAATAAGTACCTTAACATGCATTTTTCTATAGAAATAACACCTTTTCCTCTTTCGATTTCGTGAAAACTGACCTTTGCCTTCAGTTATAAAGTATATTTTATGAAAGTTAAATCATGTTTTGTTTTATTGAAACATTAGCCACTCATGGAAAAAATGCTCTAGATGTTGTAATTTCACAAACCACTTATGCTCTGAAAATGCCATGTTGTAACATACTTACGAACTTCCTTCTGTATGAGTTTGTTATGATGTAAAAATTGCTGCAAAAGTGATTTTAATATGTCCAAGTATTGGTTGTTATGAATTATGAAAAGTCCTATTGATTTGGTAAGTTTTAAGAATCTAACCACAAACTTTAATATGGGCATACTTGCTTTGTGAAATTATGTGATGCTGTGGCACATATATAAAAATTTTAAAATTTTTACCAGTGCCTCTCTCCGAAACATGGCTTAAAACTATCCATATTGTTCAAACTTCATAAAAGAGTTAGTGGGCATGCTGAGAAAAATGCGCACAATACTTATTTTTGTCTGTAAACAAACATATAAATTAGCCTGTGGGATATGTTACTTCCTATTTCTGATCATTTAACTAGAGTATAATAAAATTATTTGAGCAAAAATTTAGTATAACATTGCTTGCATCAAAATACAATAATGGGAATCTTTAGAACCTTTCATTTTCCTAATGGAGGTGGAAATATATATGTTTGAGCTCAATTTGGCCTGAGACTGTTGCTATAGCTGTCCATATTTCACTTTATTTTATAAAAATTATTAAATAAATGATGTAGAGGAGTCGAGATTGTTTGCATAGCACAGTTGTATATATTTTATAAATTGATTAATATGGAAAGATCAACATCTGATAAAATGAACATAACTATTTTGGTTTCAATACTCTCATCAGTCTCATGCCATAGTTCCACTGTGAAGATTCTGGTGGCTTTTTTAAGTTAATATCCAGCTGAAAGCTGACAAATGACTGAAAGCTTCCTGCAATAAATGCTTCCTTAACTGCTAACTAACCAACGACGACCACATTGTGACTGAAATTCTTAATTTCCACACGAAACTGACGAACAAAGTTGTGAGTGTGACAAACCAACATATTGTTTGCTAATTTAGATCATTCGGATGCTTTCTCAATGCCATGTTTTGTACCACAAGATACAACAAAACCAGCAGTTACACGTACATGATATTCTTCTTTTCGTTAAGTGCCGAATTCTTTCTTTTACTGCAAAAGTATTCAACTATCTTCACTCCTATCAGCCGCCATTTTTTAAATATACGATGTGCGTGGATGCCAAGTTCGCGCATGCTCCGTACAAAATGCCCAGCTGTTCAGGGTGTCAATATAGCTCAGTTTCAGTGTAGTGTATTTATTGAGCCCGAGTTAACGCCTTCCGGACGTCTTGTTATAGAAAAAAACTTGAGGTCGTGAACAATTTTGGACTAAACGTTCAGGTTGCTGGAGTTTTTTTTAAATATTTTCAGTAGATTTTATTTTGAGTAAACCTCGTACTTTTTAAACATTCGGCATAATAACATTGGTAATAATTAAATTAAGAAATTTTAAATTAGGCAACGTTTAAATTATTGCATTTTATCGTATAATATCTCAATATAATATCTTTACCCTGCAAGTAAATTATTTAGTTAGGAAACAGTTTCACAAAGCCTGAAACAGAGAGCTGTACCTAGAGAGCTTCTGAGCTTAGTTACACTCAAAAGCTATATCTAAAATTCGTGTGTGTATATAAAACTAACCTTACATACATGTGGTCACATTCCATCAGAATTTTGCGCTCATTCTCCCTATTTTTGCACTAAAATGTTCAGGAATACAAGTCGTAACTCACAGGAGACTTTTGTTGATAAAACTGTTCCAATATTGAGAAGATTTAGTCGCGAAAAGCGAACAAAATCCGTCCATAATGCTAGCAAGCGGTGATGCCAATGTTTACCGATATAATTCAACAACACGCGTTGATCCGTGGCGAAGTACATTTACAAATCGATTTCTTTTAAATGAATACCGCAGAACGTGGCCATCAACAACGCTAACAAGATAAACGTCTTGTTAGTTGACAATGAAACGGACTTTTACATTTTTTCACAGAACTTTGACCAAAACATTCTGCCCTAAGGCCCCTAACAAGGTAATATTATGACAATAAACAATATGAATTTCTGAATTCTGAATTCTGTATTAAACACGCCCAACTCCATCCCACAAATACTCCTACTTTGAGGCATCAAATTCCCTGGCGCTGATTGGCCGCAAGGAATGCATGCTATTGTTTTAACTGGACAGGAACTTTGGTCATTTACATGCCCTACAAAAATTTCAAACACGAATTCGGGAGTCGTCCTTATATTATACGTAAGCAGTAAATATGGTTACAGTTTTCAAGGTCCGCCATTTCAGTACAGGAAACCCAGGTTCCATTGCGTAACTGAGTCCTAATTTATTGTCAGACAAATATATATAGCGCATTTCATTCATATCATGGACTCGGTTTCTTTAAAGGCACAAAATTTCGTTTAATTATTTGACGTATTTCCTTCGCAACAACTGGCGAGGAGTAGGACATTTACCTCCAGTAGTTAAAGGGCTGCACTGCTCATTTAAAAAGGCCAAAACGATGTTCAAATTTGCATGATGCAAGTCCTTTATAGCCTTTTTTTCCCTAAACTATTTTAATATCTTTCCTAAATTATTTCAATAACTTTTCCAAATTATTTTAATATCTTTCCTAACTACTTTAATATCTTTCCTAACTATTTTAATATCTTTCCTCACTATTTTAATATCTTTTCTAACTATTTTAAAATCTTGTCGTAGACCAGTCCGTTTAATCTCGTGTAATCAATATCAGAGCCCCCAAACCTGACTGAGAGATGTGCTAACATGGAGTAATAAATTTAATCAATTATTAACTCTATTCATAGCAAAGTTTTAATTTTAATGTGTTTGGAATACCTAACTGCAATATCTATCAGTATAAACAATTCCTTCATATAATCTGCATTTAATTAAATAAAATATAATGAAATAATCCTAAAATAAGTATTTGTCTAGTATACACGCAGTGATTAATTTCAGATAAAAATGAATTTTTCAAATTGGATTAATTTAAGGATAGCATTGTTTTGCAATGAAGAAAATTGCTTGTCATTATTTTAGCAATTCAAAAATAAAAAAAGTATAATTAAATGCGCGAAAGGCAGGTATAGGAAAGACTCGCGTCCAACTAAGTTATGTAACTTGCTTCTCACTGAAGGTGAGAAGATTAATAATTTTAACTTAAATGTTTGTTTAGTGATAAATTCGGTTAAATCGAATCCGCTATTGTCGTTTGAGGTCTTACTAAAGTTGATGTTTATACCACCTGATCCATCGATTTTTAAAGGCGGTGTTACACTTTATGCAACTTTCTTGCAACATAAATACAATGCAATCACGGAGGTCGGAACGATGCGAGGGAAAGGAGGACAGATTTTGGTAAAAAGGCACTCGTGTAGCAGCGCATAATAAAGAATTTCGCAAAGCATTGTCTATTGAACCTCGTGTCATGGTGTGTAGACGATTGTGTTATTCTTGATACTCGCTCGTGGAATTTCTACTTTGGATATATAGAATATAATCGTTTAAAATGAGTTAAAATCAAACGGCACCTTTTCTCCCTTTCTTCTGCTGCCCCCCTGGTTCGAGCGGCCCTTAAGGCCGGCACACCCTAGAGCTATGTGCTTAGCAAAAAGTCATTCGTGGCCATTGGCGAAGGCCTGTTGTTCTCGTGTGCGGCGACTTTTCCAACGACTTTGGTCATTCGTGCCAAAAGTCGCCGGAAGAGTCGGCTGTACACCGAAGAGTAACTGGCTTACGCCAATGGCCACGAATGACTTTTTGCTCAGCAGATAGATCTAGTGTGCGCCGGCCTTAAATGCAATTCTCCTCATGAGGCATCTATAGTTGTCAAATACGAACATCTCTTACGATCAGCTAACGATTTCCTAGCATTTCGAACCGAGTCTTCACTATAATTAACATCACTCAGAATATATTTTAGCTGGCGTACTCACTGATTAATCGATTCAGTTAGCCATATAGCCCAATAAGGCAATATACCTTTCTCTTGCGATCCAAGAAGCCTTCAAAATTACTCAGATAGTAACGATTAAAACAATAGAAACTCAGTAAAATGTAAACATTTTGAAAAATATAACTCTCTACGCTTCCACCAAAATATAGTTATCCTCATGAAAATAATGGCGATGATATTACATATATGTACAAGTTATATAGTTAAGTAATTATAGACATGTTAAGTTAAATATTAATAAAACTATAGAAGCTTTTGTTCCGTGGTTGACGACGGGTTTCTTTCTATTAATTGCAAGGGACTCTTGGAAAAGTATGAGGCCCATGATAGGATTTGTCTATTATTTTAATATTGGTAAATATTAAATCTGTTGATGCATGACTAGATTTTAGTCCAAACGTAGAAAATTATATTTTTCAACATGTTTCTTTTCACGGAGTTTCTATATCATCTTATATTTTATTAAAATACTCAGTGGTTCCTGTAATTTAAGTAAAAATTAAAGTAGACGTTCCTCCTCATGCTGCCGGAGTTATGCACTTCATGCACTTTATCTTATCGCTTTGCAGGGACAAAAACTAATTGAGTTACGGGGTCCGAGTCAGGTCAAAAACACATTCACGCGCGGAAATATCAACTAACTTTATTGTTATAACCTCATGCAATAGGCAGATGAAACACAACCATCTTTGGTGTTATAGTTGAATAAGCATTTTTAGAAATTTTCTTTAAAGGCGCTTTAACACAATGCAATTTTCCTTGCAACTTGTAATGCAATTATAATTTTAGGTTCAATGCCAAATTAAAAATAGCTATAATATTTATATAATGCCTCAGAAAACATGTAAAATTGGTTGATAATATTATTCTAAAAAATATTAAAAATTGGACTAAGCTTCATTCCGATTCAATAGAGCTAATTCTTTCTAATATTCTTGCGTATTTTGAAAAGGTTGGTGCTGTCCCTGTATATATATATATATATATATATATATATATATATATATATATATATATATATATATATATATATATATATATATATATATACCCAGTCCATATTAAATTTAGATTCAGAAATTGAACCGTATTCTCATTATGCATGTTATTATACTTGTAGCCTTATGTAAACGAGAAATGATTGTTTCCTATCCCAATTCCTGTCTTGTCTCAATACACTATACGCAATACACACTGGTAAACAACAGCCAAAACTTGTTTAGGGCACATGAAATATAAAATTTATTGATAAACGAAATTAAAGAAAAATGCTCTTTCATTGGAACATGTGGGATAGGCATGATTACTCAAGAAACATCGCGAAAAAGATGTTTCTTGTGGGATTGAAACGCTGCGCCTTTCCGGTGCAACAGTGTCTGGCCGACGTGAAAACGTTTTTACGAGTTAGCAAACAAGGAAACAGATTTGAAACGCGATCTCTGAATCCAAGTGTTTCCGCTGAATTGTTTACTTTCCTTATATGTACCTTGAAATAATTAAAACAACGTGCTTATATTAAAAATATTAACAATTTAGGGAACTTTTGCTATTTTTTAGCAGGAAAGCATATAGTATAGAGAACTTAAGAACTTTTGTATGGGTATCGAGTCAAACCTTGGAGGAATGTTTGGGAAAAGCAATTTTTCCGCTAAAGCTTTTTAAATATTAAATCGTGCATTTTATGAAGAAATAAAAAGTTGTATTTTTAATAAATAATGAAATTAAATGCTAAACTGTAAACATATCGTTAGAAAATGACAAGGAATAATTAGTGTTGATATTTGTGTGAGCAAGAGCTTGGAATAACAGCAGTTTTATTATAGAAATGTAATTATAGATATATTTTAATTAAAAATGACAATAATCATGCAGTGCGGATTATTTGATCATCTATTTTCAGTCTGAGGTTTTATACTGTTGAATGACATACTCCGTGCATTGCGTCCGTCTTCATTGCGTATGGCTGGCTCATGTATTCACAATAGGCGTCATATAACCCGTTATATAATATATTAAACCGTACATTAACACAAATATTTTTCGGTTCAATTTGGAAAAAATGTTGATTACAATAGGCGAGGTTTTAAAGAAATAAACTAAACTGAAATAGCCTTCTTTACCAAATTATATTAAGATATCTTGGTTATGTGATAAGAGCAAATCTGAAGGTTATCACTCTTACCCCAGCGTGTGTGAAGCTATAAATATCATAGCCGGTTTACTTCTCATGCACTTAAGGCGGATTTCCATTCAGTGCAAAATGTCGCGCGATCGATTTTTTGCGATCCGGCTTTCTTTCCAAATGTATTCATGTAGTTAAGCTCATCTAATGGATTAGTTCCGCCTGATTGTCTATATTTCAAAGGAAAGCGATCGCAAAAGTCGATCACGCGACATTTTGCACTTAATGGAATCCGCCTTTACCGATCATAAAATCAGGGAGCGATAAATCTTTAATGAAAAATGAATCCTTATTAAGCCAGGCGCGTTTGCACACTACGGCAATAGATGACAATATAATTCGTCCACAATGATGTACTGACGACAATTCGTCCACAATGATTAAAATTAAAAATCTTCAGTGTCAAGGTCCACACACACTGGACGCAATTCGCTAAACACGACGCGAATTTTCATTTTCGGAAACGAATAAATTCAATTCCGAAAGAACATTTTGCGAGATATGGGTACCAGACCAGTCAAAATGTACCATCAATCGGTAATTACCAAGAATATCACAACATTGTCAAAATTAGCGACTTTTCAAAACTAAAATATTCGTAAAAATCGCGACGCGTTGGCGGTTCGCGTTCGGTGTGTGTCGGCCTTCACGAACGTTGCTATTTTTAGGTCATTAAGGGAGAATCAACTTTCTTATTATAGATAATGCGAAAAAAAAGCGCAGAAAGAAATATAAGAAACAAAATTTCTATTATATTTATTGAGAAAAGGAAATTGCTTGCGGCGAATATGCTGGAGTTTTTATTATTGCACAGGCGTTCTGTTCCGCGAAATAACTGAATTTTGTCCCTGAATTTTGAAGAATGATTAATTGTTGTGAATTGCGTCTGCTTAAGGAGCAATATCATAATGCAAATTCTCATGAAATTTCAACGACCTCTACCTTTGGCGATATTTCAATTATTTTTCTCATTCAAAAATATCAATCTTTTAATTTTAACAAAAATGCAATGTAAACAAAAATATTTCTTTGATTAAACGAAGACACAAGATTAATCTCCAAATTTAATACGGAACCAAAATACATATTTCATTTCCTCATTATTTGACATGGTCATAGACACCTGCGTCCAAAGAAATGCTAGTATAAAAGATATAATTATCAATGAATCTCACTCATTCGACAGCCGAAGAGTTCTCTGAGAAGAAGCAAGAAAACGCAAGCATTGGCAATCAAGTATTGAATAGGACTTACTATAGGTAGGTACCCTTAGTTCAATTATGAATAAACTCAGTCTTAGCTTATAATATTTATTATTAACAGAACAACGTAATTGCGTGTTTGAATGCAAGTAAAGTTGGAGGAAACACTGTTTAAGTATTATATTGATATTGCATGGCAATGCAAACAGGGTTCAAAAATATAAATGTCAGATTTACCATTATTTTCTTGCGTTGACTTTTTCAGCGATCCAGATTCAAAAGATGCATATAATGTTATTTTTTGCTGCATAACCTATAAAACTAACATGTTTTGTGCTGCACAAACCTAAGCAATTGATTTAATAGGTTTTAGCTTGCGCATGCTATACCTAAAAACAAGTTAACATGCATGAAGATAGTTTCAGATCCACAAGAAGCGCGTCTGAACCTACTGTACAATTGATATAAAACAAGGCGTGAATTTAATACGGATGAATATTGGGACATACAATATATACAATATATATAATGTATAATATTAATGTATTGGATACTTCGTGCCAACTGAGTCAACTGATCATGTACTCCTTCGGAGCATCCGTGAGTCAAAAAGATGTTAAAGTCTTCAACCACCTGGCCTTGTCCTACTCCGAAAGCTTCAAAGACCTAAATTTACCTACTCTAGAGCAGAGAAGGGAATTGTTATGCAGATCTTTCTATAAAAAGAATTATAAAAAATGTTTAATCTATTACCTGAACCTTTACATCATGAGTACGATCTCAGATATTTTCGATCTTACTATCTCACTTTTCAAAACCCGAAACACTATAATCATAGCCTTTTGCCACATTGCGTACGCAAATGGAACTCGTTTTAATATTTTAGACTTCCAATGATTAATAAAATTATATGAACTTGTAAATTATAGTAATTCCATGCATGTTATAGTAATTCTGTATAATACCTGAGTATTTGTGATTGTATATTTGTACTTTGCTCTATTATATCTAAACTATGTAAACTTCAGTTCGATTTTGAACTGCCATGCAAGTATATTTTTAATAAATTAAATAATAATAATATAAATAATGGTCGACCTTTTCTGCTTCAGATTCTTGTAAAACCAGGGAGCTATCACAAAAATGATTTATTCTATTTTTTTGTGTTTATTCGTCCTGGTCGCAATTACCATTCCAGGTAAGTCATTCAAGGAACTAATTTAATATACATTCAGTCATAACACTCTATTTGCGTAAACTGAATCACGATCGATGAAGGACCAGACATTATTATAATACTATAGGTTGAGGGAACGGAGGGAGCTCTTTTAAATGAATGGTATATTTTTCTTGTGCGTATTTTTTATACGAAATTATTCATTTCTCTTATATCATTTATTTCATATCCTCTTAATTAACTAACATGCATGAGTCAGCAAAGGGAATAGTTGTTCCAAGGCCTTTTAAAAGAAAACTAGATTGGGGCATTTAATAGCACGGCGTCATCTTTATTGTAGTTGAGTCGAATTGTGGTTGCCGCATCCCATTTAAAGCAATTGGATGTCGAAAGGACAAACGTCATGACCGAGCTTTGCCAAAGATGTTGATCAACGAGAGAGATAGATCCAGTAACTACTACAATGGTTTCAATATTGATTGGTATAACTGGGATGACTATTTACCTGCTTTTACATGTCGCTGTGCTGAGGCTGCCATGAAGAAAGGATATAAATATTTTGGACTGCAGTTCTGGGGTAAGGTAAAAAAAGGCGAATCATTTACAACCATGCATTTGCTTGGTTTTCATAAAGTCAATGAATGATTTTCAGCCACAATACATTGCAACGACAATACATGATTTAATTTTTTATTAAAACTAAAATAACAATAGCAGCAAAGTCAACCTTGGAGGAGTGTAGCCGCCCATGAACTAAATTTGTGAGGAAATCAAATTCTCAACCGCAGGAAGTAATATGGAAGCAAAGTCGCTGATGATGAAAAAGCATACATTTGTGCATTTTTGATGGCCAATGTGAAGATAATTTGATTGCTAATTTTCTGCTATATTCTTCATTGCATTCAGGAGAATGCTGGAGTGGTCCATCACCAGCAGCGGACACTGAATACGATAAACATGGCGTGGGAAAGGAATGCTTTGGCTTTGGATATGAGAAGTGCACCAATAATGATAAAAATTGCGTTGGAAAAAATAATCATAACTTTATCTATGAAATAGGTAAGTTCATTAAAATTTACCGTTTAACTAGGTATCATATCATTCATTATAGGCGCGAACTAGCTTGTAATGTATCACATCTACAAGTTTTCTTTTGCTCTCGGAAGAAGAAATAAAATCCATTTATACGTCTTCCCCGGCCCCCTCTCGTTTGTAACTCAGTGCTTTGTATTATACTTATCACACGGTGAGATGTCTCTAAATAATACAACAACGGTTGATTTGTGTTCCGTAACCGATTAAATGGCTTGTCAATGGTTTGAAGTGACAAGAAAATACTGTTACGTAATAAACTCCATTCACATTACATTCAATGATTGGCATAGCCAAGCTAAAATAGGTATACCCGTATAGCAATTTCATCTCTGCACGGCCGCTGTATTGCATGGAAACCTGGTAATAATGAAACTGGGAAACGGGGCTAAACTGAATTGAAACTTTCGATCGTTTTAGAACCTTTTAAATGCCCGGTTAAATTTGAGCGATTGGGTTGCTACAGGGATAGAGGGGATGTTCCTCCATTACGTCACTACATTCTCACCGATCGGCAAAGAGGGCTTAAGGTGTCCAGTGGTAGGGATATCGACTGGTATCATTATGATACTTACCTACCAGAATTCGCATGTCGCTGTGCGATGAAGACAGTTGAAAGAGGATGGAACACCTTTGGTTTGCAGTATTACGGTAGGTTTTAGAGTCGCACTAACCGGAAGTTATTTTCATGCGGTAGGAAAGTTGGTTAAAATTTCGAAGCCATCCAAAAAAATCTGAACAAATATCATTTATGCACAAAATTGGCAAATATTGCAGAATTTCGACCATATCTAAATTTGTCATAATATTAATACGCAATCCCTTAAAAAAGTAATAGAACGCATTAAGCCGTGCAATTATAGCGCCAAATTCATGCTGGTTGTTGATTCTACGAGCTAAATTTTTAGGTGAAAATCTTTTTGTACGTGCGAAATTATCAAGCGCATGCGCAATGAAGACGAAAAAGGTTTTAAAAATTGTCTTCAAATTCGCGGAATGCTGAAAAAAAAGAAAATCAAGAAATCAAAAACAATTATTGTAAAGAAGCAAACTGGTGAACATGCAAAACAGAAAAGATATTCTGCATTTTAAAATCTTTCTCTTTTTGCAGGTGAATGTTGGTCGGGCGAAAATGGTGATGTTGCATATTATAAAGAAGGAAGCACTTCAACATGTGTAAACAAATGTTTTAAACCATGTCAGAATTATGATGCCCTCTGTATCGGTAAGGCATTCACAAACTTCGTCTACCGTGTCACAACAGGTGAGAATCAAATTTCTTGCATTATCCTTGCTTAGTGTTCTTGCTTCTATCAATCTCGGTGCTTGATAGATAAGCAAGAACAATTAATTAGTGTAGAACTTGCTGACTATGCAACCTTCCGCTAAATATTTCTCATGCAATCTCGTAAAAATTAACAGAACGAGTTAAGTTATGCGATTAATAGAAAATTCATACTTGACGTTCTGCATAGAGCTAGTAGCATACTTGACGTTCTGCCAGTAGTAATAAATAATAATAATTAATTGGTCGACTTAATTCATTAACGACTTACTGATTCGTTCTATAGTACTATTACTGAACTTTAAAAAACAAGATGTATACTTCAATGTCTCATTCCTGCGAAATTTTTATAAATATGTAATTATACTTTATAACCCCTAATAATATATGTCATAAGATGGTGGCTGAAATAATCAACATCAACCTTTTTTCTTTCATATTGTTGCCTAGTAAAGATAGATCTAAACCACCTGTATACTGTTTATCCACCATCTCATTAAGTTGTTGAATAAAGTTGTTGAATCCCAAATGACGAAATATTCAAATTATTTTATGTTGTAAATATTCAAACTACATACGCTTTATATAATAGATGTCTGTGAGATTCCTTATAAAGCAGTTGGCTGTTACAGCGAGCCAGCGGCTGAGCGAGCTCTTACTGAGCTTATTCTTGATGACGTTGATCCAACAAGCTCAACATTCATGGGGATTGTCTCGGCAGACTTTAAGGACTGGAATGAATACGTTAAGGGTTTGATATGTCGCTGTGCAAGGAAAATCAAGGAAAAAGGATACAGGACTTTCGGAATAAACAACAAAGGTAAAAACATTACCGTGGAATAAACACATTCATTTTAATGAGGATATCAACTTCACAATCGGGATTGTAAACAAGTAACAATAATAATAACCATCCCACTGATCTGATTATATACTGCATGCATAAAGCATTAAGAGGAGATTTTTTATTATGTCACGTATTTTGGCGGGAAAACGCTCAAAACCTAAAATCTTTTCGGCGTACCGCACAAAATGAATTTATTTTACCTTTATTCTTCAGATTATGTTGTGAACTAAGTTTTGAACTGTGTTTGATGATTGCAAAACGACAAAGAGTTACATATTTCAAAATATAATGCGGCGGATATCAACAGTGTTATAAATGTCATTAGCCATTATAACTGAGATGAATACAAAAGTAGCTTCGATTCAAGTGTTATTTTCTTCTCGGCGTATCCCGAGAAATCTTTTCATTTTCACCATATTTCGAGATTATGCAGCAAACATACTTTGTGGATGCTTTTCAGGTTTGCAAAACATTTTTAATGCTGAAAATTTCAGTGCTGTTGCATGAAGATATAACTGAGGTTTTGAAAAATATCTCCTCTTAATACATGTAACCATACAACCATAGAAAAATACACTATCTTTACTAGTCCGCTTAGATCAGCTAATATATTAATACATACAAGGCATTGACCGTTATTTAAGAACATAAAAAGAAGACTTGTCACATGATAATATATCTTTTTAGGTAAATGTTACAGCAGCGCCTACGCTGACAGTCATTACGATATGCATGGTGTAAGTAACCAATGTTATAACGACACTACAACACCCTGTTTAACACCCAATTGCGTTGGCGGTGAGAATACAAACTACGTTTACCAGCTTCAAGAAAGCAACATCGTTTAAAGAAATTGGCGGTCCAACAGGTGGGAAAAGTTTAAAAGCTACAGTATATTTATTAAAAGAGGACTTCCAATCGAAAGAATATAGCGAAGTTAATTTTTTTATCAAAGTTATACACTTTTCGGTGCATGGATAGCTGTATTCATGCAGCTTTCGTACACCAAATTAAACCGGTGCCCTCAGAATACCGCATATCACATCATACCTATTAGTACACAGCTATTGTCATTGCATACTTTGGCTCACCATGTAAAAGTGACGAAATTAAAACATATTGTTAATTGCCTCCTTCCCATTAAATAAGTGTGGATCATGTTTCAATTTACTGTATTGCTTTATTCTTTTCACTAAATTTATATGAATTATGTTTACTTTTTAGATCTTTTGACGGTGAGATGAAGATACGATATATTTATTAGCTTTATGATAGCATATATAATTATAGTATATAGAGCAGTAAAAATAGTATTATAATCTAATTAAGGTGATTATAGTGATTTCCAAACATATTAAGAATCTTCATGATTAAAATTGTTGCATGCATGGGAAACGATTTGGGTGAAATTGATGTTATAGATAATCAACGTAATTGATGTAATCGTATAAAAATAAATATAAGAGTAAATTGTAGTGGATGGTATTATCTGAAAGTACAGTATATAAGTCGAAGTCTGAGTGTGATTATTTCTATTTTCGTGCCTGTCTGTGAGAGGCTGGTAATACAGTGTAGCTGTGCGACTAATGATTCATGTATAGCTATATACACACATGAAATGCCGGCGAAAATATAAACTGATCACTGGTGTCTTCTTCACGTGCACTGTGAAATAAAAATCAAAAAGGTCATAAATTTTAAAAAAGAAAAGTTGTAGGTAACCGCGATCGAACGAGCGAAAAAGCGGCCTAGGTAACCGCGATCGAACGAGCCAAAAACCGGCGTACGTAACCGCGATAATCAGCAAATTGATATCCTAGCGATTAGCGAAACCAAACTCGACCCTAATGTATACTCATTATAGAACTCATTACCAAGAAAGTGAACAGGAGTTTTTATGTTCTGAGACGACTTCGAGCGTTCTCAAACTTGAAAACTCTTGTTACAGCTTATAAAACCTCGGTCCAACCACACTTTGACTATTGCTCACAAATATGGGGATGCCCTGGAACTACGTTGCAAAATAAACTGCAACGCTTACAAAACAGGGCAGTCCGTACCATTACAAAGCGTGGTTATGACTATAGGTCAGTAGACTTACTTAATGAACTTGAGATACCAAATTTGAGTGTTAAAAGAAATAACCAATTATGCACTACAATGTATCAGGTAAAAAATGGCCTAGTTCTTGACTATCTCATTAACCTTTTCGCGAAAACAAATGTCGTTCATGACTATCAAACCAGACAGGCTGAGCATAATCTTTCACCAGCTAAGTCAAATACAAATTTTGGTAATAAATATTTTTCGTTAAGAAGTGCAATGGCTTGGAACAAATTAACATCTAATAAAAAAACTTTGAATCTATAAAGTGTTTCAAATTATAAAAATCATTAATGATTTTGACATGAGAAAAGTATGAACACATACATAGCTACATGAAAAATCGTTTTATTTCTTCCATAAAAATCAAAACCTCTGAACAAAAAGGCTTTTGACAAACATGACGCAGCTATACTCCTTAAGTGGATGCATGTTTCACCTATATTACAACATGCTACTTTGATGTATACTTTGGGCTAATGGTTATTAATCAAGTTTAATGAAAGGCGACATAAAGAGCGAACTATATTATTAAAATCCGCTTTTGCACGACTACAGTCTCTCAAGGGCGAAGGATTTATTTTGCGTTAAGCTTGTGTGATTAAACGACTATTACGGCAAAATGAGTTTAAATCAGTGGTTAAATACTGCTTTACGTCTTAGTTCATGTTAAAAGGAGGTCTGGGTTAAATTGTTAAATAAATATTCGTGATAGAAATTTATATATGCAGGCATTGATCTGAGACTTGAAAGCTTCAAAATTTGGTATCAAACCTACAAGACAAAAATAATAATCTGAATAATTGTGATGGGTATGAACATTATCATGCATAATTAAGTAACTTGCATGCAACTTGCCTGTATTACCTTCAATATTTTGTTTATATTTTACACAAATACAAAAGGTATCAATAATTTAATTGATTGCATACACTCAGTTTATCAAATATAAAACTAAACGACGCAAAGACGAAAAATAATCCAAAAAAATAATTTTAATTTTTTATCGTTTTCTTACACTGGTAAGAAACTCGGAAATAACGTACGAAACATATATATAATTAAACTGAGACGATATATACCTCCATATGCATGAACAAGGCTGTCATCTTAAACACGTGTTTCGACCATCAGACAGCACACGTTAAATTCCAAGATATTTGGAAAATGATCTATTGTGCATGCATGGGCTTTTTATCAACTTTAGGAAAAGCAGATTTGTGTATATCAAACATGCCATGCGCGTCTACATTCATCACTTTCCGGACTAGAACTTGCTTTGTTTAATTGTCTGGGCGAAATCGGAAAAGCGAGCTTTCTCAGTTTCTCTTAGTTGCGTAAGTTCTCGTGTCAGTTAGTTTTTCATAAAAGAGAAAATCCGCAACAGCCCCAAAATTCTGTGATAGAATACCAGCGCTGCAGTGATTTGCAAAGCTCTATTAGGGGTTTACCACATGCATATTTCCAATCAATTTGGCATTTGAAAACATAGATATATTCTAAATATTGAGAATAATATAGGTTATTTTATTTTATATTATATGCACAGATATGAATTGATAAATTAAATTAATGAAAAAGGCTTCTCGACCAAAAGGCTTTCTATATCCAACTCTTCTGACGAATGCCATTAGCTCGAACGTCGAGAAGTATTTCGTCTCTTTTATATTAGTGTGTGAAGTTTAATAAAAAAGACGTGTATTTATACCATTAGATTAGTTGCACGCGACATTCCTTCTGACTATTTGAATCACGTGTTATTTAATTAGTTACATTTTAGTCAAATAACATTGTACAACCAAATTTTTTGTTTAGAATCGGACATTAGTTAAATAATTAATTTAGATCAGTAAATTCACGTTTTACATCGATTACAATTTGTTACAATTAAAAGTCTACAATCTTTCAATTTTTAGTATACCAAGTTTTAATTTTTGTATGTTAATGTGAAAAATATGGAGTGATTATACAATTAATATCTTTACTATTCGTTTACTTTGGTTTTACTGTATTTTAGTTTTTTACTGATGTAGCTATTTTATTTTTTACAAGCAAAGAAATTCTATCATCAATTACATTAAATTAGTGTGTATACCTAAAATTAGAACATCATGTTAGCAATTTATAGGTTAGTTTACAAAACAACTCAGATCACTTTAAGACAATTAAACATGCGTTGATACCGTCAAATTACATTCTAAGGTAAAATTATATTGTATACCAGATATGTATAACAGTAACATATAATAATAAAATATGTATAACATAGTGTACGAAGTACTTACACCAAATCTTTTTCGTCAATGTTGGACAAATCTTTTTGGGCAAAGCTCCAGTTAGAACTGACTGGTGATGCGTTATTTCTGTTACGATCAGGTGTAACACCAATCACAACAGAAATGTTTTCCTAGAGGAGCGGTCGTAATGTGAGTTATGCATGCAGAGAGAAAAACAAAACACGAGAATATTACGCAAATATTTTTATATAACATGGGGGTAATTTGAACGAATACAAATATAGCTGTAAGGGAATTGGATGGAATTCAGGAGACGTAGGCTATTCTTCCCAGATTAGACCTTAAGATCGGCAAGGAAGGTAGGGAAGGAAGGTAGGGAAGACGGTAGGGGAGGAGGGTTAGGGAGGAAGGCAGGGAAGACGGTAGGGGAGGAGGGTTGGGGAGGACGGCATGCAGGAAATGGAGGGAAAGACGGTATAGGGAGGATGTCAGGAAAGGAAGGCTGGGGCTAGAGGATGGCAGGGGTGGACGGCGGGGAATGGAGGGAAAAACGGCAGGGAAGGAGGGCAGGGAAGAAAGGCTGGGCTCGAAGATGGCAGGGGAGGACGGCTAGGGCTGGAGGACGGCATGCAGGTAAGGGAGAGAAAGACGGCAAGGAAGGAGGGCAAGGCAGGACGGCAGGAAGAGGTCAGTTTTCCCGAGACTACTTTTTAACGGCAACACAAGAAGATAAAGTAGCCATAGATGTTGCATAGAAAACGAGTCAGAATAAACTATGTCCATGGAAAATGACCCTTAAAATTGATTTATGCCACAAAGTTCACTTATTTCTTAGAGAATTTGGTACAAAATTATATTACAGTCTCTGGCTCAAGAAATATCGGCACAACTTAGTGGAATATAAAATATACCTCATCCCTCTTCAACGTATCATCGAGAACTGATTTAGCTTGACTCAGTGATAATCCAGCTAAACTCACATTACCAATGCACAGGAGAAGATCACCAGTATGAACTATAAACCAAAAATTCAGAAATAATGCATGAAAAACATTGTATTATTATTATTATAGTAAATTCACACTTTTCAGCTCGTAGTGCATGCAATTTTTAGTGTGATTCAGTGCAGTGTTTGCAATTTTTGTAAAACAAGACGCCTACTCAGGCGATCACTCGGACTACAGTTATTTCGTAGTAACATGGCATGTTCGTGACACCCGCGCAAGAAACGATCCAAGGAAAATTTCGATTGGTTCGAAGACTTCGTGCCGCCCACGCGTGATTTTTGCAAACTCGCGACGCAAAAGAAAAAACCGAGCCCATTTTACAACTCGGTCTACCTACGGTAGTCCGAGTAATGATCTTCAGAAATTACCAGGCTACAACTGTAAAGCGTCTCAATTCAAACGAAAAGTAAAGTAACGGATATTTACGAAGGATAAATCGAATTTAATGATTTATATAATTCTTGTGTAAGTAAGAAAGAGGATTTAACTTCGTAATGATGTTTTTCTCCAGTTCTTAAGTAACAGCAAATAATTTCAAAATGAAAATTAGCGATCAAAATCAAACTCAGTTGGACGATGAAAGACAAAAAGAAGCAAATATAAACTATAACTATAAAATATAAACGAGGCTTTGATGCGTGTATGAGACAATAAGATTGTCCAATTCCGACCGGCAATTTTCAACACACGATTTGATTATTTATTAATTCCTAGCCATTATGACATTGTTAGAAAGCTACAGTAAATTGAAACTTGCCTTTCGAGGGGAATTCCTGACGTATTTTATAGCTCACGTGTGCGGCGGGCTTTATGTTTTTTTGAGACATGCTTTATGTCAAAAATTAATTATGGCTTACTATTTCCGCCGCTGAGTCCGCCATTATCTCTAACAACAATTCTTCCCTCAATTTCGTCCAAGATGAGAATATGCATTTCGCTCTAAACATTAATTGGAAAGTAAAATTTGTCAACTGAAAATATCCAATTGAGAATTCTTGCTAAAAATTCTCATTCTCAGACGAGAATTTATAGTACACGTTACAGGAAACTCAACAAAACAACATTGCGAGGAAGATCATGCATGCATGATTATGAAATTATATAGCTGAATTATTATGGGACATTACTATAATCTTTGATAATTTTAGAGATTTTTAAAAGAAGTTCATGTTTGTATTGTGATGTGGGTATATGTTGACGACTATAAATGTTCGTTATACCACAAATTCTGCAATGGGAACTTCTTGGAACAACGGACCCCGAGGTGAGGAAGAGGCTGGCTCTTCCGAAAAGTAAATTCCGATCACCCCCTCCCCTCTCCTCCACTCAATAAATGTTTGTTACAGTGTTTGAGGGGTGTTTTCCAAGTGTAGAATGGCTTACCTTACTAACTACGACAGATTTTGGTTCCCGACCACTCAACGTCTTTTCGTTGAACTATACACAGTAATGATACACATTAGAAATTATAATTCACTGCTGAGAAAACTATCGTCGAGGATATATTTTACCGCGATGTTTTCAGGAGGATTATTCCTCTGCGTGGGTTCATTTTGTTGGCTTTGATCCTTCTTGCTTGAACGCTTCTTCTTAACTTTGCTGTAAATATGGGCACTGAGAAAAAATAAAAACAATAAATAAAAAAATATCGACAACCAGGTGTACACTTGACATTCGCGTCCGCCAGTGATGTGTTCCTAACAGCTGTTTAATACATGGCCCAAAAACTGTGGTATTGAAAGAGGTGCATTGATCACAACAGTAACACCTGTTTAATTGTCTCGTTCTATTTTGTATATAAGTATAAATTTAGGCTCGTTTAAACGTGTAAAAAGCCTACGCCTTTTGTGGTTAAACCGTTAGTACAGTTTGAACTACAGACGCGATCACGAATCACGTTTTCAGGCCACCTCAAATGCTTGATCTGCATGTATACATGGACTAAGCCTTTAGTTCGCTCCAGGCAAACCTGTATGTCAGTCCAGTGCAGTCAGTTGTATAGGCATGTTCTAGGTTTTGTGTTAGTCCTTAGTTACCTTGTTGTCCTTTCATCATCACTATTAAAAACTGGGGCAGATGCAGTTGTAGGAACAGGTCTTGGATTCACATCTGGCTCCACTGTCACTATAGAAGAAACACAAATATTTTAAGCACTTCAATTTAATAAAACAAATTATGCAGACGATTATTAAAGAGATTGTTTTCTGCGAGGAACAATCTATTTTAAGACTGAAGATTGATTGGAATAACTTGAAGTACAGTCCACTATTCTGTGCTTATCAAGATGGAGCTAGCGCGAATGACAATACTGGTTGTTAAACGGGGAGTTTTTTAGAGTGTCGCAACAACAGCTAACCTGGTTCAGTGTCCGCAGGTTTCTTTGTCGGAGAAGAGGGATTACTGGCGCTGACAATTGCAAAACCTTTAGAACGGCTAAATTCAACGAATTCTTTTGCTTCCTAGAAATCATAAAGCAACACAGAGATTGAACAACTTTTCTCGATCCGCATTTGGGTAGTTTCACATTCCACTGCCCTTTTTGAGAAGTTGATGTTTATTATAATGTCAATATGTCACTGGTGTGACGTCATAACATGGGATACGAATATTTAACACACGTTTTGACGAACATGCATAAAAATAGCATAATAGCACAAAAAATTTGTAGATGAATTTTTTAATGTACGGTACCTTGCATGGTCTTAGTATCATGTCAAATTCTTTTGTAGTCTTGAGAAGTTGAACGGCCTAAAAACACACAAACACTGGTCAGTGAAATCAATTTACTTGTAAAGAGACATAAATATGTCACAATACGCAATCACTTTGGCACTTTCTTCGGAAGTAGCGAGAAAAAAACTTCTCCGCCCCCCCCCCCTCGGTGTGTTTAATCTCGAACTCAACTCATTCTTTGTGCTGATGTTTTTACACAGTACATGTCTCACATCAACAAAGCAAAAATCGATTCCTTTACTGTACCTCGGAATATTTGATATTTGAGAAGTTTTTCTTGTTTAGCATCATAATTTGATCCCCAACCTGGAAGATGAAAACATAAATTCTTTACAAACAGTATCTAAAGTATCACAGAGGACCTAATTGGACAGAGGTCTCACTCAGCCAAAAAGTGTAACGCGCTGCCAAAAGCTTACCCAGTGCGCGTTTGAGAACATTCAAATAACTCAAGATGGAATTTTCGATAAACCTTTCATGAAGGAGACTTTCGTTTCGCGTTTCACCTCAGTTTCTACGCTACCATGATGGTGTGCAGTATGTCGACAATTCTTTTCGTCATGAATGACATGAACTTGTACACGCCAAACATGATTTCTAATCTATATTGTACTCGGTGTCACCGGTATGGTATAACACATTTTATGAAAGAAAGACTCACCATGACGCCAACACGTTCTGCCAGTGAACCCTGCGTCACATGGATGACAAAAACACCATATTTTGTCGGAATGCCATTGCGGACGCTGATAACAAAACAAATCAGGATTTGAACAAGGTCAAAAAAACATAATACTGTAGGTGTACCAAGACATCTCACATACAGTTCATGAAAATTACACTGGAAGTTTTTTCAAAATCCATACTATGGAAATTTTCTATACGCATATGCATACTTTTTCCACACTATATCCATACTATATTACTACTATATCTATAGTATATCAATTTCGATAGCAGTCGGGTGCCATGTGAACGGGGCCCAAGCAGAGTTGCAAAAAGAGTTCAACTTTCCTCCGGTAGGATTTCAAGTTTTGAAAACCTTCCTCAAAATGACGTTACGTCACTGAGTCAAGTGGCATCACCAGCATAAAGAATTATTTGGTTTTTGGTACATGCATGTGATCAATTAGAGTGTTCAACTTTGAACCTTCCTCTCAAACCTCATTCAAAGCAAAACTTCCTCCGGGTGGTACACGCGTACCCGCAGCTTTTTTGCAACTCTGGGCCTAAGTTGTCAGTATGTTATCACGTGGAACATATTTGTACAGTACATTATGTTAGAACAAACTATACAACGAACCCCCGATCCTTGAAACAAGTTATAATTATAACAGCAATTATTCAGGGAGCCATCACATCGCAAAAGCGGTTTTTCAGTTGGGGCCTAACAACCAGACGTAATTATTGCAATTGTCACTATTTTAGTCTGATTCAGGAGTCTCAGATCATATTTGGACTGTATATTTGAACACAGTAATGCTATATATTAGGTGGAAAGTGAACTAACCTACAGCCAAGACCTTGTGGTCCAACAATAAACTTGACCTGTTTATCAGTTTCTCGCATGTGCAGCACAGGGGACTGAGAACGAACTAAAGTCAACTGACTGACTATGTGATTCTATATGAAAGAATAGGATTGAATTTTTTCTCAGATAATCTAATGCAGACTCTAAACGGATAAGCAGCCAATCGCACTACGCGATATATCAATGTGTTTTAGGAATGACACTGTATACTTTCTCAGAGTATACGACATTTGATATTAATGCATGTTGGGCAATTTTTCTTTGATATAAAATTTTAGCGCGCAAAAATTTAGACGAACGGGCAAAAGTATTTGCCATTTTGTTGGACATCAGAGTACATCACAGTACTAACATAGCTATACTTCTCAGGGTACAGACTTCTTGTATGTTTAGCGGTTGCAGTTAGTTCATTAGTATTTTCAGTTTAATAAGTTTAGTAAAAACATTCATGCACAAGTAACGCATCGTACCAAAACGCCAGGGTTGTATCGGAACACGTTTTCTTTTCCGTCCAGAGTGTTCCAGATCAAATTGCCATTCCTGAAAACAAAAAATACGCGTCTTTGAAGGCCCAATTACACAGCAGGGATGCAGAGTATGGTCCATAATAAGATAGAAACATAACAATAAATTCCAAGAGACTCGTTTCATGTGGAAAAGTTTCCTACTTTGTGCATGTACACCTCATAACTACATTACATTAATCATTTAGGGGAATAGCGGTAGATCAGGCCCAAGACCTCCCTCTCCCCCTATGCACACCCCGGTACTGAGACACCCTTGATCCAATATACATGGTGTTCGAGGCTATTCTCTATGGTTAAGAAATATGGTGTGGAATTGAGTTTTTGGCCTAAAAATTACTTATCGTTCTTAAAAAACAGAAAGTTCTTACACTCGTTCAGGATATTTTCTGGCACCTTAAAAATGAAAAGAAAAAAAGCAGTATAAATACAGGATTATTGGAAAGCTGATTCAATTTTGTTACTGTGAAAGTTGATTGACTTTTTGTTGCATGGTAGTTTCAAATGCACTTTCAGGACAGGGTAAAATTATTTGCTTTATAATAGAGTACACGCTGGTAATATTACCAGTACCTTAGACTTGAAATATACCAGTACCTTAGACTTGAAATATACCAGTACCTAGACTTGAAATTTGACAGGAGAAATACATATGAGGCAGGCACTCACTTCTGACTTTGAGTCTGAGGTTACGTCTGGTTCTCATGAGATTGACAACTTCACTATGAGTTGATTCAGTTATCATAAAACCATTGATAAGCAATATCTCGTCACCAGGCTGAAATAAATTATCATTATTCATTTTAAGGTACTGACATTGTCCGGGGGTTGAGAAAGCTAAGGTAATGCATTATATAGGAGGTCAAAATTTGAGCCTGGTCTCTGCTGTACGTTGTCGTAAGCAGTCTAATCAAAGTGGTGTTTATACGGTATTTAAATGTATACAGCCTTTTCAAAAAATCCCCACCATGCACCAATTCTCGACGCTAGTCAACCACGCTTCTTACCGCTGTTAAAATTTCCAAGCTTAAGACTTTACACGATAACACTCATCATTGAACACCAAATTCGGGCAAGGTTTGGTAAAATGAAAGGTAGGGGGAAAGATATTCATAGATTTATGATACAAATGCCTTTATATGCCAGGCTAGAACCCCTAGTTAAAAAACTTTTTAGTGAATACTACATAAAATAGGATAAAATTTACCTTCAGTCCAGCAATGTCCGATCTTGACCCGCGAATAACTGACGAAATATAGACACCAACACCATGTTCCTTTCCTGGCAACAACAAAATGCAACTTGTTAATATTCAGTTCGTAAATCAACGAGGTTTGCCAGAGTTTTACCTCCTCTTATTCCAAAACCAAGAGACTCTGTTGCAACCCTTCTTATCTTGACTATTCGTATTCCTTCGCTGTTGAGATAAAAAATAGCAATAAAAAGAAACAACAATAAACTAGGGGTTATAAAAATTATTTGAAGTTTAAGATTTAAGCGCGTTAAAACTCGCAAGATTTGCTCCGATTTCTTGTTTTATATGAACAATTAATTACATGCTTTGAGATTTAGCAAACACTTATGTGACCATTGTGACGCCCATAAGATGTCATGAAAATGGCGTAAAAACGCCATAAATGTATGTGAAATATTCAAACTATGAAGACAATATTGTAAATTATATAGTCAGCATAATGCCGATAATGGTCAACACTAAACATACCTCGGAGGCAAGGGAATTTTTGACATAAAATCATCATAGTCATCAACTGCCACAAGAGATCTAAAATTTGTAAACAATTGTTTGTAAACAATCGACATGATATGAATCACCAAATTGTTAATCTCTCCAGTTTTCATTCATAACTCAGGTTTAATTCATATTAATATCGAAGAAAAACGTAACATTCCTTGTCTCCAGGACGGAGTTTGAATTCGCATCTACCATTTATTAATGTATCCTATATTTGACCAGGGAGAAGACAGGGTGTATATATAATGTACCATAGGGATATAATGTACACTGTTTATGGATTAATATGTTATATGTGTAGATATGTTATATTTGTAGAACAGTAGGTTTCCCAACTCTGAGATATTTCAACGTTCCAATGAAGATTTTTCCACGATTCGGAGGTAGGAGCACCCCTCGCTATACCCCAGTCTACAAAAAAACTATAACAACAGTAATTCTTATTAACTTACCCAACTTCATCAAATAGGATGTGTCTCTTGGGTGTATTAATAATAGGCAACAGATCCGCGATTAACTTGTCAACATTTCGAACGCTGCAATCAATAAAACAAATATAAGTTTGAAAAGAGTAATGTACATCAATTTTAATTTTTGACTTTTATTTAGGCAACAAATACTGTGAATAAAAACATTTAGTTCGTTATTCGAACTCTATAGTCTAAGTCATGCATGATTGTTGCCAACATGCACAAATTCACCCGGTAACTTCCATACGCACAAAGGAAACCATATTAATTTTGTAAAATTCTAAACTGACGTTCAACGATCATACATAGCTACTGATAAAATACATAGGCTACGCAACCTGGAATCAGTTGTATAAAAGACTATTAACTTTCAACTGTAGTTAAGGACAGAATTGGCCAATCAGAGTAGCGTATTTCTGAGTTAGCTAGGATTTAACCCAGCAAAATGTAGTTAAATAGTCTTATACAACCAGCCCCAAGTTAACAGAATTGAATGTAAATGTGTTAGCATGAAATTGTAAATCAGTTTTGAGTAAGTTTTCCATGCGTATAAAAAAACACGCATGAGTGGAAAGCAGATATTAGACTGACTTCATTTTTACTTGTACATTGTACAATCACCTTCAAATGATTTTTTTACAATGACGTGCAAGCAACCGATAGAATATATGCACAGGATTTAGCCTCCTCCCCCTTGCTCTGCCGCCGTGCCTTGCAGGCTCTCTGCCTTTTTCGATCAAGCTGTTATGTTTTATGTTTTTAAGTGACAGTTTGTCACGCTAGCAACACAGGATTTGCTGTGATTTGTCGTTTTAGTTCTACCCAGGTGATTCAGCGAAAAAAGCAGCCTACATGTAAACTCGCTAAAAATTCAGAAGTTTTTAAACCTTAACGTGCAATGCCTAGTGTCAAAATATGTAGAAAAACGCGATAGTAGAAATCATTTTCCAGCTAGGTCTAAACGTCAGATATGTTTCGTTGAAAATATTTTTCATGTTATAGTTAACGTTATCAAACACTGTATGTGGGAATAGGTGGGGGTAATTAAACATATCTTACATAAAGTAGACGTAAAACATAGGGATAATATAATACATTATCGACCGCTGGAGGCTCTTGAAGATGACTGTGGACACGCATTCACTGAAATTGGCGAGTTTTCGGTTTTCGACTTTTCCTTTTTTCATTAACAATGAAAAACACAATTGACTTCGAAACATATTAAAAAAAAAACACAAGAAACGAAGATAAAATCATCGAAACAGGCAAGGGAAGGTCCTTCACTCGTTGACTCCTGATATACAGTAATTGTTTGTGTGTGGAAAGAACTTTTAAATGATGAAGGTAAAACTTCAAAGTTTAGAAAAAGCTCGCATGATTCCGCAAATCATGCAAGAAAAACAAAACAAACTTTATCCTGAACTTTAACATTAGAGTTGTTTACAATATGTTTGAAAGCATGAATGTTGAGTGCTCACCCAATGAAAACGCTGTTTCTTGTGATCACTTTCTTTTAAAAAAGTGTACAGGGGAAATTAGAATGTATGTATTTATTAACTTTATTTTGAAAAAAAGTGATTGAGTGAAATTTTGTGCTGAATGTAATTACTGCATGCAATTTGCTTATAAATTATAATTTGGCCTGTTGGTGTTGAAAAGAGCGAATTGCAAAAAAATTACCATCATGTTTTGTGTCATTCACAGGAAAGTGCATGTGTGAGCAAAAATTATTTTCAGTGTGAACAATTTGAATTGTAGGCTTAGCATGCCAGGAGGCATGAATAGGGAAAAAAATGTGCATGTGTCTGCAAATTAGTGCAAGGTTGTACTGGTTAATTCAACTATAACCCAAACTTGTGTACTGATATCTTATTCTATCCATGCTACATATGACATCATGTATCATAAAGACATCGACACTTGAAGGCATTGGGTTAACAATTGTTGAATTCTATCTTCACTTGATATTAAGAATTTTCAAGCCTCAGTTTGTTGTTATCAACTAAATCCGAAGGCTGAAGTTGCTAGTAACAAACTGATAACTCTTCATATAATATAAAAACAATTCAAAATTTGTTTTATTATTTATGTATTTTTGTTCGGCGGATTGTTTCACATTGTGTTGTTTCACATTGCTTTGTTTTGCGCTCAGGGCATTTCTGTTTGTTTCACATTAATAACTCTATAGCCTAAATACTCATTCAAATTTGACTCATCATTAAAAGAATATCCTAAGTCCCTAGACTTCAACCTCTGTTGTTGTGCTGCTCCCAGGAATTTCATTAGATTAAACATTAGTTACTTAATTTATTCATTATCTTAACCCCTGCTGGTGGGAACACCACAAACTGGTCCTAATTTAGAAATACATTAACTAAAATTGTCAAGTAACATTATGTTAGCAGGGTCTTGATGATAATGCTTTTAATGCGAGATGATTCAACTTCTGTTTCAAATCAACCTAATGAACTACACTAACTTGACTAAAAATATTTGTAATATCTTACTCTAGGAGTTCAAATATTAACCTACAGCTGAAATATTTAATATTAGGATGTATTTTGAACAAAGTTATACCTACCTATTGTATGACTTTAAAGCTTGATAGAAATTCATGGCCTCTTCACTCGAATCTATGCAATTGCTGACCTATTAGAAGACAAAATGCAACTATTTGCTATCTGCACTCCCTGACTCCCATGCAGTTGGTAGCATTTATACTGTAATATAACAACGAAAACACGGTTAAATTATCGTAACCTACTTTCTCTCGAAAGTCTCTTGCATGATTGTACATCTCTTGTTGCCCTGACATGACCATCGGTAGATTTAAAAGCTTGAAATGTTCTGGAAAATCCTAAACAATTACGAACCAACAAATAGCAGTTTTTATTGTTGACATTAAAATTTAGCCTGTTCGCGGGTGTATTGCCACTGATCTCTTTAATATTTGGGAGGCATGCAAACGAGAGAAAAGCTGAAAAAATAAATCAGCAGGATATTCTTCCAAATTTCAAATCATGTATTGACAAAAAATTAGCAGGTGACATGTTGCTGACATTAAAGTCTAACTACGGCCGAATTGAAATTCTACAAAAATTTTAAAAAACGAAGAAGCGAAAAATATAAAAATTTGGTCCGTGAGAGGCTCGAACTCTCGACCTTGGCGTTATCAGCACCACGCTCTGCCGACTGAGCTAACGGACCTTGGCGGCCATGCCACGCAATTTTATTTATTTTAAGGCAGCATAGCAGCCAGAAAGCGTTCAAAAATTAGGAACGCATGTTTATATACTCTATATATTATATAATAGATATAGTATAACATCTAGTGTTATTTATAATCTCCATTACTTTGACACTTTCCCCCTACATATTGCAAAATCATTTCGTAAAGATCGTCCCGCGTTGCGTTTCCAAGTTCGGGATTTTATCCCGAGTTTCGGGAATTTTTCAAGTAGTTGGAATTCTTTGGTGAGTTTGGGATATTTTTTGAAATGCAAATCTCAGGATTAATAGTCAATATTTCGATAAACCTGACCAAAAATCATGTATCACAAATCTAGTTTTCGTCATATAATACTTATTTTGCAGTTCTTTTCAGCTGTATAATTTGATTACTTGTCGCATTTCGCGGCTTATAAAACATTGACGCCCAAGATTTCATATATGTAATACAAGAGGTCAGATTAATCATTACAAGAGGACTGGGAACTATGGGCAGGGAATATCGGGATTTTTTCATAGAGATTGTAAGGGCGTGTTTATATGATCCCGTCTAGCCGGGACGGGATGTTTTCATCCTGCTTAGCCGGGAAACTCGCCTAGGCGGGATGGCGTGTTTATATGGAGTCCATTTTGTTGTGCAGGTTCCTTCGAAGGCATGTTTTATTGTAGAAAACGAATATGCCAATATATACACATGCTCGTAATATATGTTAATCGCAAATCATCCCGGCCAAGCGGGATGGAGTGTTTATATGGCAATTTCTCGTCCCGTCTAAGCGGGATCCCGGCAAGAAGTGCCGGGATCTCGCCTAGGCTGGATGGAAAAGTGGTCATATAAACACTGATTAGTGTTTGTATTACAAGCGGGATCTCGGAAACTGTCCCGTCCCGGCTAGGCGGGATCATATAAACAGGCCCTAAATAACACTAGAGGAGGCGTTGGTATCGGAAACATCAGATAGTTAGTAAGAGAAACATCGGAAAGTGAGTAAGAGAATCATTTACTAACTCTCTTTACGAAGGCCCTCAGGTTGAAACATCGAGAAAAGTCTTAGCCTAAGGCAGTTGTTATACCACATTTGATGCTAAGTTTGAGGGGATGGACTAAGTTCGAGTCTTTATGGTGAAGAGAACTACGTTTGTTAGTTCACTTTACAACTGGTGTAAATTTGTTTTCTTTCAACATTTCGGTCACGAGTGAGGCGAAATCACACATGCAGTCGCCAGGGACCACAGAATATTTTTATAGATTTTGCTGGTGATGAGAATCCTGGAGGAAAATTGTAACCAAATTCCAGAGAACTATGTTCGGGTAATAAGTTCTTTTTGAACTGGAAGAAAAAATAAAATGAATAAAAAGATAGTTTGTATATGTTTGATTCGTATGTTTATTTTCAAATGAACTTGGTATGATAATTTTTAGTATTTTTTCTACTGAAACAATGCTGATGGTAATGCCGAGTTTTCTCTGTCCGAACCTTGAGCCATGTTCATTGTAGCTGTTGGGACTCCCCACCAATCTGACTTTGTCTGCTGATCCTGGAGATTTTTCACACTTAACCGACGAAGTAGTTGACCCTGTTTCATCTGAAACAATGGAGCATTGTTCACCGCAGCTGGATTGACAAATGGCACGAAATCAATCACTTCATTTGGGTTTATAACGCTCGCAGGATTTTTGAATGCTTCGTATACTTGTAGAACAGATTTCTGGATTGCTTGATTGACTATACCAAGATTTTCTTTATTGCCATTAGCCATCAGATATTTGTCACCATAGGAGATCCATTCTTTTCCTTTTTTATTTTTAACACGCAAACCATATTTGCAATCTTCATCGTGCATAAATTTGCTGAGATAGTCCCCGATATTTTGAATGATGACCTTGTTATGTAACTCCACACGTGGTGTCCTATATATAGCGTGAGAAACCAAAAAAATGCATGATGATTGATAAAAGATGGAAACGCATGGAATACCTGAAGAAGATGGACACAATTAGAAATGTTTCACATGCAGTAGAGCTCAGTTGTAAATGATCATAATTTTTAATTTTACACATTTATTTATTATTTCATTAAGCTTTAATTTCCCAAAGTAGCGTAAGTTATTTTTTAGTTGACAACAAAACAAAAACGACAACAACAACAACCATTACCATAATCAATAAAAAACACTTCATTCGAGTGGCTGTGAATTTCTTATTCTTTAAACCTTTGCACTAACTCTACTGACTTTCATGCAATTGAAGGTGAAAGGGCCCAACATTAATTTTAGAAAATCAGAACCTATAATACAAAGTAAACCAAAAGAGCATACAGATGCGCGCCACAAACAGCAGTTTTTGCAGATATCAGTTTGCACCTAGAATGGTCAGTGCTTATGAGAAGTAATATCAAACCTGATGTGACCAGCAGAGAAACTGTCGGTGAGAAAATGAGCAGCAAACGCATCCAAAGCGTAAGCTTCCATTAATTTTCCTTTCTTTGTAACGGCATTTGAATCTTTCGCGGCCTCCCGAGCTTTCAGTACGGCTAATTCATGACCTGCGAGGTATGCTTGTGTTGCTTGCGGTTGAAAGTGATCGAAATTCTTTGTTGCCAAACTCAACATGCCGCCAAATTTGACAGGCAAACCTCCTGCCCAAAATCCGCCAGTCGCCTTATCCCATTCCGCATCCGTATGAAGTTTGCCACCACTTTTTATAGCCTTATGATCCTCATCGATCATTTTCACAAGTTTCTGAACACGAGCTGGAAGATCCTTCCCTTTATCAAAGGCAAGTGTGCCGAAAGCTGCTAGGAATCTTTTGCGACGTTTCTCTCGTTCCACTCCCTGCGTGCCGTCCGCTGCTGGGTCAATAATTGGAGTGTCGGGGACCCCAAAGAAATCTCCAGCCAACGCAACTATTTTACTGAATGGAACTGCAACGCCATTAGGAAGGGTCAAGATGCTGGTAATTCCGAGCGCGTTTGGTAAAGTTACGCTGCTCCCAATTGTATCATGTTCGTCCGAGTTGAAAAAGGATATTTTCTCCTATCGTAAAATAATAAAAACCTCGATATAATTTTGTATTATTAAACAATTACTTTATGGTTTCCCATGCTTGGATGCCCTGCATGATCCAAACACGCGAGAATGTGCCAGCCTCGTTCCCAGGGCATTTCCTTTTTTGTCAGCAATGGTCACAATTAAGTGTTTGGGTCAGGTGATGCAAACATAATGATCGAATTAAATTTCCGTGTTTGGAAGTATACACCTGTAATTTTCAATGCCATATTCTATACGAATGTTTACTTCCCAGTAACTTGACACCCTTGACACAATTATGTTTTACCTTTAAATCTTTCTCATCATAGGTACCACCCTGTTAAAAATTTGAAATACGATTACTTAAACTTATGATAGCGTAACTATATAGAAATTAAATGTAATAACTTCAAGCGTTAATGCATGTGAATATTAGCCTACGTAAAAAAGAAAGGTATATATTGTACTGTACGGTTCATTAGAAATAATTTAACGTATAACTCCATCCTGCACACGACAGTGGCACGGTATTCTATATTAAGTGTGTCGCGCAATCGACTTCCTACAAAGCATTTTTTTAATAAAGAGAGAAAAAGTTAAAACCACATGTAATTGACTGCAAAAAGATAAATTCGTCCATCAAAACATCGCCCGACATGTTGCACATGACATTTTATCACGAAGCAAATTTCTCGACCCAATCAAATGTTTTTCTTAATTTTGACGCGATCTGTGAAGTCGGTATATACTTATAGTTCGTCTTCATCTCCACTTTGTGCGATCAAAAACTTTTATCTTAATATTTACCTAGCTATGGCCTAGTTCATACGTCACATTTTGGTCGCGTCGAATGCAATTCAAGCAATAGATAATGAGATGATAATGAAGCTAAATGAGGTTTATCATCTCATTATCTATGGTTTGAATTGCATTCGACGCAACCAAAATGCGACGTATGAAGTGGCCTTATAGAATTTGGCGTTTAAGGACACACGCAGTTACCTGTTAAAATACGCGAGCTATCACACTTTAAATAAATGTGTTATTGCAGAGGTATATTGCCTTATACTTGCATTTCATCAAAACTTTTTATATGCGATGCATGGTTATTACAAATAATAATCTTGTGTAGAAAAATGCCTGACGTTTATTTGATTCGCACTTATATAATTATACTCTTTTCTCCATCCAAGAAGTACGCAAATTTAGCACGAGGACGGCCACGTCAAAAAGGATCAAAAATGGCAAATAGATTACAGATAGCATTATATCTAGTGTCTTAAATCAGCGGAAATTAGAAATATTTCACCCTTACGTTTGGCGCTGCCCGCACTTTTACTGTAAACATTATCATAAACACAACGCATAGGATTCCAAATTTACCAAATGACACCATCGTTGTTTTTTATCTAAAAAATAAGAAAAAAATACTCAATTAGTTTCATACACATTCATTCATGTCATTATTACATAAACAGGAATAACGAAATTGTTAGGTATACATCTTAGTTCTATATCAAGGCATGCTAAAATTAGACGGATTTGCGTTATACGTGTTGACTAAATTTAGAAGGAAACATCGAAACATCATCAAGCAGATTACCCTGAATTCCTTGTCTAAAACCTGTAGGTGGTCGCTGACTTTCCAAGCGATATATGTTGATTCGTTTTATAGGCAGTTAATATAGTACACCGCGCGTCTTCTGATACTGGCTCTTCCAAATAAAATGAAAGTAATATATTTTTGTACTTAATACCTAAGTGCTAACCGGTAATGAATTGTTGCACACAGTTTCGCACCTGCTTAATTCATTGCGTCCTTGCAAATAAAATACCGTCCCCCAAATATGTTTTTATGAAAGACCACAATGCTCGAAGATTCATTCTTCAAGTCTCTCATAAAGAAAACATTCTCCGTTTATTTAGGATTATGTTTTCACAACTCAACCATTTTTTGCGTAGTAGAAAATGCTAGCCATCACTTCTATATTATAATTTTTTTCTACGTACATAAAATCATTGCATGCTATATATGTTATAGTGTGTTCTTATAAAACAAAGTTTTAAATCAAATTTAAAGGAAAAAGAAGGGGATTCTTTGGTATTAGAGATACGGAATATTAAAGAAACTACAGCCGGATGCGCAGGTGTTACATTATAAAAAGCAAACGGGCTACTGCGCATCATAAGACCGAGAAATAATCAACCCACCAGTTGTCCCAAAAATAATTATACTCCGGTGTAATTGATAATCACTTTTTAAACAGCGAACCATTACACTGAATTAAATTTCATTAAATAGAGGGAGGGAAGATTAATTAACTTGATATTGGCATTACAATTTACAAGTATATTTTACCTGAAAAATCACGGTGATATTAGTTTTCAAAGTTAATAGTCAATTTATAGATGCGTTTAAATACAAAATCGCAGCATAACAGCAAATAATGAGAGAAGCATAGACCTATTCGAAAAAGAGCAAGTTCAGGTTTCAAAATTCAAAATAATTTTTTATTTCTAAATTTTGACTGGAAAAACTTTGTTTTCGTCTAGCTTCCAACAGGTCCAGCGAAAAGGTGAGAAAATAAACAAATGACTTTAAATTCAGCACAGAAAATCTGACTAGCCTCGTTTTCGCGTAACTTTAGCAATTATTTTGTTGTGATATATAAGGAAAAAAATAATCCACTTACTCACTTACAGATAATTATAAACGTGATTTTGCAATTGCATGGAAAATTCTCGTCGCTGGGCGCTGGCAAACTCCAATTCTTACCAGATAATCACCTATACCCGGTTTTCTCAAAATGCATTATGATTGCCCAGCTAGTTTGATTTCGTTAGATAATTCATCATTACTTGATAATTCATCACTGTTTGATAATTTCTCATTAGACCACTTATCGAGGCGAACTATTTTCAAAGCTTGCATGTAGTGCGTCATCATAATAATTTATGCCATCATAAGAAATCGGAGATTGTATACATTACCGTTAACGAAAACATTTTTGAATAATCCGCATTCCGCTGCATGTCACATCACGAATTTCTTGTGCCTGGTTTTACGGCATAATTTTTTATACTACACTGATAGCATTCTGTTAAGTATAAAGGTCTGTACACAGTATAGTGTATCAATCATATTATAGATAAAGCAATACTGAATTGGCTTCAAACTGTATTTGCTGCCCATATTCCGATTGCAAGCCAACAGCCTATTAAACATCTATCAGAAGTGAATTGGATCCAACAAAATTGGATCTTGTGAACAGACCTTAAGACATCAAACACTCCGACTTAAATGAACATATCATATACAAACAAAGAGAATTAGTTGCATGCCCACACGACGATTTTCTTACCAGACGGAATTGAAAGGTTCAAGTGCTATTTATTTGCAATATCATAATGCTTAATTTTTTGCTTAATCGATGTATTAATGCGTGATAGTCGTAATACTTTATTTCTTAAACATTTTCTTTGAGCTGTAATTTTCTGTAGTAAAAGCAATAGAATGATTCTTCATCATGTTCGAGCAGGAAGTTTGCGTGCAGGAGTCATTGTCAATAATAAAAAATAGCAATGTCCGGATATTGTTATTATATTTCAATCAAAATTATGATAATTTCCCGTACAACGAACCCTTCTTGAATTAAAAAAAAAATCCTAATAAATACTCAAATTCAAAATGAAATAAAACAACTAAAATACAACGTAATAAATTTAATTTACGACAGATGAAAATATTATGTTTAATAAGTGAAAAGAACTGAAATTCAAATTGAACACGAAAGGATTGAAATACATCACCAAATTTTGTTAAACACCCTAAGATTACTAACCGAAATACAGATCTAAAAACTCAATTTTTCAATTATGAATAAGAATTACAAGAAAATGTCATTTTCATGACGCATGCAGGCTGTGCAGTTGTCTTTGCTTTTATTAAAATTATTATTATGCATGTTTGACTTATGTTATAGCGGTAGCAAAATTAAAAGTTGTTAGTTAAATGAAGATCCTCTCAGCTTGAGGATTTGAGATAGTGAAGCCATCATACAAAATATTCAATTGGATCAGTGGCATTTTTGTTCAGCTGGATAGCATCAAGATGAGGGGGCTGATCAGCAGCTAAAGCTTGAAACACGCGTAAATGAGCATATTCTGGACCACCAACATGAACCTGTAATAATTAAAATTAGGTATAGTCTAAATTAAACAATTCAGCCCCTTTCACGATAATGCTAGATAACAATACATAGCATTTTGCGCTTTTCTAAATCAATAAAGGGTGCTTGAATTGTTGAAAAAGACACAACCTTGGACAAACAATTAAGTACCCAATATCCCCATGCAGTATAGAGGGTGTGGCACCTGGTTATTAGGCAGAAACTCCACATAGAACAGCCTACTTGGCTCTCAACTTCACCTTAATAAAATAATTCATTCCATTCACAAGTTGCTCCCTGTATAGTGTTGCTTTGAACATATCAAAGACCTGGCCTGCCTTCTCCTCAGCAGCAGCTTTTACCTGAAACGAAAAAAGTAGCCGCGTTCCACTCAAATTTCCGCCAAGCTTGGTCGAGCCACCATTATATTTGTCAAATCTCAAATGGACAAATTTTTTATACAGAATCAAAGTATGAAATATAAAGACAACAATAATATGAAGCTTATGAAGATTATGAAGCGATACGGGTGTGATTCATATTATATTCAATAATGTCTTAAATATCGGCTCATTTGTGCCGAAAAGCGATTGGTTTGCCTGGCATCCTTATTTTGCTTCTATATGCATGATAAATATAAATAAATAAAAAGATTATATCAACTAACCTGATCACAGATTGCTTGAATCTCTGGAGTGGCCTTTTTTGGTTCACTCAAACCGCCTTCTGACATTTTTCAGCGAATTTTTACTGTTTCCAAACGAAAAGGTCGTGAATACTTTCTTTGATCGCTAAAATAATTAAAAATATGCATTATATAAGAACAAATTAATTTGGTCTAGTATATAGACTTATACTTGACTACAAAGCTCACAATGATTTGTAAATTATTTGTTTCCAACCATGTCATGTGAGAGAAAGACAGCATGACCAGTCAGCCATTATGTAGCATGCATAGATTCAATGGTGGCTAACCGAGCTCATAGTTTTGTGGCTAAGCGAGCTTAAACGCGTACGTATGTACACGGAACTTGCTCTTTCGCCATGCACCGGCTATTTTGAGAACATTCAGGCCTACTCCTATACAGTGATTTAGATTAGATTTTGTCAAGACTACAGTACAGATATTTTTATTTCTACTTTAATCAATTTCTGAGTGATCAATGCGAAGCCTGGTTTCAATTTGATTTTGTTGACTATTGATGTAATTCTGTTAGTCTCTAAAGGCCCGTTTACATTTGCAAATTTTGCTGCGATTCCATGTGCGATATTCTTTTAACGAGAAAGGGACTAACGATTTTCGTATAACGAGGAAAAAATTATGAATGCCCTAATGTACGGGTCTCCTTATTTCAACATCTGTAACTTATCCACTCATTTGCATCTATCAAAAGGAGAAACGGGCCTTAAGCGAACCGCAACAGCAGTGTTAGGTTGTCTTTCGGTCTCGTTTCGGTTGCGGTCGACCGGTCACAACTCAATCTTACATGCAATGAAATGACACAGGAGAAGGCATACATCTATGATCTAGCAATACATCCAACTCGACGAACATCAATCCCACTTTTATCGATTCGCTTGAATTAAAACGCATAACCCTTCATCTTCACAGTCTCGTTAAAACCGGTGCGTGTTTAATGGGTCAAACACAGGCAAATTCGATATTTTCTCGATAACATTTGCTCGATGCACAGCCATGTTGACATGTGAATAATATTTTGATATGAATATTTTAAAATCCATATCAAAAGTATCAGACTATACACTTCACGGATTATCATGTTATAATTTAATGCAAAACACTTTTATTCCTTCTTTAATAAACCAGAAAATTTTACGCAAATTTGTAGCAAAATTCTTTCACTCCTTTCCACTCCCGCCAAAACACAGTACGATTTTGTCTTTTTTTTCTAAAATTAGCATGCGCGAGCTGGTATGCGCAGTGCAATTTGTTGTGTCGATTTATGGCAGGAATCTTCCTCACTTTTTTCCTCCCCGACACAGCTAACCCAAGCCAAATATGCTTCCTAGCCGTGTCACATCGAGATTTGCGATGTCAGATTTGCCTCGTTCTGATGAGTCGTCATAGTAGCTGGAAACCATGTGCTCGCTCTATTTTGACATCTTGTTGTTAATTAAGGCATATGAGCCGTCACTGTTGTTAAATTACTCATTTTGCGGGTAACCTTTTGAATCACATACGCTGTGAGCCTGTGACGTTGTAATGTTAACATTTTTGGTAATTATCGTTAACCGAAATCAACACATTCCGAACGCACATCACTAATCTGTGATTACTGCTAATATCATCATAAGAGATGCCTGCGGAGGAGGCTAATTCACAATCACTGGTATCTTCACGCGTTTAAATTTCCTGCGCTTTTAACTTTGCGGTAGCTATAATAGATGAGCGGACGCTTTTCCGGAAACCATATCATAACATAAATTTAGATACGCGATCGTCGTATAGTTAAAGATAAATTAGAGATGCTTCAAATGATAAAGATATAAACTTACAAAGTGTGTTATATGCCTTTAATTGCACTGTATAAATTTCCAGCTTCTCAAACGATCTTGCAGTCTCCAGCACGTTTAGCTAAGCTGTTGACCTACTCGCAAACACGCGCATTTATTTATTAACTTAGCGTTAAAAAATGCTTTTGACTTGCAAATTACACGCGTGTGCTCACATGATCCACATCATCGGCGTTAAAAAAAGATCAAATAAAAGCTTCTGATATTATAATATTGACAAACACAAAAGGACAGTTGAGCGCTTGTAGCTATATACTTCAGTAACGCAGAAATCGATCGATTTTGAAACAAATGGCTAAAAAGATATGATCTACGCTATAAAGAGCATGCATGATAGCTTCTTTGCGAAGTTTAATTCGACGAAGCCACGGCGGAAAAGTCTTGCAAATTATATCTAAAATAATAACCCACTGTATTCATATAATTATATGGCATAACGGGAGAGCTTAGAATAATATATGAGCCGATTGACAAAGGGAGGCTCAGCCCGAAACAAAGATTAAAGTCAGTGAAGTATACAAACAACAGGCTTGCATGTGAACAACAAGGAACTTTATAAGATCTTTAAGATTTTTAAGCCAATAATTATAGTGTTACCTTCCAATATACCAAACTCATATTGCAGGATTTCATCGATCCAGGTTTTCAATTACAATATTTATAACCTTTGATAAAAGTTTGCTTGCACATCGGCTTTATGTCGGCTGTGAAAAGCTGATAAAGCTCTCCTCGGTATTATGAACAAGTCAGCGTCGGGAAACAATATCCAAGTGTTGCTTTGAAAACAGGAAGAAAGAATGTTTTATAATGTATATATGTATAATTTTATACATTTATATGTACATGTATAATGTAAAAAACGTTGTTATAAGAGAGTCGAGAAAATTCTAGAAGTTCGTGTTTTCATATTATGTATGCTCGGACATAATTTCTAAAATAATTTAAGAAATGTAATTAAGATAATTTCAAGAAATGTAATTAGTTGCACTGCATGGTATTGAAGTGGTATTCGCGTCCGGTCTGCATGTGTGGTCTTTGTGATATCACATGCAACAAAGGCCGCGCACACCGGACGCGATTCCCCAACGCACGTGAAATTTTGAATCTACACTGCAGTCAAATGTATTGTAGTTACTTAATATACAAGAATATTGTGATAGGTTAATATTTATTTGCTTTTGGAACATAAAAAACGTCTGAAAATCGCGCCGGGTTGCTATAAGAGAGTAAAGAAAATTATATAAGTTCCTGTTTTGATATTAGCGAGGTGAAGATTTGATTTCCACTACCACTACCGCTACCTTTTGCTGACCTATTCAACATGTTATTGGTTAATCAGGTAGCCTGGTCGCATCTGATTGGTTTATTTTTCATTTAAGGTCTCGGTAGTGGTAGTGGTAGTAAAATCTGAACCTCGCTATTATGTACGCTTGGACATAATTTTTAAAAAATCGGCAGGCAATAATATACATAGAAGTCAGAAGAGGTAAAAATTCTCCCAAGAAATGTAATTATAGTTGCACTGCATTGCATTAAAATGCTATTTGCAATATCAACTTATGCAAATTAAAGAATTTGCACATGTTTTGAAACACCCCGTATATAGTTGTTATGTAAAGGAATTAAGTTGTTGGCGCCTTTAAGATATAATTCTAACTTTATTATTGGATCAATTTTGAAAGCAAATTGCAGAAATATGCATGCGGAGAATCAATTTAGGGAGAAACTATGTACCAATAAGTGTTTGTGTACGAATCTAAAATGAGCAAATCAATATTTACGGCAAGTAATGTATATGTCTGAAATTTCTTTATAGAGCCGACTAAATGGTAGGACTTCATTAATCCACCACCGTTTTATTACAGTCCGACTTGAGTGAACATATATACAAACAAAGAGAATTAGTTGCATGCCCACACGACGATTTTCTTACCAGACGGAAATGAAAGGTTCAAGTGCCATTTATTTGCAATATCATAATGCTTAATTTTTTATCGATGTATGAATGATGAATCGTAATACTTTATTTCTTAAACATTTTCTTTGAGCTGTAATTTTGCTGTAGTAGAAGCATTAGAATGATTCTTCATCATGTTCAAGCAGAAATGTTTGCTTGCAGGGATCATTGTCAATAATAAAAAATAGCAATGTCCGGATATTGTTATTATATTTCAATCAAAATTATGATAATTTCCCGTACAACGAATCCTTCTTGAATTAAAAAAAAATCCTAATAAATACTCAAATTCAAAATGGCTGAATTGTCTTTGCCTTTATTAAAATTATTATTATGTTTGACTTATGTTATATAATTTATAGCAATAGCAAAATGAAAAGTTGTTAGTTAAATGAAGATGAAGATCATTCTCAGCTTGAGGATTTGAGATAGGAAGCCATCATTCAAAATATGTAATTGGATCAGTGGCAGTTTTGTTCAGTTGCATAGCATCAAGACGAGGGGGCTGATCAGCCTGAGGTAAAGCTTGAAACACGCGTAAATGAACATATTTTGGACCACCAACATGAACCTGTATAACAATTGAAATTAGGTAGTCTAAATTAAACAATTCAGCTTCTTTCACGATTACGCTTTTCTAATTCAATTTTTGCAGTCATAAAAAGGTTTTGATTTATGGAAAAAGACACACCCTGCATAGGTGACCAACACACTAAACAACATCCCCAGAAACTCTTCATAGAACAGCTGCGATGTATATATGCAAACTATACTAGGGCCTTTACCTTAATAAAGTAATTCATTCCTGCAACAACTTGATCCCTGTATAGTGTTGCTTTGAACATATCAAAGTCCTGGCCCGCCATCTGCCGAGCAGCAGCTTCTACCTGAAACGAAAAAAGTAGCTGCGTTTCACTTTTCAAATTTCCGCCAATTAGACTGGGTCGAGGCACCATTATATTTGTCAAATCTCAAATGTCAACAGAGTTACCTGTGGACAAATTTTCTAAACAGATTCAAAGTATGAAATACAAAGACATCAATAATTATGAAGCTCACAATAAATTCTCACCAAACCGTTTTTTTTGCCTTCAGGGTATTTCAGGATGTCCCTGGGCTATCATGCACCCCTGCCAGGGGCTCAGCTCAAAGTGCGCCGGAACTGCATAACGGGAAGACGTCAAGGGCGCATCGCCCCGCAGGATTACTCTCCCTTGTGATATGTCACAGCGATACGGGTGCATGTAATTCATAGTATAATGCAATGGCTTAAATACCGGCTTATTCTGTGTCGAAAAGCAATTGGTTTGCATACACTAGATACATCAGTGATAAATATAAAAAAATATATCAACTAACCGAATCAGTCATTGCTTGAATCTCTGGAGTGGCCTTTTTTGGTTCACTCAAACCGCCTAGTACTGACATTTTTCAACGAGTTTTTACTGTTACCAAAGGAAAACGTCGTGAATACTTTCTTTGATCGCTATGATAACTAAAAATATGCATTATATCAGAACAAATGAATTTGGCCTAGTATATAGACTCACTTGACTACAAAGCTCACAGTGATTTGTTATTATTAGTTTCAAACCATGTCATGTGAGACTACATGACCAGCCAGCCATTATGTTGCATGCATAATATATTATAGGTTTATACTATATTTGACCACACATGCAAGCAAGCCGTAAATTGGTGTTTTAAGAGTAAATGGCATTGCATGATGGAGCCCCCTGGTCGAAAGCATTGCAGATACCAAATATACACGTGGTGTTTCTATAAACCAGTTGATAATTGTAGATTATTGTATAAAATTTTATAAAATATATAAGTACAAACATACGACGATATTTGAATGAGCTTAGAGGAAAAATTACTTGGCTGATAATTTCTACTGAATAATTGTACTGCCAAGGCACAAGGCACAAGTGCAAGAAGACTTCATGCACTTCTTAGTTTTTAACTACGAATTGAACTTACCTCGAACAAATAGAGCTCTTTTCTTATGAAAGGGCCAACGCAAACTAGCAAAATCTACGTATGAACGCGAGAATTAATAGCATGGTAAATTGCATGGGAAATTTTTTGACCAAATTATGTACTTAGTACTACATATTGCGGTATCTTAATTTGTTAGCCATATATATAGCCTGGTAAATTGCATAGGAAATTCTTTGACCAAATTATGTACTTACTGCGGTATCGTAATTTGTTAGGCATATAGCCTGGTAAATTGCATAGGAAATTCTTTGACCAAATTATGTACTTACTGCGGTATCGTAATTTGTTAGGCAAGCAATCACGCGACATCAAATATCACAACATTGCGGCTAGTGCATGAGTGTTATTTTCTATACATACTGTTTCTTTCTGCACGATGCAGTTCTCGTTTATCGCGTAGACGCGTACACATCTCGACCTACTTTTGTCGAGTTGCTTGACATACGATCGTACGTTGGTTGGCGCTGGGCGTCGCAAGTTTTACATGCGAAATAATCTTAAGTTTTCTTGTTTTGCATATATGAAACGGGGGGGGGGGTATATACCGAATGAATCGTCTGTATTAGGGGAAGATATAACTATGCAATGACGCACTTTACTTTATCCAGCAGCCACTCTGGCGCCAGGAAACTATACTAAATTGAGACTGATTTCCAATTACGCTTTTTTCTTACGCACGTACACGCATGGAAAATTTTAACTACTTATAAACAATAAAGTTAATATTATTTAAACGTCTAGGTCAACAAATGCATACTAAAATATGTATTCGCTGTATTAAAACAGCTTCAAGAAAGCCAGTGATTATTCTGATACATTGTTTCCATGAATTAGCCTTTCTCACGATGACGAATATGCGCCATTTTTGGGGTACTTTTTCTTAAAACCGCAAGCGTGAGACCTCATAACGGCAACAGTCTTTAATTTTAGGCTGGAGTTATTTTTCCAATGGTCTGTTGATTCTAAAAAAATTACTTTTCATGTTATATAACTTTTAAAACATTGCGAGAAAGGCTAATTCAACAGCTCTAATGTTTTTGCTTGTAAAGTCTACATTTCCTAGATGTACATATTATAGTTTACGATGTTGAAGGGTTGCATTCCCACTGTCATTGCACAAAAACTTTGCACCATAAAGAGAATCTCGAACCCAGGGTCAAAGACAACTATTTTTAACCTCCCATTCTTGGACGGGGAAATCCTGCATTTATTTAGAAGAAAAATTGTGCCCGTGTACGATCAGATTCTGTCACGAATCGAATATTTTGAAGGTAAAACACCTGAAAGGGTGTTTTGAAGGTATTTTTAAGTTCACTGACGAGACTTGCACTATTTTACGGACGCCTGATACAATCCCAGTTGTTAAGGTCGACACAGACCGGACGCCCAAATTGGGCAACGCGGCGCGAATTTTCAACGTTTTTAATTTTTCAAAATCAAATAAATTTTAAACTATCATAATATTCTTGTATATTACATAGCAATAAAACATTTTGACTGCTTTAGCGTCCATAGTTTCCAAATTTTACTTCCAGAATTTAATTTATACGCTTCTGAAAACTCAAAATTCGCGTCGCGTTGCCGCATCGCGTCCGGTGTGTATCGGCCTTTAGATTATCTGCAAAATCGCTACAAGAAACCATAAAGACCAAGTGTAAATAAACTGTCACCTAACGCTGGCTAGAGGTCAAATAAATACCTGCATGCAAAGCAGTTGTAACCCTAAATGCAATAAATAAATATTTAATTCATTATTAGGTGCAATGTTAACATCATCAAAAGCTGATTTCGTCGATAATTATTCATGGTAGCTAATGTCATTAACTGAGTAGCTAAATTATTATAACACTGATCACGTTTTCAGTCCAGTAGAACATGCATTAGGGGCTGTTCACACGAGCCCGGTTACCGAGCTCGATTTAACGAAGTGAAAAATGGACTTTGAGGTATTGATTGAATAGAATAAATAACATGATCCTGGAGGTCAAGAAATTATCCTAAGAATAGCAAGTGCTTGTTTTGTTTTAAAAAGACTTATTTCATTTCATATCTCAAACTCATAACCGGGCTCGTATGAAAAGCTCCACAGAAGCTAGGGCCTAGGCAACAGTGTTGTACTTTCACAATCACATCATTTTGGCGTTTACATGAACATTTTTTCAAGATTTTATCAATGGGTGCTATTTGTCATCCGAGGCGAATAATTTAGCGCGCGAAAAGGAAAATAGTTTTGTAGTGCACAATCTAGCAACCTCCATACTTTACGTTCCTCATGCAAAGTACTGAGATAATTGCAAGCTATGTTTATACTGCCAAAAAACACTAGATCTATGAGACAGTACATTTAAAACAACTCCGTTCAGCCACGACCTAAAATGTTCACAAATTTCTGCAATTTTTATTATTTCAGGTTTCGAGCATTTGAATCGGTGTTAAAGGATTTAGCTAACACGTGTTTTTTTTCTAAGCCATTGTTTGAATCACTGACATGCATGTACAGGAGCGTCGTGATCTGAGTCAATAATAATGTGATCACACTCGTCGGTCACATGCAGAATATCGTCATTCACGTGATCGGTTATATTAGTAATTTCGTGTGGTATTTCCACAAACTGATGAGACGCCCCAAATGCAAATCTTTTTGTCATCCCCTGATTTTCGTCGAATGCGGCGCCAAATTTTTCATAAGGATGAACACACTTTTCAGATATATCAGAAGTCTGTTCCCAGGCAGAACAGGGTTGTTCACAAAGACTGAAAGCTTGATCCCAGGAGTCAGCAGTTTTCTCGAATGCTCCACAGCTTTGTTCACAAGACTGAACAACATTTTTTTGGCGATTTTTTCGTCGACGGGGGGTGAGAAGATGCCGCCGCTTTTTCCTTCGAACTGGTTTAGTTTGCCTTTTGTTTTGAGAAGTATTGGTTTGTTGCGATATAGCAGAACCAGACGCCTCACTCGCCTCAACGGGTACCATCGTCTTGTATGTCGCCTTGCTGTAGAAATTTTCAGGTTTTATAGCACTGGCTTCGTACTCTGCGGCCGCACAGGATCCTGGATCTACTTTGTTCATTTCCCGGACGAAATTCACGATAGGGCGCTCACAGCAGTCAACTCCAGAGTCATAACCAGAAAATAATGGGTAGTCTGAGATTATATCTAAACAATAAATCATTGCGATTATAGCTGGCAGCTGGGAATGCTGGGTACGAATAGGTGATAGAAATTTACCACATTCAGACAGAATCCTGGTAAAAATACTAAAGTTGAAGGCTGGAAACGTAAACAGCATGTAGCTGCAGTAAATTAGACTGAGCCATATTCTTTCAATGAAACATTACAGTCTTTATTTACTCCCTTTATTTCACATGTTTTCAGACGGTCACATTGTAAGGTGACTTCAGATGACTGATCTGAACAGAAATATTTTGCTCGATATCTCGAGAAAATGTCACATCATTTCACTGCATTCATGATTTACATGCGTCTGACCAACAGTCTGGCAGTGAATTGTATTATAGGAGCCATGACATAGCTATAATACATAAAAATATGCAGTCTTGCTAAAGACTGAGACCAACAAAGCACTCACCTCCAATTCTATGAGTATCTCTCTTTAATCTCTTGCTGGTATCCCGAAAACTGTACTTCCTTTCAACCGAGTCTTTGTTGTCATGAGAACTGAATGCCCCTTTGCCACGCCTTTCACACGTGACACACTCACATTTACAGTTGGCGTCACCAAAGAAGTTGCTGCCATAAAAACACGTGATCTCTTCACCCTCGTCAATATCACGCAATACTTTCACACACGCTGTTGATACACCTGTAGACACAAACTAAAAAGAAAATACAGAATAAAAGGGAATTAATCTGAACCTAATCTCCAGGAGGAACAGTTAAGGATGGTAGTAAAAGGTGCTTAAATATTGCTCTTGAAATTAAATTTTTTATGTCCCTGAAAAGGCAAGATACGTATCTTTCGGGGCTAAAAGTATAATTGTGTTTCATGTACATTAGTTAAACAATATTGCTCATCACAAGACCTTGACATCACCTGTTCTTATCTGGTGGTTTACTGACAACGTGAGACTACACTTCGTACTGTATATGCTTTGTACAACATAACTGAAGACGTTGACACTGAGAACATCTAATGCATGAAAAGCGCAAACTAACCTTACAATTTGCACGACAGTCTAAAAAAAGAATAAATGAAAAGCTAATGTTATGATATGATCAGTAGTGTTTCAATAAATGAAATGTATTCACCTTTATTCAGCCACAGAGTCCAATGGAATGTATGCAATGCTTACACATGAAGAGATGTATATTTCATATTATATACCGGGTATTTCTTTACATCGATAGCTTGGTTGGTTTATATATTGCTTCATATTATGATTTATATATTGCTTTACACCAATAGTTGCAATGTGTAAAGGCCATTCCTTAAGAGTGATTTTTGGGTAATTGTTTTCAGATTAATGTGCTGAGCAACCTGTTCATTTGTGCAGGATGTAACCGTACCCCCAAATGTACTTCTTACCATGATTAATGTATGCTGCAGGTCCCAGCCATAATTGCGAACAATTCTTTCTTGTTGAAAACATAATACTGAAGTCATTTTCACCAGGACGAAGTAATTTGGTTTCTTCTTCACTAGTCATTTCAGCAATACATCCACACAGGTAAGGAATATTATCACCTTTACACCTGTACAGATAACAAATATGTTGGAGAATTTGTGGGAATACACATGTACTTCCAACTTTGTTAAATATTATTATTATTGTTACATCTTTAATCAGGGCGAAACCCATCAGCAGAACTTAGCTGTTATCAACGGATTGTGTTATTTTGAAAAGGGAATAAGAGTTAAAGTGGAACTGCAACCTTGTGTCTTTCCAGATAGACTTTAGAGTAACACCACCAAGCAATTGAGAAACTACATTATCTACACATTAGCTCATACATACAACTGGTACAGTATCTGATGATTTTTAACGGCAAGAAATTAAGTGAGAAATTAAGGGGAAATTAAGTATTTTGCTATGGTAGATGATAAATTAATTCATGCATCTATATTCACTGCACATGAAAGAGCAGCTAAAAGATACCAATTTCTACATCAAATTTGAATGCAAAGCATTTGCCATGGCATTTGTGAAACAAGCAAAGACATTTGGACCCACAGACAATTGTATTTTTAAAACATGTCTATTGCAAAGGGCTGGATGATATACTCCAGATCTGAGTGTGAATATTTACCATGATTTTCTTGATATGACTCTGGCACCTTCTTTTTCAGTTGAATATCGAGTGCATGGGACCACTTTCACTCCAGAATCAGGCATGAACAAACCAAGATATTTCATTAACTAGAAAATATATTATTTATGTTTTACTTGAATGTTATGTCCCTTACATCATTTACATGCTAACTTCAGTAGCACATCTTATTACCTGTGATTGACCACTGATAGTTTATTAAACACAACATATAACAACACATTAAAATACCCAGAAAACTAAACTACACTGTACAACCACACAAATTTCTACTGAAGTATCCGCACCCTGCATATATCTGGTTAACAAATGTATTCATATATGATTGACAAAATGTAAAGATATTGTATGAAGTTATCGCCCAGAATTGATTACACATCAATAAAATTGATTTGACATTTATATAGACAAAGCAGTTTTTATCAAGTATGTTGTTCGGAAAATTTAATTTCTCTTGGCATAGGAAAAGAATATCCCAAAACGAGAAATCATGCACAAATAGTTGCCACTCAACTTGAAATGATTTCTTATATATCTATGCAATTGTTAAAGAAGCTGACTGGCTGCTAACTCATGGTAACGCTAAGGAATATTTCTAAAAGCAATCTACTCATCACTCACAACAACTTGAACTGTACCTACAGTATGAATATCTTGCAAAGGCTGAAAATTGCTAAGCACCACATACCATACAATTGCTTCAAAACGGCTCATTAAAATTACTAGTAGTTTCGTAAAACTTAGACTAAACCTCAGCTTCCTCAAATCAGAGCTTCACTTTATTAATCATGGGCCCCGGTTTTACTTAGGATTCCTTATTCCTTTGCAACATTTTCATAATTGTTAGGAAAAAAACACTATTTGGCAAATTATCCCAACATTTTTATAACCAGTCTCCTGAACTATTTTTTGGATGCCACAAGGTTGGAAAATGGATTAGACTTGAAAATCAGGTTATTCCCACTGTCCAATCTGATTCTTTATGCTATTGGGTGACCATATGGCGGTAAAAATTAATCTGCTATACATCTATAATATTACCAGGTGCTAAAATTGCATATCATTTAAAACACTTTTCTGTCTGTATGTAGGCTAGAGCTAAAATTTCTCAGAGCTAAAGTTTATGTACTGTGCACACCAGATATGCAGGTTGTGGTTTAGTTTCCTGGGTTTAGTTTCCTGGGTTTAGTTTCCTCGCCTCATTTCGAGAAAGCCAGAAACAAACCCAGCAAGGAAATGTTTTTGTTTCACTGAATGAGACATGAAATATTTAATGAGCAAACAAAGTGTTGTCTATTGTCTACTCCCCCCCCCACTTTTCCAATATTAATCACATGATATAATATTTCGAAACATCCAACATTACGAAATATCCTGAAATCAAGATTCAAGACAAAAAATATTACTAACATGATCTTTAAATGCATCGATCTGTGCTCGAGATTTATTCAAGAAATAATGAACGCTCCATTGTCCAGTTTCTGTTACAACCTGTTTACATGCCCGCTCCAAATCACCCGTGCTCTCAAGTTCTGTCAAAGTTTGTCGTATTACGGAATGATCCGACTTTATAGGTCGAAATCTACCACTCATTTTGTGAGTTGTAAACCCGAGATAGACGTCTATGGTAAGATTAATGCACATATCGTCATGTTCAGCGAGTTGTTTCGCAGGAGAAATCCCCGGCTTCGCACAATCCACAGGCTTTATAATCACCATGACTCGCCTCGATATTATCCCTGACGAAGTCGTCTAACCGTAAAGCACGGCTTAGAAATGAAATAGATCACTATAGGCTTTTCGACATTGTGTCGGTAGATAATTTCAACTTCTCCCTTGTTGTTCTTCGTTAAAATGTTTCTCACAAGTTCTCTTCCGACGGTTTCAAAATTCAAACGTAGTCACTTTCAAAATCATCTAAATAGTCATGTGACTCATTTCCTCTTTCCCAGATCCTTTGAAGGAGCTGACGTCATTGGTGTCGATTTTTCCTAATGCGAGCATGCGAGCCAAACCCTTTTGGCAGATCTTTCTTTATAGATCATACATACAGGTTGAAGAAGCGTAAATTATGTGAATCGCTCATCCAAAGCCAATACAGTCTTCTCTGTGATAGAGCAATCATATCTTTAAAAAGGTTAAAGGGTCCTTCATAAAATTCGCCTCCCCCGGTAAGGACGTCCCAGGTTGATTTCCTTTGGCCTTTGAATTGAAGGTTTGGTAATATGAATGATTTTTTAACTGTATACGCGTGGATACTCGGTCATAGTCGTTTCACCTCGTGTACCAAGCCATTCATTTGAAAACATACTGAGGTTGCATACAGCTACTATGGGAGTCTATGCGCTTATAAATATTTCATTCCGTTAATCCAGGACTTCGAACTGGAAGCTTTGCAATTTAAATACTTATTATAAATATTTACTTAAATATTTTTGCACTGTGCTTACAAGCTAATTTATTTATATTGTGATATCGGCCATGCAAAATTACAAAAATAAACAATGCGCTTGTTTATTTCCACTGATCTCTATGTAATAACTGATTTTTTTATGTAAACGTGAAACATATAACGATCCATGATGTTAAAAAAAACGTAAGAATATAAGATAGGAAGGCATGAAACCTATCATTCTTGATCCCCGGAAAAAAGAATTGAAACGCCTATCTACGTTCCTGTTAGAATATATAAATTCCCGCACAATATGAGAATTAGATCATTGAAATGATTCATTACGCCTGCTAACGTCCCAGTGAAAAAAGTGGCTACATGAAATAATGTTCTTGGACGAGTATTCTATTTATTCTATTTATATGTGGACGGGCATTTTATTCAGCTTCAAGACTTCATATTCATGTTATATTTGGAATATCAACTTTCCCTTTGTTTCCGCTTCTTCTCTTCAAGAATATTGGGTGTGGACCTTTCCTGCACAATACTGTTGTGCATAAAATACGGAAACGGAAGGCGGGTGGCAGATCGACGCATTTGTTTATCAGTACTGAGATAAAGTTATAAGCATCAAATTCTGAAACTGGATTAATTGTACTACAGCTGTGTTGTACTACATACAGCTTCCTTAGTTGAAAATTATATGCTTTTACAAATTACAATGTCCTTGTTTGACACCACAGTTAGCCAAGTTGTCAAAGATATTTCGGACGATACGTTGGTCCCGGTCCCAAATCGCAGTTCAGCAGATTATTGCAAAATATTGTCATTGGTTAAACGCAAAGAACTGTTTTGGCACCTTCCATGGAAGTCAGCATTTGAATATCTTCCTACAGAGCTAACACTGAACGATATTTTGATCGAGGTAGGTCTCTTAAACCCGCGCAAAAATACGCATGTGACAGTGTAATTCGTTTTCACCGCCCGCTTTCGTGAAGCCGGAACAGCAACTTTTTTGAGACAGTGAACTGATCTGGGACCATTCAGGGTTATAATACAGTATAAGATTCCGAAAATGAAGATTCTCTAGCAGTACAACTTCGCATCAAATATGGCAACTGCCTAAAATAAAACACTTTTCGACGTTTCAAGTTTGAAAGTGACTTAGACTGTATAGTAAAGTAATGCGGGACGCAATATTGTGGCATTTATTCAAGAAACACGACCGGTGGAAAACGTCTCATTTTGCCCCAATCCGGTAAAATGAGACAAGCAATAAATATACAGAAATTTTTAATAATTTGAAAGTATTTTAATTGTAGGATAAAAGTAAGGTTAAAAATACATTGGAACTAAATAGTTTCATCAGCAGTCATAGCAAATATCACATATTACAATTCTGGTGGCACAGAACACCAACAAATGAATCTTCATGTAGCCATTTTTTTTTAAAACCGAACCCAATTCTCTCCAGGCAATGACTGAGACCAAATCATCACATATAGGACATTGTGAATTTTTGACAATAGCCATGCGAATAACATTTTCGGTTTCTAAAAAGTTCTTATTCTAAAGTATCAGAAGCTTTGGCTCTCGTGAATGTATTAGAATATCCGGCAATGTGCATACCCAAATTACATGGCCCAAATTTTTAGTAAGCATAAATATAATATAAAACACTAGTGGTGTCCGGATCCTTGCATCTTTGGCAATCAAACCATTCCTACCTTCCTAGTACCTACGCCCCTTGTGAATTACTTATACGACATATGAAAACTTTTAGGAACTAGTTTGGTTTAGTAATACATCCGCCATAATCTTAGCGAATTTGTATTTACGAAATCGATCTGACAAATTGTAAAATAACATAAATATTTATCTGCAGACCATTGATCTGAATGATCTCGAAAGAAAGTCATCAATACTACTTCAGAATTATGCCTGTACACCCTCTTTTAAAAAAAAATTGGAAAATTAGTGGTAAATTAGCTGAAGAATATCAAGCAGATTTGGACAGCCACGAGACAATGCAAATTTCGATCAAGCAGGGAAATGTTATGAAGCATGAAGTGATGTGGCAGAAGCTTTACGACACTGTGAATAGTCGAGAGGTGAAAGTTGAACATCCTATAGTGGAAGCAGTCAAAAGCTGTAAAAGAAGAAGTTTGTTTTTGATTGGAATGGTCGTCAATACTTCAGAAATCACCTCAAGTTTTGATGATGATACAGAGATTGGTGGTAAGTGAAATTTTAATCTGATGAAAAGGCTCCATTATCGTGGCCTACTCAGCCACTAAGTAGTGGTTGCTGGACGAAAGTGTTGACTAGAGGTATAGTATAAATTTCGAGGTGACTATTGATTTCCCTGAATTCTGATTGCTCAAGATTCACTGTCTGCGAAACGATCGTCATTGCATGGTCGGTAACTATAGCTTTTTGTTGTTGAATTTCAAATAAGAAATTTGAAGTGAATTATAAATTTTTTATGAAATTCTGTTGATTATAATTATATTTGTAAAAACCTCGAAATTTATACTAAAGCAATTAGTCGCCTCAGGCTCGGTGATTACAAGCCTATATTCACCTCGCCTTCGGCGCGAGCTAAGACGGATGCACTATCTGTATAAGGGATAAACATATGGGATGAAAACGACATGCACATACTGTATATTTAGACATTTCAAAATTGTTGCCATTTTTAGGGGATTTAGTAGGTGGCCATCCGATAACATTGTCATTGAACAGCGATGGCTCTAGCGAGACAAAACAACACAGACAGTACACCATACCAGGTGGGACAACACTTGCGTATTCCTGTTATGAAATTAAGATCGGAAATGACGGTGCTCTGAGCTTGCAGCTCGGTGAATGCTAATGTTTTTCTTTGATGCGAATGAAAAAGACACGCGTTGCATAAAAAAATTTCGGTCCGATAAGGTCCAGAGGATAATTTTCCTACCTGGGAGGCAGCCTTTTTCATACGCCCTTGGATTTCATGGGACACGTGATAGATTATCGGTGCATGCATAGTCAGTGGTGACAGGTTATTTCTTATATACTCTGCATGATATACGTCCTATAATTCCCCATCTCATCCCATAAAAAAATCTCAAAAAGTTTATCTTATTTACGATAAACTAATTAACTCGCATTGCGCAATGCGCAAGCGAGTTCTTAAAATGGGAAGCGTTTCGGTTGGTCTTGGTGTTGAATATCACCTAAACAAATCAAAAATACAGGATACTATAAAGTACAAGATACTATAAAGCTTACATGTACACAATTATGTGATAAAAGCAAACCAATTAAGTACTAACCTGAAGGAAACAACTCAGTTAGTTTTCTTTTCCTTTGTGTTTGATTTCTGATAGCTTCCTCCTTACTCCTGCGCTGAGAAAACTGGCTGGTCAGTGAACCAGGTTCCTTAGCTTTGTATGTTTCATACGTCTTTTTTAAATCTTCCTTGTTGCATTTGTACAGAAGTTCATGACACATTTCATCTATATAACCTTGAGGAGATGTTATAATAACATTAGTATTAATTTATGGATTCATACCATTTTACACATTTGTTTATACATACTGTATGATGCTGGAACAGAAATTTCCCTGACCATTTCTTCACCTATATATATTTTGGGTAGGTGACCCTTATATATGGAATGCCTTTCTTGGACATCTTTGTCACCCTATGGGTATTTTCATTGAAGTGTAAACATGCTAGAATGTGCCTAGGTGTAAAAAAATTCACATAAGTTCCAATATTTCTATCCAGTATTACTATTATTGTATACAGTCTGCTCACTTTAAGCACAGATTGTGTACTAACCTGCAGTATGTCCCTAACCAAGAAAAGTGAATCATTTTAGGATGCCAATGGTTTAACACAGAATGAAAACCCTCTAAAGAGCTAGTTTGGACAACAGGTGAAAGCTTTTTGATATCTTTGACTAAGGTTTTCTTTGTCAGAATATTTTTGAGCTTCTGGTATGGTTTCGATCCTATGAAAGATAAAAAACAATGAGATGTTGAAAATCACCTTTCACATGCAATCTAGGAATGTGCCATTTCTACCACGTACCAATTTTAATCCACTTCTTAGTTTCGGTAATTTCACCAGGATTACATTTGTCATACAATGCATTTGGAAGTCCTTCATGCTCATTGTTGACATGCCTCATGAAAGACAACCACTTTGCTTCTATAAGGGAAGCAAAACCAGGCTTGGTTGATACAGCACACCAATATATGTGGTTTCTGATGGATTTCACCCATTCTTTTAGTATCTCGCAGCCTTTCTCTTTGCTTGCCTTTAGCACTTTCTTCACAGTTGACTTCGCCTGGTGCCAAATATCATAGTAGTGTGTGGTATCCTTTTGTGTGGATCGAATCCATTTTCCAATACCGCGGTGACGATCAGACACGAATGTCTTAATTGGAAGCTCCTCCTTGACTATTATCGCGTCAAATGAACGCTTGGCACCTTCCAACTCCATTTTATTACTACTCCCAACTTCATTGGCCTGTAAGAATAAGGTAATACAGTAGTAGAACGGGTGCACCCTTAAACCATTTCTAGACTTCGCCTGGTGCGCAGCGGTAAAAATATGCCTGAAGTTAAAGGAAATTAAAATACCTGAAGTAGTTCGAAGTGTACAAGTTTTGTCAGGTTACAATTCAACATTCAATAACACCCATACTTTGCGCTGTGTCCCATGCTATCGAATCTACCATCTCCAGCCCAAACGCTATCTTTTATACCCTTCAGTTGACCGATTAATACAGCCCGAGATTTCTCCCAGTATTGCAGTATTAATGGAAACAAAAATTTCTTCTGACGGTAGAAAAAAGTCCTAGCACAGTACATTTTAAGGCCCATATGCCTAAATAACAGCAGAACCTTACTAATTGAGGATCCAGACATCAGGATCGCAAAACTCATTAAAATATTACCAGCAGGATACTTTCCCAGGACCAACGGTTGACTCCTCCACGTATAACCTTTGCATGATTTGCATGTTTGTTCCACTATTGCCATTGATCCATGCATTTTGACATTAACACTTGGTGATTGTGCCTTGCATTCAAAACAGAACAATGAGAACAGTGAAACCAACATACTGTAGAACACAATAAATTTTGGTTCACTATCAGCCGATCTAAAATAAAAGATAAATTATTTTTAAGAGTTCCGGAGAATAACGCTTGTTGCAATATGTTTAAACGAAAAAAGACCTACCTCAATCGGGCGATGTATTTTTATCTTCCGTTTCGCCAAGCTCGTCATCATCTGATGCGTTAGCTACTTCGTCCTCCATGTTCGCGTTCCAGTCTGGATCTTTTGTTTCCCGTCTTAAATCATCATCCGAACTATCCCCATTAATTCATCATCGAAATGACATGCTTCGTCTAAAACACCAATATCATTTTCGTGTTCTGCTTCATCAGTGCTGCTTTCTTCAGAGGACAAATCTTTTCGCATATTTTCAACTAACTAAAACGATAAACACAACAAATCAGTGAAATGATCAATCACATCCAGGTGGCCAAAACGCAATGTTTTTACGAGATAAAATGGTGCTGTGTTATAGCTAATATATAAGTAATTGGTTACAACAAACCTTTTGGAGGTTTATATTCTCTTTTCGCAACTTCAAATTACGCTTCTTTTGCTTCGATCGCAACTTCTGAAGCTTTTCAATTCTCTCCTGTTTTACGCTACAATTCACACACAGAGATTCATGACCCGTCTCTGAGTTGTCACCCTCTGCTTCCCCCTCCGTTTTCTGCATAAGCTCCTCCATGCTCACGTTTAACATTTCTGCCTGATCGGGACTTGCCTCGTCACTTATTTTGTGGGCCGATGACACTACTTCCGGACTGGATAATTCGCCTGCGCAACTTGTCGATGGAGATAGCTGATCCCGTAAATCTGCAAGATTCACAATTATTTTCAATTCAAATTGCAAAAAGCTTTGACCGACTATGACAAAGCAACTGTTTGGACACATATTTCATAGGCAAATGAGGAATGTTTTGCTGCATAGAATATCGCCAGACTCACCCTTCTTTTCGTACGCGATGTCGCTGGTAATTCTTCGAGAACAACCGAACTTTTGTTGGTACAGACCCTTCTAATAGATATCTGGCTTTGGTTTCAGCTCGTCCGGGACGTCAATGTGATATCGTGTTCCGAAGCAAGATTTCTCAAAGTGTGCTGAGCATATTACTGAAGAACTCGTAGGAGTAAATTCGGCCGATGTTTTCGCACGAATTTTACCCACATTTTCTTCTGTTCTTCATTTGCGGGAACTTATGCATCGATATCCCTCAACGTGATATGTATTCATGCAACTGCGCAATCCAGGAGCTCCGCAGACGCAAAATTTCCCCCTCTGCTCTTCGTGCTGGAAGCCATGCTTGTTGAATTCAAAATGCTTAGTAAATCATAACGCACTCCTTTTATAGGGCAAGATTGTACCGATTGAGTGCGAGTGCAGGTTTGAATTTTGTGACGTGAGGGAAATGCGGTAGCCAAGCCTAGATGCACTGTGTCACTGTGTCTGTCGCGCAAAGCAAGCACGCAATTCTAGCTGATGTTTTCTAAGTAGAGCCTGTAGAGGTGAGAAATACTAATCAAATTCCGGTTATTTAAGTGCAAAAACACGCAATGTGAGCATCACGAGTGATTGTGAGTGAACGCAAATAATATGATAAGTATATCGCGTTTGAGACATATTTAACCATTTAAAATTATTAAACAATAATACAAATTTTCATTCGATCTTCTATGACAACTTGCACACAATTTTTGACAATCAGCTCCTCTAGATGATTAGATCTATAGGTATATAACGTTTTATTACTGAAAATGAAGGACGACTACAAAATAACGAATTAGTGCATGATTTCGCTAATTATAATAACAAGATGCCCGCTAGGCATTAAACTCGCATTGCTTGAGTCGAGCTAGGGCTATGACAAAAAAGATCGACGTTTACTCAGGCGTGTGTTTGGGCTTGCCATGGTTGTTCAGCTATGCAACGGAACGGGCGTGAAAATGGGGAGAGCATTAGATAAATTTAATTGCGCTGTGAAGTTAGTCTTGTTGCACAGTGGAGTTAGTCTTGTTCAAATATTCGTAGCACGTCATGGCACAGTTCATTGACTACGTTGTTGTATTGTTTTCAATTGATAGTACTAGTGAGAACTCGTGAGATTGATTTGAGATTGTATTCAGTTTGATCAGAGAATTCATAGCGATATTAAACAACTTTGGTTCAACATGAAGTTGAAAAGCATGAGAGCAACAAAACACCCCATTTCGAAAACGCTCGGCATCTTTCAGTGTAGGGCTACTGTGCAGTGTTCGGCGGGTGCAGCCAGTTGTGTGTAAGGTGAGCGTTAAGATAAATATGGCACTTGGAAGCCACATTTCGAAATATCTTGAATCTTTATCGTCTTTTGTCCACAAGAAAACGATGAACGTCATGAACGAATGCGGAATGCACTCATGCAGCAGTGCAGCATCACCCAGCATGCACGTTAGCTTAGCAAACACGTCTGCGTAGCTCGTGGCTTGCAGGTCAGCGCACCTTATCGCACCTTGCGGGTCGCGAAATTCTCGACCATAAAAATATTAAAGTGTATATGAAATGAAAATTTCGATATCGGGTTTTTTGCATTTTCTTAAAATTTCGTCTTTTCCGATCATAAATATACCAACTTTGTCGAAAAATTCGAACTAGAAGTTTGTGAAATTTACGATTAAAGTTCGATTTTGAGACTATTTACTGGCGAAATTCCTAACATTCCATCGCGCGGCCAATGACGTAGGCAGTGTGACACAGCTCGATCTTTTGATATGTATTACTACGATGTTATATAGTTGTGTCTATGTAGAATTGGGGTTCCGGAGCGATTTTGACGAATCTGCTTTTTGTAGTCACGAATTTTAATTTATTGACAGAATATAATAACAACACGAAGAATCGTAGCAGCCTAAAATACACTTTTTATGCCGCGAGAGACTAGCTATATTGCCTATATACCGCATCTTGAGGTTTCAGACGTACCGCATACATACCGCATATTATGTAAAAGTGATATCAACTATTGTAAACAATGTAGAGTAGTAACTAATACTAGAAAATTGCATTCCTAAAATTAATACGAAATATCTACATTAGGACTGATTATATAGGCTATCTATCTACATATTACTGACATCATACCATATTGACATTACACCGCATAAGCGTGCATGGTATACGACAATTAATGTTATGGAATTTGTAGCTGCTTAGACGCGCCGTAGTATCTCTATGGCGACATGGCGTATTCGAGCTGTTACGGTATTAAAATCTAGATTGGGTATAGGCTTGGCGATCGTACAATTCTTTTGTTGGAAGGAATGGGAAAAATGTTATTGAAGTGTAGGTGAAACAGTTGCGCGGTGTCTCTGACTTCAGGTGAAATTTGTAAGTTGCGAATCTGAAACCGGAGCCGACTGCTCTAATTAATTAATCCCTGATTAGTCGAATCTTTGACGCACCGGTAAACCGCACAGCTTCATTTGACGTCAAGCTTTTGTTGAAGAAACATGTTTTTCTGTTTGATTCTGGTTTTCATCTCCATATTTACGGTACGTATACCAATAATTTGCGCATTTTAACTATTTTATTCTCGTATAACCAGGGAGTAGCCAGGCAGCGTTTTCAAACAATTTAGCATCAAATGCGGTATAACAACTGCCTAAAATAGACAAAACACTTCTCAACGTTTCGACCTGATCGAGGGGCTTCGTCAGGAGAGTTTGTATGATAAACCTCCTAACGAAGGCCCTCAGGTCGAAACGTCGAGAAGTGTTTTGTCTATTTTAGGCAGTTGTTGTACCACATTTGATGTTTATAAGTTGTTTTATTCTCGTACATATTTTATTCGCGTGTGATAGGCATGGGCTTGTATTGTTTATTGCATAATTCGTACAAATCCTACATGACATGTATGCATTACCTTTTTATATTCTAATCAATCCTAAGTGATTTGAATCAGAACACTATGAATTGTATATGTAAGGGACCGATGTAATTGGCAAAAGCTGTAGCGGTTCCATTTATGTTCTTCGTATGTTTAATATACATCTAGCATGTTTTTTAAATAAAAAAATAAATAAATAAATAAAAATTATAGCACTATTAACCTCAATTTCGATATAATGACTAGGTTTTCTTAATTTCTTGCTTGATGAAAAATAAAACGAAAACAAATCTGCCCGGGCGTAGTTCAGAACATCGACTATCAATCCTTCGACAGGTCTTTAAAAGTTTATAAATTTCGTTCGATCACTGAAACCCTATCCATGAATCTGTCGCGTGTTTGACGTCAGGAATGAAACTTATGAAATGAAAATATCAATTGGGGGCCCCAGTTATATATGGTCAGTCAACTCGCGTGTGATAGGCATGGGCTTGTATTGTTTATTGCATAATTCGTACAAATCCTGCATGACATGTGTGGAATTACCTTTTTATATTCTAATCAATCCTAAGTGATTTGAATCAGAATACTATGAATTGTATATGCAAAGGACCAATGCAATTGGCAAAAGCTGTAGCGGTTTCATTTATGTTCTTGGTGTGTTTAATACATCTAGCATTTTTTTATTTGCAAAGTTAAATAAATGAATAAATAAAAATTATAGCACTATTAAACTCAATTTCGATATAATGACTAGGTTTTCTTAATTTCTTGGTTGATCAAAAATGAAACGAAAACAAGTCTGCCCGGGCGTAGTTCAGAACATCGACTATCAATCCTTCGACAGGTCTTAGTAAAAAGTATATAAATTTCGCTCGATCACTGAAACCCTATCCATGAATCTGTCGCGTGTTTGACGTCAGAAAAATTATGAAATGTCAATTGCATTTGGGGGCGACAGGAAACCACCTTTTTGCTTCATCGCAGATTGGATTTGTAATTGGACAGTAAAAATCAAATATAATAGAGGTCTAGTACCTCTATTATGTAAAGCGCACTTTGACTTTTTATCTGTTTTATTTGAATATATAGTCATATATATATATATATATAAATATATATATATATATATATATATATACATATATATATATATATATAAATATTCGTATATTGGTCAGAAGCTAATGGTGAAAATCATGCGGACTTACCGAGTTGAAGATCTGGTGAAACCGTTTCATTATAGGGTGCTACTGCTGCAAATAGTTGCAGTTGTTCCTGTTCAGGAAACTCTCCATTTAATGGTCGATCAGCAATACGTCAATGTACCTTCTCAAAAATCAATGAAGATAAAGATGTCGGGGGAATCAGAGTAAGTCAAACATAGTTATTTAAAGTGCTACTGCAACAAAATTTTCGACCCCTTCTTTATTGGCTCAATTTAAAGTGCTCACTTTCCTGATTTCATTTCTGAAAACAGAATCAAAATGAGCTTTCTCAAAAGATTTTTATAGCTCTCCAAAGTTACGATTTTTACCACTTCCTGTGCGAACTTTTGTTTCGCTATATATATATATATATATATATTGATGACGACGTTGATGAATTTTTAATGTTAGTTACATCTGGAATTAATAAGTCGCCAGAAAATCAGATTTAAAATTAAAACGCAAAAATACCCCAACTTTCAACCTCGCGTGCTCGCTTACGCCCGCACCAAATTGTCTGAAACTTTAATAACTTATAAAACATTTTCCATATTTTAGGCCTGTAAACGTTAAACTGCATTTCAGTCACCTAATTTTGTGCGCGATCCGTATTTAAATCGACTGCTAAAACCACGTTTTATTGCTCGCAAAACACTGTTTTTTTTACAAACTTTCTGTGCAAGAGGTGTCTGCATGAAGGCCTCAAACTACCTACACATACCAAAAGATTCCCCTAACGATGCGTGCGCTAACGTCTAAAAGACATTTCCAAAGTGTAAACGTTGTTTTGATACACCCTGTTTATGCAACTCATTTCTCAGAAAATCCTTCGACTTTGGGACCCTTAAAAAAATTAACAAAATCGGTTGTCAGAGCTGCGTATTTTACATAGGTTTGTTTGCCTGTTTTGGAGAGCACTGCTCTACAAAACGATCTTTCCACTTAGAGTGACAGAGCCTGAAAATCCCCTCAGAGAGTGAATGCTTATTAATCAAGCATGTTTAACACTTTATGCTAAGGGCTTGTTTTACTTAATTCCTGTCAGAAATGTTTTTTTAACTCTCGATTATTCGCAATCCCCTTGTTGTTGAAAGATTTTCGAGTGTTTTTTTAAAAATCTGCATCATTTAGTAAAAAATCCTCTTTTTAGACGTGCGGTTTCCAAAAAATTTCTGACAACACAGCTCTGAGAGCAACATTTCAGGGAGACATTAGAATGCTTGGCTGCACTAACGGAAGATGTTGTCGACGATGGTTCATTACGTTTAATGGTCAGGAATGCAGTTCACCTGCACCTATTGATGCTGTCGTGTATGCCAACGTTGCTGTCAACCTCCACCGACCAGGGACTTTGGATGGGTTTTGTGAGAATATTCCAAAAGGAAGAGTTGTCGTTGGTGTTTCTGTCGGAGATTGTAAACTTAGTGCACATCCTAACGGAAACGCGTTCACTGGATGGAATTCTGTCGCACGTCTGATCATCGAAGAAGTTCCACCATTGCAATAAAACAAACAAGAAAGAATTTCGTTTTTTTACCAAACGACATATTTATTTACATTTTTAGGCGAAGCCAATCAGAATGCCTAAATTGTAATACTTCATGTAAAATGATATGCAATCTGATTGGTTACTGAAAATGTAAACAAACTTGCTGATGGTCTAAAACGAAATTCCTCCTTGTTAATCTGATCTTATATATAAGATCATTTTTGACTTTCCTTTAACTTTAACAAATATCCTGTTTTATTACTGAACAAGTACATGCATCAAGAGAGACGATTAATTTCAGTTTAAAAATAAATTCAAAGCTTTCAATAAAAATAAGGCAACCACCAATATTATATAATATCAATACCTTAATTATTTAATTATATCCAAAATTAATGCAAAATGAATCTGTTTTTTTCTTAAAAAATACATTTCATCGTAAATGTAAAACTTTGTTTTCGTTTTTCAATTAGTTTGATATCATTGTAATAAAATTATGAATTAATTATTATCGTCTAAATACCCGTTTTATGATCCTAGGCATGTATGTAGCGACTTGATTTTTCTTTGTTATAATATTTCGAATTCGCTTTTATTTTATTCAATCGCAAAATTGCTTTGACGATAAAACTTAGTGTGCAAAACGCAAAATAATACAATGGACCCCGGCCTTAAACCGCTTGTTCCAATTTCTCAGTAGCAAAGATCGTAATTTGTGGTTCTCTCATGAAAGTTGTTATAATCTATATATAGTATAATACATATATTATTTTTTTACATATCAACAGCGAGCGGAATCCTATAGCATTTCATTCTTCTTGATTATTTAACGATAATACATTTTGACTTCTCCGACGTCCATAGATTCCAAATTTTGCTTCCAGAATTTAATTTATATGCTTCTGAAAACTGAAAATTCGCGTTGGGTCGCTGAATCGCAATGTCGACTTCGGGTCCACAAAACATGTTGTGTCCTTTGCCATCAGTGAATAGATCTTAAATAATATAAAGACTGGTACCGGTGAGATCCTTATCCGCTAAGATATACATCCAATATAGATCAAGTTTAGTTCGCTTTTATACCTATTTTAGTGTATCAGAACTTGATAAAAAATGTATCTGTTGTTTGCCTAATAATATTGTTTTTTATATACAATAGATCCTCGCTAACTCGAACTCCCAAGGGGAAAGAAAAATTGGTCGAGTTAGCAATAGCGAGGGTTCAAGTTAGCCGGAGTTCCAGTCAGATTACGTTTATTATAAGTTATTAATACAGTAAGGTTTACTGTTTAGTAAGGTATAAAAATCAATCGAATCATCAAGGGAATCATGCCTACCAATATGAATTGCCACCGAGTGTGGACGACGTTTTAAAATTAAAAAAATCGAAAGAATAAAAAAGGAACCAAAAGGGCTAGATCAATAACGACCGTGGCACTACACAAAATCTTTTAAAATTTATAATCTTTTAATATTTATATATCTATATACATGCAATTATACACTGATTAAGTTGTTGTTGTTGTTTTGATAGAGATGCCAGTTTGTTGTTTTAAGGTTTGACCTGCGAAACCAATCAAAGTTCGAGTTAACCGGATATATTTGACCAAGGGAAAACAAAATTTGTTCGAATTAGCCAGGAGTTCGAGTTAAGCGATTTTGAGTTAAGCGGAGTAAATAACTATAAAGAACATTACCAAATCCAAGCGGAATTGGATTTAGTTTAAGTTAGTGAGGAGTTCGAGTTAAGCGAATTCAAGTTAGCGGGGGACTACTTTATAAAATATGATAACATTTTCGACTGCAACTGGATGGACATCATTGTCAAAATTGGACGACGGAATATTTATGTCAACATTGGTTTAAATTAGATGTTTAAAGGGCTGTTTACATGAGCCCGGTGACCCGAGATTCAACGAAGCGTGAGAGGACTTTGAGGTATTGAAAAAAGTCTTTAAGACACCAAATAGGTACATGCTATTGTTGTGGTGATAATACGACTGCCAGGATCATGTTATCTGCTCATTTCAATACCTCAAAATCATCTCACGCTTCGTTGAATCTCGGGTAACCGGACGCATGTAAACAGCCACTTAGGCGGGTGGTTCGACTTTTCTTCTCAATACGATAATCGTACGCGTATTACCTATAACAATGAATTGGAAATATTTGAGGCGACTTATATGTCAACCTTAGGCTGTTTGTATCTGTATATAATTAAGAATCAGTTTGTCGTATTTGAGGTACCTACTTCAGCAAAGTCACAAAGCGAAGTCACAGCGCCGTCTTTACTGGTTTGACTGTCCTAGAGCGTCCTTATACTTGAGTAAAGTCACCAAATTGGGACAACTGATTAACAAGTACGTATACATTATATATGTTCATTTCTGTCAGTTAAGGCTAATTTCCACTCCGGAAAACGAGCAGCGGATCGGATTTTTTTTCCGGGCTGGTCCGATCCATGAAGTGATTTCGGATCGGATCAAAAAAAGTTAAAACTATTTGAACTTTTTTTTATCCGGTCTCGGACGCTTTCGGATCAATATAAGCCAAAAATTTCAACAGACGGCGCACGCGCGGATTATCTTTCGTTCCGATCCGATCCGCTGCTCGTTTTCCGGAGTGGAAATTAGCCTTTAATCTTCTTGCAAACGATTTTTAAGGTACCGGTGGATTTCCACGTACAAACAAATAGTTCGCGAGCGAAATATTTGCATTTCTTCTTTTGAATTGAGAATAGTCATGTTGAACTAGTTTATTTCTGCTGTTAGAACCGTCTAAAGTAAATATGCAAATATTTCGCTAGCGAACTATTTCTCTGTAAGTGGAAATCCAGCCTAAAGCCCTAATTCCACGGGCTAAATTTTCAAGCGAAATGCGAAATATTTCGCCTGCTTCTTTTGAATTGTGAGCAATGAAGCAGAACAATTGATTCAAGTGGTCGAAATACAAAAGAGACAGGCGAAATATTTCGCATTTCGCCGAGAAAAAGCGCCGTGGAATGAAACAATAAAATTTTGACAAATGCATTTGGAGCGCTGTTTACATAGCCCCGTTTAGCCCGAGATTTAACGAAGCATGATATGAATGCCAAAGTAGAATTTAGAAAGCGGCATGCAGTATGGACTTATGAAAGATAACACAAAGAACAACAGGTATGGACTACAACGGACTACGGTTTAGGCTTTTGATTTCAAATTGCATACTTAAACTGAGACAAAAAAATGGCCCGATTTATACTAGAGACGGATCATCCGTCTACACGAACTTGCATGGGAAGCATCCGTCAACCCGAATTATCCATGGAATATACTATTATTATAAGTAGTGGGGGTTTATTAAAGGTCTTAATTTCGAGTGGAATATTACACACTTCAAATTCAAGCCAGGGACAGCTAATGGAAAAATGAGTCAACTATAGGTCCTCCGGCAGGAATCGAACCTACGCTTTTGCGCGCGATGCCGGTGCAATGCTCTTGCCACTGAGCTACAGAGGCAGCTGACAAGAGCAAGCGAATTTGAAGTGTGTATAATTCCACTCGAAATTAAGACCCTCAGAACCATTAGAATTTACCCACATCGAGTGAAGTGCCAAAAATCATAATAGTGAACATGCACAATTCAACGAGAACGAACGACTATGCAGTTATGTTAATAAAGGTTATGTTAATATAAATGGTCAAGTCCGATTCCGAATTCAAATTCGACCATCGGCCGGAAAACGGCTAATTCGACGATGGTCGAGTCCGGCGGAAAATGGCGAATTCGACCATGGTCGAGTCTACTAAATGAGGCTACTCGTGTGTTTTCGTTGTACGCGTGTGCAGGATAATTAACTTTCCCGACGAACGTGAATGGGTAGTTAGTCTTGACGTATCATCCGTCTGTTAGTATAAATGCAGGCAGGGAACGAACTACGAAAAATTCATAAAAAGGCTTTTGTGTGCACTTTTTTTACTAGCGCTTTCTTAACACGCGATTCTTTTTGTTTAACATATTCGTCTATAGTCCGTCTAGGCATAGGTAATATGGTCTAGGGGCCTGCATATGAGAGAGGGTCGGCGTTAGATCATATCGAACTAACGTACATGACGTCATAAATTTTGCAATAACGGAAGTATAATAACAGAAGTCTTAAATGAAGTCTTTCTAGAGCTGGTTCATAAAAATGATAAAATAAATATGGCGATGAATGATGATACATTTATAAATTTATAAATGTACACGAAAGTGTAAATGTCTGTTACCCTCATACCCAGTATAGGAGTGATCATATACTTATGTAATAGTGTCTCTGGCTTTACCTTAATTACAGTTAGGGTTAGGTTCATTGAAAATTTTATGACGTCATGTACGTTAGTTCGATATGATCATAGACAATCCAAAAGACAGGGACTGGAAACGCAAGCTAAAACACTTATATAATGCTGACGCGCCATCCGTGATATGGCTTTATCACGTCAATTTTTAAGTTGCTACGCAACCGGGCTCTTTATTAGGAAAAAATAATGCAAAGTAGATCCAGCAAAAGTTTGCATATTTTGAGGGATTTTTTAAATATAAATATTATATTTCTACCTGACCTTTAAGTCAGATAAGTTTTCAAGGTAAGTGCGTTTTCATTTTTCATCTTGAGTGTAAACAGTGCTCATAGTTCCAGTTCCAGAAGTGTTTGCATCAAAAATATACGCACGTAAAAATTAGGTAGTTTTTTGGGACCCTGTAACTTGAAATCAAAGCTATAAATTTTCTTTGACAACATACAAATAGCATCTTATATTACAAAAGAATGCATTAGGACAGCGACTGCAACTTGTAACTACATGCAGACTAGTGTGTGAGCCCGACAGTAAGAACCTTTTTCAGTCTAAACCACAAAAGGACCGCCATGTATGCACCATTAATTTGTACACTGTAACTACAATTTTGATAAATTGAGAAACTTTGTCTTACATTGTGTAAACAAAATAATACAGAGTATACATCTATTACCTTTTCAGCCTCTTTTTGCGCTTGAAAAGCTAAGAATCGCCAATAACTACATGCGTCGTGTTTTGATGTTAAAACGTCACTTTTTTGTTCTCGTAGAATATGTACCTAGTTGGGACCTTATAAAATCACTTCGACCCAGTTTCAGAGGGTCATTTTTATATATTTGACACAATAAATCAACTAACTGTGCACTTATCACATTTTCCAACATCGTCTTATATTAAAAAAGTGAAATTATCATAAAAAACTGCGTGCGTTGTATTTTTTGCTAAACCGAGTGTCGCCATTGTTTTCCTCGAAATATGTGCCTAGTAAAATAACTTTCGGCAAGTTTTAGAGTCCCATTTAAAGATAGTTTAAACAAAAAACAATAAACTGTTAACTTATTGCTTTTACCAACATATTCTTTGCGTTATTGAAGCTACAAATCACCAAGTAACTGCGTGCGTTGTCTTTTTGCTGAGAAGTGTCCATTGTTGTTTTCGAAAATGGAGTTCTACATGAGCCCGCAAAATATGCCGGCCGTATCATGGAGAGCGCACGCGAAAACAATAGCGTTTCCAGTCCCTGTCTTCTGGATTGTCTATGATATGATCTAACGCCGACCATGAGAGAGTCATCCCGGTTAATAATCACTTTGTTGTTCATGCGGGATCTCGTTAGGGCCGGGCTGACCCGGTTCCATTGGAATGCGTGAAATATAGTGAAATGTGTTTAGCGAGATACCGTTATATATGAATATATGAACAGGTCTTAGATAGTTTGTCTTGTGCTTATCCGTCAGACGGATCATTCGTCCAGACGGACAACCGACAACCCGTTCACATGGACTGCCTCCCTTGTTGCTGATATCGGATAGCCAAAGTCATTGACTAAATACTTAGAAAAAGACCCAAAACACGCCGAACAGTGGTAATATTATATGGATCATATACAAATCACACTATTAGGTTTAAAATTTGTCAAGACTATGTGAATCCTGTTCACATTACCAAAATCTTGCCCAGGTCAGGTCCAGGCCTGGTCTAGGCCGGATAAACAACGTTCACATCTAGGCATAGGTCTGGTCCAGGCCAGGTCAAAGCACGTTGTGAAAACGCGGCTGAAGAAGGCCATGCAGGCAAGCCTTTACCATCCTTCGACCGGTGTAAATGTGAACTGCCATATCAACAAACACGAAGCTCAGGACCTTCAACTCAAATTTAGAGTCTGTGCCCATGTATCGCTCTGAAACCTGGACGGAGTCATCAAAAGCAGCTCAAAGAAGATTCGGTCCTTAATTAACAAACGTTTCTGCTAAAACGGTTCGACAGAGTGCCAAACTATGATCTGTTCGGCGTTGGTAAGGTCAATGGCCTCGGACCTGGGAGAAAGCAAAGAAGCTATAAGAAAGCTATGGCCTAAGGCAGCGGGAAGCAACAGTAGAGCTCCTATGCTCCGGGAGGGGAGAAAAGGATTACGAAGAGATAACTTTGTGGTGATGAAACGAGTAAATAACCTGATGCTGGTAATCGTGTAGTCATCACAACAATAGCCTCTGCAACAATGTGCTTGTTGCTTTCATAAAGACTTATTTGAATGCCTCAAAATCATCTCGCGTTTCGTTGAATCTCGGGTAACCGGGCTTAAGACCCGTTTACACAACACTCGCTTTTTTCATTATTATTGCTCGGCATTTGTTTTGGTTGTCTGAAAATTAATAAAATTGGGCACGGGTACCCATTTTAGTCGTGGCGTGACAATAAATTGAGTGTAGTATAAACGGGGCTCATGTAAAAAGCCTTTAAAAAGGTCTTTTTCTGGTATACGTGGAATAAATTTCCTCATGACTTATAACTTTTATGACGGTTTTTTTTGTTAAAGATGTCCACTTTTTTTGTTTTGGCGGTTTTATTTGGCACCGCTACTCCTGGGCTATGTGATCGACCCATATATAATATTGGTCACATGGTTAACGGCGTTGATCAAGTCGACGAATGGTTGAGTTGCGGAGCAAATGCACTTGAAGCAGATGTTCAATTTAATAACAAGACATGTGTCCCAAAAAAATTTTACCATGGGTTAAATTGTAACCATGGTCGGGATTGTAACCAAGAGTCAGGTATTTCTGAATACGTGAACCTACTGAAAGGTACATAATAATTATTATTTGATATAGTTGCAATTAATGAAGCGTAGGGAATCGTAATCTCAATATAAATATTTGCTAGGCTATAATATTTATGTTACAATTATTATTCAAGAGACACTACTGGATCAAGTGGCAGTAGGCATCTGCCTAATATGATCGAGTTTCGTGATTGGCTAATTTGGCTTTTGTAACAATTGATTTGGTATTGGTATGATTCTTGTGAAAATCAGTTTCTAGAGCTCATTGTGTTTTATTGGCCAATACCAAAGCTTGTTTGTGTAGGCAGGTACCGACCACCAAGCGGCCAATAATAAAATTCTTGAACAGCTCAGACCTTGGAACAAAAACCCAGCGGATGCGATATTACAGAAATGTTTATGATTACTCCCCTTCCAGGACGTGGTTTTCGAGTGGAGACAATCATTCTCCTAATCACTTAAGAAGCTGACGAGCTGAGTCAGTGCAAAAGCCAGTGTTTCTTACGTTTCAAACTGATTTTTCCGGCTGAAGACAAATTAAATGGCCATTCAAGAGGGATATGCAGGGTGTATAAAAACTGCAACCTTAATAATTCCCAAGGGCATACGATCTTTTGTTATTGAATAGAAGCGAACATAATTATATGGATTTTAAGTGGTTGCAGTTTTATTTATACACCCTGCATATTCGTGTTTCGCACCATCTTAAATATTTCGTAGGAAATCTGGGTTATATTGGCTAATATCCCTGACGTACTTGTTAAAACTTGAAAACAATTCTGTCGCAAGCAGCGAATTCGAAGTTCATTTTCAGTTTGAATGTGAATTATCCCAAAAATACAATGTATTTTAATATTTTATATTATAGAAAGAACAAAACCTTCCAGCGCAAAGTTCAACAAACATTTGGTCTTAATGATGTTCGATTGCAAGTTGTGGGATATGAAAAAAAAACGTCTTGCAAAAGCGGGGAAGAAATTTGCTAAAGACGTTTTAATACCATTTTATCACGAAAACCCCACCAAGATGAAAGTGATTATCAGCATTGCTGATTTCTCAAGAGAAAAATTCATCTCCGGTATCTTACGTCATCTCAAATCTAAACAGGCAGGGATTATCAAGAAGATTGGTTTTGAAATCAGTTCGGAAGACAATTGTACTGAACCTCATGAGCAAGAAAAAAGGTTAAAAAAACTTGGCGTCGCCCCAGGTCATGCATGGCTCAGCAGTGAGGACTCAAACATAGGTCGAGAATGCAAAACGAAAAAACTGAAGAAAAAGGTGGCATGCAGGGATAGAGGAAAATATTTTAGCAAAGTTTACACATGGACAATAGACAATATGAGGACAGCAAGATGGTACCTTCAACTAGGGTTGGATGGAATAATTATGAATCATCCAGCTTGCATGAACACAGCGATTAAACTAATTAACCATGAAAGAAAGAAAGGTATGAAAATTAGATTGGCAACTTTGGATGATAACCCGTTTGAAAAGTATCATGACAGGGAAGAAGCTAAAAGAAAAATTCCATAGGGTGTCTTTTTTTTTACTGCTCCTTGATGTACATACACTTGATGTTTTGCCTATTTTGAAGCCGTTATGAAAAAAATTTATCAAAAAAAATTATGAAAATGTGTAAATATGTGTCCCTTAAAGAATCTGTTTGTGTTCGGGGATCATCCATTCCATTCCATTCCATTCCATTCCATTCCATTCCATTCCATTCCATTCCATTCCATTCCATTCCATTCCATTCCATTCCATTCCATTCCATTCCAATTCCATTCCAATTCCATTCCCGGCATTATATTACATTACACTCAAATAACAATTATTGAATGAGGTTGAACATGATATGAAGAATTATCTAGCCGAAGTTTGTGGTTATCAACAACCGAAGCCGAAGGCTGAGGTTTATAGTGACAAACTAAGGCTTGATGATTCTTCAAATCGCGTCAAAACTAAATTTAATAATTGTTTTATTATTTATTTAAAAGAACGAACATTACAATTTTGAATTTTTCGCTTGAATCGATGTCACATTCCCGCTCCTTTGGGACGTTGATATCTTGGTGTGACGTCATAACGTGGGATACGATTATTTATCACACGTGATGACGTAGTAACGTGCAAGAAAAAAGTCGTATCACACGTTATGACGTCACACGTTGGACGTGACGATTTTACACATGGCTATTAGCCAATCTAATTCAAGGCTGTGAATTCTTTAAATAAATAATAATGTAAAATGTTAAGCTCTAAAGGCCCTGTTACACGGTGCAATTTTTCTTGCAACTTGCAATGCTATTCTTCTTTTGAGAAATGTAAATTTGCCAACTATCGAAATTCTGTCGTTATTACACTCCATGGCGTTTCTTACACTATCATTTTGAAGCCTCTTCACTAATTTACAACTCTCAAAAGTAGAATTGCATTGCAAGTTGCAAGAAAAATTGCACCGTGTAACATGGGCTTAAGTATTCAGCAAAATTATTTTTTACTGTATCCTGCTAAAACCCGCCAATCTTCGGTTTTACTCTAGAAAACAATCCGTGTAATTTTTCTCACAACTTCTCTAAATTACAGAGATAAAAATGAAAATAGACACACTGATTATGATTTGTTACTGACTTCATCTCGTATGATTGCTAACAACTAAAAGTGCCTTACAGGATGTCCACCCACTCACCCACCGTAGGTAGGCGCCTGCGATTCTGCATGCTTCTCGTGTCGTTCCGACAGGGTTGCTAAGATTTGGCTATTGGCTAATTTATTCAGCGATCTGGCATGAATTCAGATAGCTCTCGTTACAAAAGAAGCTGCCTTTGGTTATTGAAGGCGCGTAATTTGAACGAAGTATATATTTCATATTGAAATAGATTTAATTTAGCATTTAACATGTCGAAGTCTTAGGTTGCCTCGAACGGAATCAAATTATAATGAGGCTCAGTGAGGTTTATCATCTCGCTATCTATTGTTTGAATTGCATTCGACGCGACCTAAACGTGATGCGGCGTATAACCCGGCTAGGCCCAAGCTACAAGTTCAAGGTGTTTTTAAATAAACATAAAATAAAAGCTATTGAACGCGCGCCCGTCAAAGCTTCCCTCTCATCTTGAACGCGGTAGAACTCACGTAAATTGTAGATATCGATTTGATATCACAACAAATACTCTTTCCCTCAATCTCTAGCGAGCTTAAAAACAAACAAACGGATCATTTTTTTGAAGGGACATTTTCTTTGGACACCGTGTAGTTTAATCACCAGGCATGAGCCTATTTTGCGTAATGTTTATTCAGAATATTTTATATTCCAGTTATAATTATTTTTGTCACTGAGTAGTGTTCAGTATTATTAGCTGCATGCATGTGCTTTGTTTAAATTAATGTACAAATTTAAGGCATAATTCAATACCGCCCCTTTTTGGTCACGTCGAAGGTAACATGGATAACACGCGGAGTCGGAGTTCCGGAGTCGGAGTTCCGGAGTCTGACGTAATAATATTATTATACCTATCCTGTTTTGAACCTTTGTAATTTAACCGTTTAAGGTTACAAAAAAGTGTTCATTTTAATAAATCTTTAATCTTTAAAAAAAAAATATATATATATATTGGAAAACACGGAGTCAAAAGTTATGGAAAACACGTAGTCTGCCAAAAACATGGAAAACACGGAGTAGAAATGTTTGGAAAACACGGAGTCAACGTAAATTATACATATATTCATAAATGAAGGATCGCTCATAAGTCTATACGAGCTTTTTTATACCACAGTAATAGTATAAAAGAAAGATACACAATAACAAAAGATTATAGCTATAATGCCTCTTGCTCAAAGTCATAGAATTATTGTTGTAGCTAACTACATTACGTGTCCTTATATCACCTTAAATCACACCAAAACTGCCACATCCAATTTCCTCTTTGTCTACAATATCCTCCCATTTAAATTGAGGAATATTATTTATATGTTTAAGGATAAGTTTTTCGGACGTTTATTTACCATTTTCGGAATAGCAAAAATGTTACGCGAATTTGACGCCATGTTGTTAAAAACACGCTATCAAATTTGCATATTTCTTCGTTGAGTCATTGACCACTGAGCTTGGCAGACTTCCAAACATTTATACTCCGTGTTTTCCATATTTTTAACACGACAGAGTGGCACCTCCGACGGGATCAATCGTAATTGAGCTCGATCAAGAGCAAAGAAATAACCCGCGTATGTGCGAATCGTGAATTAATATACGTCATATACGCTCGAATGTAAACATGGAGAAGCTATTAAAAGAACTCGAAAGCAAAGTCAAAGCCCTGAGATTCAGGCAAGGAAAAGCCGAAGAAATATTGGCTAAACAAGACCGTCAAGCGTCTGAGCGACAGCGGGAATCTATTGAGAATTTCGCTAAAGCGATAAACAATATTAAAGAGACCGTAGAAGAAAATAAATTTTCCAAGGGCAAAAGCGAAGAAGACGTCACTGAATGGGCTAAAGAATACGAAGACGAGCTTGCTAAAGCGGACAAATATGTAGGAAGATTGGCTCACCAAATCAATGAAATTGATCGTCGTGAACAAAACGAGAAAGCAGTGCAAGATCACAGGATAAACCTGGAATTTAATGGAGAATTACTCGAGCAGAAGGCGGAATTTGAGGAAGAACGCGCGAAGGTAAAAGCACACGAAGCAGAAACCAACGAACAATGTAAATTAACGTCCGCCGCTAAATTGCCGAAATTGCCCATAACAAAATTTAACGGCAAGTTCGAGTCATGGCTAACGGTTTTGGGGAAAATTTATATCGGAGATCGACTCAACCTTAACAAAGTTTTCCTACTTGAAAGAATTACTTGAAGAGTCTGTACGTTCTGACATCGACGGCCTGCCATTTACCGAAGAAGATTATTCGAAAGCCAAAAATATTCTCGAAGCCGAGTACGGGAAGTCAGCCGAAGTTGTGAATGCGTATATAGTTAATATCACCAAACTACCAGTGATTTCGGGGACAAATCCGGCGAAAATACACGATTTCTATAAGCAACTACGATATAACGTTCAAAGTCTTGACACTCTTGGCAAACTAGATGATGTGAGAGGAAATGTACGAGCAACTTTGGACAAATTAAAGGGAATAAAAGATACCATATACCAGTGCAAATATCATCAGTTTAAATAATCACAATTACCGTCCAGTTTTCCTGCGGTCATAGTTGACAACATAAATAAAGAGAAAATTTGATCTGACAAAACGGACTAAAAAGAATATTTATTTAATAAAGTTAAGATGTAATCTCAGTGCATCATGCGCTGGTTCTAGAAAGAAGCCCCTTCAGTTAGCCTGCGTCACAGTCCACTCCCCGTAGTGACTCACTACAGGGAGTGGACTGTGACGCAGGCTACTTCACAGTAGGTGCAGGAGGTACGGTAAGGATTTAACAAGCTCGCATCATTTTGTCGCTAAGGAATCTTCAGCATTACTTTATAGCCAATCGGATTGTCTCTTCGTTCTCATTGATATTCAACTATCTCGTCTTAATCTTGAGAATTAGCCAAATTATACTGATGAGGTGGTGATTCAGAGAACATCTTGATATCTTGAACAGATATTCCACGTTTAAAGTACGCATCTGGCGAATGTGGTCGTTCTTTTATAAGCACCAGGATGAGGAAGTATTGCATTTCAATTTGGCTGTATCACGTCTTTCAAAATCAGTAAAGTGCTAATCAACAATTGTCAAGTGAAATTATAGAAGCGTGAAGCTTTGCATGCATGCTTTGATTGAAGAACATGAAGTTCATCGCGACAAAGAACAGTGTCCCGGGAATTGAACCCAGTAACCGTGTGTACAAGTCAGCTTCCATTAGACATTATGTTTTCTATTCTGAGGGCGTTTACGTCAGACATTAAAGTCTACTGGGTTGCGAAAATATTCTTTACTTTTTATCGAGTATACTTTTTATCGAGTATAACGAGACATACCAATTATGCAGATATAAATTGTCAACATGAAGAAATGTTTAGCTTTCATGCAATTTTACTCGTGAAAAGTTCAATTTTCGTATGGAAAACCAACCGTAAACACGGTTCCGAACACACGGACACTGTTTTTTTACGAGGGAAACCAGAGTGCCTGGAGAAAAACCCTCACCGAAAGCCGGAATTAAACACAGAGTACACAAGTTTGAGATTTTATTAAAACAAAGTCATGTATTACAACAAAGTGTGTGTGTGTGTGTGTTAAGGATATTGAAATCAAGAGAGAGGAGACGGACAATTTTGGTCCTATTTTTATTAATACTTCACTAAACATGTATTACAAAGCGTGTGTGTTTTCTTTAAATAGTACATCATTAGTATACGAAGACATTAAACTATTATATCTAAAACCGGTTACAAAGTAGGTGCGTTTAAGATCTTGACATTTAAATTTATAGAACAGTGCAGGTTAAATGTTAATTTGACATACTTTTGTATAAATTGTTCATGTCTTTTTACAGTGTGCTATTGTGTTTGAGTAATGTTTAAGACTGATCAGTAAAACATGCATTAATGCGAGTAAGTGTTTCTAAGTTATCGTGTATTTTTTTGTTCTACTATAGACTTAACCCACTAACTCTGGTAGAGAGCTGAATAAAGCTTATGAGATCGACGAACTAATATAGTAATAAATAAAAATGCCTGAGTTCAGAGCGCTTAGATTCAAGTTACGTTCGTCCAAAAACTAGAATTATTCTGCTGACAAATCATAGGCAGTGTTCCTAATAGTTTCGTTTTAAGCTGTCGAACTGTGCACACATATTTCAAGGATCGAGTTAACTTGAAGATATTTCATGAGCCCTTATAGAAACAGCATGAAGGCATACACAATTGTCCTTGAAAACTTCATTGCACATTTCAGAGCTGAGGCATATAGCCAGAGCATGCTTCCCTTGTAAAAACAAGGTTTGGAAAAAATACCACAAGAAATTAACTTATATTTTTGAGGCTGAGGCATTTAGCCAAAGCAACAAACTGTCGAAACCAAGTGCAGCATCAAGTGTAAATATATATTTTTTTTAAAAAATTCAGTCAACATCTTTTGAACCATGCAAGGGATATTCCCAAAGCAAGCTGTCCTTATAGAAACAGCACCAAAAGTACAATTTTTTTTCAGAGAAATTGGACTAATACTTTCAAAGCCAAGGCATATAGCCAAAGCAAGCTGCTCTTATAGAAACAGCCACAGGAGTACATTTTTTTCTTTGAAAATCTTGTTTAAAAACTTTTAGAGCTAAGGCATATAGCCAAAGCAAGCTGCTCTTATAGAAACAGCAATGAAAATAACACTGCAACGTTATTAGATATCCCAAGATACCTGCTAACACTTCGAACCACATAGCAAAGTCAAACAGTACAGACAAAAAGTGGCGCCTTACTTTTCATAAGCACTGCTCGACGAAGCTAAATGATTGGAAATCTCACAGAGACCTTGGAAAAATAATAAAGTTACAATGCCACTGCCAATGTTTGTCTCGTAATTGGTTTCTAACTGTAGTAGAAATAAGGCATATATATCGTTTCAAGATAGCAGCATGCACCCCCCATTCTTTATTTTCTGCAAGTAATTTCAAATTCATTAATTGAGAGCATGTGTGTGTGTGACTGTGTGTTAACTTTGATTGCATAAATTCATGTATTTCAGAATAGCAAGACAGTTTAAGACATGCCGTAAAATCAATGTTTCTGGCTTGAATATTAACTGTAGCCTTAGGTGAATGCAAGAGATAAGAGAGATGTAAACTAGAAGCCATTATATAGGCCATGGTTTGCATCAATGTATTTACTCGTGTGCGTGTCTATTTTATGTGCAGCTACAAGATCATGAGGTATAGTGCATGATGTTTTGTATCTGTTCATATTTTGATATAAATCATGTTTTTTCATAAATACACTACACAATATTATATGTTCAATTACAAAATATAGTAAGGCAAGATATAATCGTATATTTACAATGTTTGCTGAGAAATCAAAAACGTATTTACATCTAAATAATTTTACAACCAGACCGAATAGTGACCCTATAGTTATCATTTTACAATGTTAATTCCGAAAGCCGCAATTGACCGGATTTTAAGAGCCGAAGATGATTTCAATCAGGACAAGAGAGAGAGAAAGAGGAAAGAACCTATGGGATTATGTCTGCCATTTGTGGCTATGGTTTGTGTTAGTGCATGTGCATGGCTTTTTAGCCATTTCTTAGGTGAAATATGGGTATATGTAACAGTTGTGATATGTTTTCAGTTTTAACAGACAAATTATCACTTAGCGCAGCCCTAAGCACAAGCGAGCAGTCCTAAGCGCAAAACCGAATAAAATATTTAACCGAATTTAAGAAACGTTTGCTCACATGCATCATGCATTAGCTATGTTCCTGGTGGCCAGAACTTAGTTAACTGAACCTAAAACTTTATTTAACTTAAGTTCGTTAACTAAATTAGTTAACTTCGTTAAGTTAATCATGCACAGACTAACCCCTGCATGCACATTTTTTGACCACCAGGCTACTCTAACCTGTAACGATGCCCGGGCATCGCTGAACGTTGCTTTTTGGCGTCGATTTGGCGTAGTTTTGGCGTATATTAGGCGTCGAGTTGGCCTACATTAGGCGTAGATTTGCCGTCGAGGTTGCCTACATTAGGCGTAGAGTGCCGTCGAGGTTGCCTACATTAGGCGTAGAGTGCCGTCGAGGTTGCCTACATTAGGCGTAGAGTGCCGTCGAGGTTGCCTACATTAGGCGTAGAGTGCCGTCGAGGTTGCCTACATTAGGCGTAGAGTGCCGTCGAGGTTGCCTACATTAGGCGTAGAGTGCCGTCGAGGTTGCCTACATTAGGCGTAGATTTGCCGTCGAGGTTGCCTACATTAGGCGTAGATTTGCCGTCGAGGTTGCCTACATTAGGCGTAGATTTGCCGTCGAGGTTGCCTACATTAGGCGTAGAGTGCCGTCGAGGTTGCCTACATTAGGCGTAGAGTGCCGTCGAGGTTGCCTACATTAGGCGTAGATTTGCCGTCGAGGTTGCCTACATTAGGCGTAGATTTGCGGTCGAGGTTGCCTACATTAGGCGTAGATTTGCCATCGAGGTTGCCTACATTAGGCGTAGATTTGCCGTCGAAGTTGTCTACATTAGGCGTGGATTTGCCATCATCGTTTTAGCTATTACTCACCAACCTGAAATAAGATTACAGAAATAAGCAAACTATATTTTTTATTGAGAAACACGCGTAAAATCGGGATTTTGTAAAAACAACAACTTCTATAAAACCCCTCGGGGATTTCCAATATTTCCTTTTTTGCCATTATTGATATAATCATATGCAATTATCATGCGGCCGTTGTCCTTTTTGCCTTAATCATAAACTCCCCATTGTTCGGTTTATCTAAAAATATTCGATTGCTTAATACTCACGTTTTATTATGAACAGGTTTTGTCGTCGTTTCAAATGGCTTGACCCGCTAAATCGCTACCTGCAATAAAACCAAAGTAATGCTTGTTATAGACAGCGATTTGAAGGATTTACCTTCGATGAAGGGAGCTTAAATATCGGGAGAAAACATGCTATGATTATTCAGTTGAGAGAACGCATGATGTCTGATCAAGCGTTTTAAGTTTTTCCATTCTATTTTGAATAAAATAGACCCAAAATTACCTGTTCATTTCAGCAACAAGCGATGAAGAGCAGCTTTGGACTTGCTGTCTCTTTAAATGCGAGTCATCTCGGGGAATTTGAGCTATGGGTTTTCTTTTCCAGCTCACTTCTATATTCGGTTTGGTTTTAGCTTTTAAACTCCACCTGGAACAATAAAAGGCAATGTTAGTTTACTGGTTTGGTCTTTATAACTTAATTCAAAGGTAATTCCTTGCAATTGGAGCAAAGGTTAGCGGCTCACACAAGATTTAGCGTATATTACCTTTCTCATATCATCAACAAGTCCCAAGAAAATGCGTAGACGTGCTTTTTCTTCAAAGGCGAGTTATCTTGAGTCAAATGCGAGTCGGCTCGGGCAATTTTAGCTACGGTAACGGACTTCTTGCCCACTTCACTTCATTCAGTTTGGTTTTAAGCTTTCAAACTCCACCTGGAAGAATAAAAGGCACCATTAGTTCACTGCTGAGGTCTTTAGAACTCAATGCAAACGTAATTTGCGTGTGGTTAGAGCGAAGGTTAGCGGCTGAACGGTAAAATTTAGCGTATAATTTATTACCTTTCTTATATCATCAATATTCCCCAGAAAAAGCCTGGACGTGCTTTCTCTTTAAAGGCGAGTTATCTTGAACCAGTTCAACCACCATTCATCGATCGTCAATCTCTTGTTCACAAATCTCACCGTTTAACTTCGCTTTAATTTGTCAAAATTTTGCATATTAAAAAGAATAAAAAGCAACGTTAGTGTTATACAAGTTTGTATTTAAAGGTGAACACAACAGGAACACTACGGGAGAGGCATTACAAGACGTGAACTAAAGACACGTGGAACCTCAGCCCAAAAGCTCACGATGAAACAAGCTGATAAAACACGCAAAGGGAAAGGCATATTACCTGGTATTACACCAACGACAGTCTGTCAGAGATAGTAAACTTCTATTAAACTTCTTTTCTGCTGAAGACGATAGCAATCTGATAGCAATTTCTGTTGAAATTTTCTTGGCGTGGAGGAGACTCATTTTTATTCTTCGAAGACCAGCGCTGAAGTGATGTCTCAAACTGGAATCAAAAGCACATATTATTCATTTCACCCACTCCTCGTGTCTGCAAAATAAAGTCATCCTATTGGATGAACACTTCCGACCTGACAGCTCAACAACGCTTTTGATTGGACGTTCATAGTAATTTAAATAATATGATTAATTCACTTCTCCTGAAGCTGAACATCAGAAATGAAAGGAAAGAATTAATCATATTATTCAAATTACTATGCTCGTCCAATCAGAAGCAATGTTGAGCTGTCAGGCCAGGAGTGTTCACCAATAGGATGACTTTATTTTGCAACACGAGGAGCGGGTGAAATAAATATCTACAGGGTGTCTCAAAAAAACGCAACTACTTAAATATGCAGGAACATTGATACAGCTCTAAAGCGCAATAGATAAGCACCTCTGGGAATTGAAAATGGCTCTTAATCCTGTGCTAAAAATGCTAAAAGTCATTTTAGCTGAACTATGGTGCAAACCCGAATAATAATAATGTTCTTGCATATTTAAGTGGTTGCGTTTCTTTTGAGACACCCTGTAGCTTTGATTCAACGTTGCCACATCACAACATGGATAACACGGAGTCGGAGTTCCGGAGTCGGAAGCCTTTACTGCATTCAGCCTCGTTATGATCTCAGTCATTATCCATTGTTTAGAATTACCGAATTACATTCAACGCGACCAGAATGCAACGTACATGATCCAAGCCTAATTTCAATTAAGCCTATATATCCGTGTCGATAGAACTATACAGCATTGTTTTACAAGTGGTTGAGTGTTCTCAATATTTTTGTTTTACAGTATTTGTCATGATGCTTTAAAACATCCTTGGTTTATTTGTGTAGTTTATGCTACGCTTTAATTTTAGCAGGTTAAATGGGATAAGAAGTTATGTTGATCTCTGAAGTCATAAAAGCAACGCTTCGGTAAGTAAGCTTGTTTGTTCTATTTTAAATTTTAACTTTGGTTTTTCAGCATGAATTTGTCAGCTGTAATAATGATTAAAACATTCATCTTGGTCCATAGTTAATGAAATTATAAGACAGATCCAATAACGGCACAGCTACGAATGTCCTTGGTCCTGAATTAATTTGCAAACGATTTGCTCTCTTTCAGCACGTCATAAAGCCGGTTTTCCACTAGCAAATAAATATACAACAAGCTTATAATTTATAGAAGTATCGATAGTGAAAAGCCCTGTTCCATGCAACTACGCAAACGAACCAGGTGTAAACACATTTACACCGGGTTAGTTTGAATTTTGAACCCTGCTTATAAGCGAAATTTGAGGGCTAAATTTAAGCTGTGATTGAAATGGATTGTAGTAGGCAATCTTGTAAAGTTTTGGCAATCAACTTTAGAATATACCCTTAATTATTCTAACAAATAATTAATTGATTAGTTAATTAATTACGCCTTATAAAAAGAGCTTCACGTAAACATGCGTGACATTATTGGACGCTAAGATGGCATAGTTGTTATTTTGGTGAACGCCTTGAATATTTATAGTTTCATTTTTGAACTAATACCCTAGCTCTCTTTCTTTGATGCAGCTTGTGACAAAACAAAAATATTCATCAGCCACGATTGGCTTTTTACGATCATTAAACTCAATAAACTACATGAAGGAGGAATGCAAGAAAAGAGCAACACGTAAGTGATTTAGATCTCTTTTAAAATTAAAACTGCTCATTGGTTGGTGTCAGGCTATTAACTACTGACCTCATACCGATGAATCAAACCGCAGCCAACAAACGACTAATTCGAAGTCGCATTTGAAGGAAGATTTTTAATTTACTCAGATTCCTGGACATATAATTCGTTTCAGTTTTCACTTTGTTGCATCCACCATTTTCGGACATCGGAAGCCTCAGTATTTGCTTCGAAATTTAAAATGAATTTTGTCGGCGTTTGCGGGTTTGAAGTGTGTCGTAAATTGCAGTGGCGTTATTGAACGTTAAATTGGGTGAATATTCGTTATATATGCTGAGTTTTGCCCGACGGAATTCATTTGCAAGTGCAATAGCTAGCTTTCAATAGAAATCCGACGGAAAGAACTGCTTATATGAATATTCACCCCGCTCCCAATTATCGTTCGTTACGCCCCAGCGTTAGCCCCAATTATGCTGAAGGTCTCTGCTAATAATTAAGCAATTCTGATATTCGGTAACATTGTGCAGATCTGTAAAAGAATACATGATTGTGGGATTGTGATGCTGTGTGATACGTTTTGCTGATCAAAATGAAATAATCGTAAACAATTCGTCATAAAACGTTAGCTTAAAATGAAATATCGAAGTAAAGTTTCCGAGCATGATTCTGTCTATCTTGTCATTATGTAAGGTGTAAAAATTAATAATGTCACACCAGCACATAATCTTAAAAACTCAGTTTGAATATCAAAGAAGAAGTCTCGGATTTTTAATTTTTAGAGCGCTGTATTATTTAAGGGGGGGAGGGGTCGAATGATTTTCAACCTCCACACAAATGTATTATTTTAGGGACCACGGCCTCCCTGTTTCCTACGGTCTTGAAATATTGTTACATTTAAGTCAAGTTCAGTTGCTTAGAAAATAGGTTTGGGTACAATGATATAATTGTACTACAATATACACTTTTTATTATCAATATATTACATATTCATGGGTATATTCAATAAACTTATATAGTTCTTCATGCCAATGAGATATTTCAAAAAACTCTATTGCCCACTCCTAATACGATCCCAAATCTACCTGCATTCCTTTACGCTACAAAATTTATTCCTCGAGTACACACCATATAATAGAATTATAAATTAAAATTAATAAAGTAGAACAATACTACAAAACTGCAAATAATTTAAACCCCCTGGTCAATCGTTTTCTTCTGGGCCTCTCTCCGTTATAATAGCATTTCGATCAAGCGTTCATACAAAGCTAATAAATGTTTAAACTGTGAGATACAAAGTGGATACGATATTGATCAAGAGGTCGGTAAACTCTGCATGAAGTGGAAAGTTTCTGCATGCAAAAATTTTATTTTTACCGCTCACAATCATCAAAATCGTTTAATTTTTAACGCGTGCTTTGATACAATAATTTTACCGACTTTTGTGAGGTCGCATCTTCATTGATGTAGACGTCAATGAATACTGGGCGTTCCCCCAGTTGATTCCATCACCGAACAATGTGTGAGCGCCATAATAATTGAAACCATTCAAATTGGCATGGTAACAACCACGATACCACCAAGCTCCTTTGCAATCCACCGCACAATTACGTTCCAAATTGATATCATTGTCAGAATCCTTGGTAGAGAACGCCATGCCATCATTATATGATAAATTATCTCCTGCTTTACCTAAAAAAGAGCAAAGTTAGACTCTTTATCATCAAATATTGTCCAACGCTCATGTGCAATGAAGCCACGTCATGAGTTGGCACGCCATGTTGATATAACCGCCATTTTGACAACTTTTTGTGGAAACTACTATCGTGAAAAAGTCCTTTTGGAAGAAAGAAGAAATATAGCAAAACAAGTGTGTGCTGCAGTAGGAAGATATAAGATTTGGATTAAATGATGTTCTAGTATAGCTTGGGTAAAGAAAAGTGGAAAAAAGTAATTCAAATTGAATGTGTTAGGTGATAAAAATACACGTAATTAAACTAAACTTAAGTAAAGGCAAAGTTCAACGGGTAAAAACATGGCAGACATACTGTATATAAAAAATTTCTTTTATTAAAACAAATTTCACTCAGTGGCGTCGCCAGGCACTTTTAACTGGGGGGGACAAATCGAGCGCCGAAGGCGCGAGACAACTAGGGGGGTTCGGGGGCATGCTCCCCCGAGAAATTTTTATAACTAGAGTCTCTAAAACACTATTTCCCGCATTTTCAAGCAAGTTTTTTCCCACATTTTCAAGCAAGTTTCATGACAAACTGAAAGCCACAGATTGGCGATTTTAGTTATAAACAAATAGTTTTACAAGGGCAACTTTCTGTTGTTAGCTAATCTAAACGTGTCAACAAGAGTATCCAACTCAATCTTATCTGCAATGTCTCTTTCTATGCTGATATGAACTAAATTTTCAAGACGTTCATCGGACATCGACGCTCGAAGGTAGTTGTTTATTATCTTCACTTTACTGTGTGCTCGTTCACATGAAGCAACTGTTGCAGGAAGAGTAGCAACAATTTTTACCACCTCAAACAGATCAGGGTACAGGTTGCTGATGGAATTCTCCCCAAAAACCTTTAAAAGAGTTGGCAGACAAAGCCAAGTCTCGGGTGCTTTCGTCGAGGGGTCGTTGTTAGCTTTCTCTTTCATCCTAAGAAATTCTTCGTACTTCTCCTTCCAGACTTTAATTTCACGAGACTTTGAAAACAGAATGAATTGATTTACGACAACATCAGGATCGATTCCGTAGTATTTGGCCAGGTTTTGGGCTTGGTGCGAATTTTCTTCTTTAAAATATTTGGGATGAAAAACGTTAGCCAGCGACAATATTTCACACGCTTTAGAAGAGAACCTCCTCTCCAGCTCATTGTGCATCCAGTCCAAAAATGGAAAGAAAAAATCTCGCTTGAAGAGATCTCTCGGGCGGTCATTACCAGGTATTTCTTCTTGGATTGCTCTGGCGTCTTGGTCTAAACAGAATGTACCATCGTTGAAATAGGAAGGTATTGTGCGCCGACGCTTTGATCTGTTTGGATGTTGCTGATCCACCTGATCGAAGTCGTCCACAACCAATCCTTGGTCCGTGCAATATTTCCGTGCCTCCTGTAGAAACTGATCCATCTTTTCCTCGTTTCGAAACGAGGACAAAGACTCCTTCAGTGATTGCACACCTGACACCGCTGAGACCAAGTCCATGTTTTCATGCTGAAGATATTCTGAGACAGATCTACTTAGAGCAAAACACTTCTTCAGTACAATACACGAAGCAATGAACTTGAGCTTTCGCATACGTACAAGCAATCCATCTGCAGCTGATTCGCCTTCTTCAGACATTGCTTTAAGCATCGCTATGATTGCAGGCAAGGTGTTGAAAACAACCTCCAAATTGTCGGATCGAGCAGTCCATCTTGTGTCTGAAAGCGTGTGCAACGCTATCTTTCCCTTTGATATGCCATGAACTTTTAGCTTCTCTTCATATAATGCATGCCTCTTTGGAGACCCTTCGAGATAATGATAGACGGAACCAATAATATCAAATACGTCATTCACAGAAGGTACGTTGTTAACACTTTTCTCCAAGACAAGGTTTAGTTTGTGTGCAAAACAATGGAAATATACAGATTTATCGGCACCAGCTGCGGTGAGATGTTGTTGAACGCCTTCGTCCTTGCCTGACATGTTACTTGCCCCATCAAAGCCTTTACCAACTAAATTGGAGATGGGAAAGTTCATGTTCGCAAGAATAGCAATGATAACAGCTGCAAGGCTTTGCCCTGTTAAACTAGTCACACGATGTAGCTTGATACACCTTTCCCAAATACAATAATCGTAGACATACCGAACAACAACGGACATGAATGCTCGTTTGTGGGATGTTACTTCGTCACATTCAATTGAGAAATACTTGGCAGAAATCACTTCGGATTTTATTATTTCAATAATCATATTGCTGAGCATGCCAATCATTTCATTTTGAATACTGGGAGAAAAATATGACAAATTCTGTGGGTGAGTTTCCATCCAACGTTTCAATGGTTTATCATACTTAGATAAAAACAAAAGTTCTTCCAGGAAGTTACCGCGATTGGCTGAATCATTTGTCTCGTCGTGTCCACGAAATGCGGTATTTTGCTTCGCCAAATGTCGGACTACATCAAAAATCGTCTGAACAATCCGTCGATTTTCTTCTCGTTCTTGTTCTTTTCTTGTCTTTGAAGCTTCAGCTATGCCAGCAAGTTGCACATCAATACTTTGGTTTTCACTTTTAAAGTTCTGCATCCGCTCCATTGACAGAATATGCATTTGCGTTTTAGCATGATTAATCAGTTTTCCACTTTCGCCAGAAGCTTTTTTCCATGTACGAAAGCCTGTCTTTGTGAATGTTTCTTCTGAGCTTCCAACTAAAGTTAAGTTTTAGGTCCAAATTATACTACATTAATAAATTACGCAAATTGTTTTGTGTGGCAAAATATGAGTGAAAAAAAAGCGGTTTTCTGACAGTCAGACCGCTATAGAATGAACCGAGCTTGGTTGAAGTGTGCCCATTGCATATACTAACTTGAGGTATGACACGACAAAAAAAGCAGACTGCCGGAAGGTACAGATAGTGTCAAAACCGCTGCTTAATATCTGTTTTGAAAAATCTTATTAGGATATTGCCAGAAGGTAGGAATAGTGACAATTTACTGTCAAAAATCAAAACCACTTCTTCGTTTTATTAAGCCTTTTTTGTCTAGTAGCCTTAAGTATAAGGATGTGTTCGTTATTAATCCCAATTTATTAGGTTAATTTGAAACTTTATTTATTAATTCATTTGCCTTCGCCAGTTATGTAAATTCTATGATGCTTGAAAATTAAGTTGTAAATATCGCGTAACATTCGTTCACTTACCAAGTGTCCCAAAGCACCTACAGTAAAAACAGAATGCTGCGTCTTTCAGTACAGAATATTCTAGCCATGAATGAAGGTCATACCAACGAGATTGGAACTTGAAGGTTCTTTTCCCAGATGTTGATACGGGAAATTCGATAATGGGTCTAACAGGACCCAAAATATTTACTATTAAAGCTCGATTCGCTTCACTGACGACCTCCGTAGAGGGGTCGCGCAGTGCCATTTATGAGGATCTAGTATTTCAATATTTCTATATATATAATGCGCCAAAAAAATTGAATCCAATTAAGCAAAGGCAAAGGTTTGACTTCCGGTTTGAGTTGGCGAAATGTTGATACTTCATGTTATAATGTTATTCTTTACGTGATCAAAAGTAATGTTTTACGAAAAAAACACTTTTACTTACACGGCTGTTAGAAATTAGAATCATTGTACCCCCCCTCACTTTTCTCATCATATTTAGAAAAATCTCAAAAGTGATCTGTAGAGTAACTGGGGGGGACTCGTCCCCCCCAGTTCCCTCCCTGGCGACGCCACTGATTTCACTGGTGGCTTTACGATTCTTCCACTGCTCTTCTCGTATGTATTCATGGTATTGTACAACATCAGAGATCCGGAGATGTATTTCATAAAGGTTGTGGTCTTGTAATCTGCTCGAGGTTAAGACGGATTTTCATTACCTGGTTACATGACTGTAGAAATTGCGTAAATATGTAAAATAGGCACTGTATATTTTCCATATTTCATTATCCTTTATTGTTATGAATGACAAATCACAAAGCTTGTTCGTGCAGGTCGGTGCTTGGTTGGTGGCCCAATTATAATTGATATATTCATTATCATAACTGAATATTTGTACGCTAACGTTAAGCTGTGCATGCTAACTATTTCAATGTAGCTATAAACGTTATTATCGGCCTAATATGTAAATATTTCTATACGACATATTACATATTAATTTTTATTATGAAAACCAACAAGTATATATGTATATATATATATATATATATATTATATATATATAATTATATATATATATTTATATTATTTATATATATATATTTATATATATATATATATATATAATTATTATATATATTATATATTATATATATATATATTATTATAATATTATATATTATATATTATATTATATATATATATATATAAAGGGCCTAAACCTTCTTTCTTTACTGCTCAGCAACTTTATTTCTTTCCAAATTCACGTGGTCGTATCTTCATCGATGTTGATTTCAGAGAATAATGAAAACCTTTCCAATGGTACTAATTGATTCCATCAGCGAACGATGTATGTGCGCCATAATGATACAAACCATTCAAATTGGAATAATGACAACGCCAATACCACCAGGCTCCTTTGAATTTCACCGCACAGTTGTTATTAAAAACATCATTGTCAGCATCTTTGGTAGAGAATGCCATACCGTTATGATTTGTGAACGCATCCCCTGCTGTACCTTAATGTAAAAGTATATGCAAGGCCTGTTAAAAATTAAATTAAGTTAAAATGAAATTAAAACTAAATGTATAGATAAATAGAAAATATCCTATGGTAACGAGAAAATATGGAATTAATTTCGAGAAATCAATTAAAATTTTAAATTAGTATATTATCAATCATATCAATGTTGGTAAAAGCGTTGAAAGCATTGTGCTCATGTTTGGGAACATTAGTATAGAGCCTAATTGTTTTATTGTATTTTTGTTATATAAGAGAGTTAAGTGAATAATTCTCTATGATTTTACTTGAGAAGGTAAAGATTTAAATAGACTTGCAAACAATATCTTTGATTTAGCCTCATTAGTAATTAACTAAAGGAACCTTTAAGTCTGTGGTTGTCGATCTGGTTTCAATTGGAGCAGAGTCGGGAACGTAATCGAACAATCTTCGCAGGTCTGGTGGCCAAGAAGCTTTTGAAGTGTTGAAAACCAAAAGAATTTTTCTCATTTTGATCAAATTGAGGAAGGTTATCTAATTAGGTTGACAGATTAATTAAAAGTAATATTGAGGGTACTTCAGTTGACCATTCAAGAATTAGCCTTGCAGCTCATTTCTTTAGTGTTATTAATTCTTTAATAGCATTTTCCCAGAGTGTGCACAGATAAAGGAGCTTAGCAAGAACGAATGCCATTGGTAAATTTGGCTAAAATACAATCGGAACGTGACTAGAAAGGAACTGTCTTTTTGCACAAGTCTAGACTATAACATATTTAACGAGATGTATTGTACATTTAGTCTTCAAACCATGTATATTTTATTAACTGTGGGCCAACGTAGCTCTAAAGACACGTCCGAAATTAGGGAGGTCACTAAATTCGCAGGGCTTATTTCCGGAAGAGATTATAGTAGAGTCAAAATGCTCCAACTCCATCCATATGTGTAGAAAAGTCTACTGTATTTAAGCTTTTGCCAAGTAACTGTATATAATATACTCGATAATGGTAAAGAGAGCTGGGTTTTTCTAACATTTTGAAATGACATTTTAATGTGAGAGTCTTACCATGATAACCCCCAACATTCAACTTGTACTTCTCATTTTCGCTGCTGACATTAAATGAATCATAATGAGCGTATGTAGTGTTTCCAGATGTATCTTCCATATCGATACGAAGTTCATTTTCTAAAATATTTGTCATCATGTGTATTTTATCAAGTCCAAGCCAATATTCTCCGCTCAAGTTACCAAAACCTTGTTTGTAATCTTGCCATCCTCGGTAGAAGTCAACACTTCCATCAAGACGACGTTGAAATACAGTCCATCCTCCACCTGATGTTGTCATATCACAAAACACTTTGAAACTTCCCTTTCCGTCTGGGTCAATTTCATAAATTCCACTGTCTTTTATTCCTTTATGATAAATATCAGCGCAGACGTAGCCTAAAATTTCAAATATTTTCAGGTAAACTCCATGTGACGATCATCAATTTCTGAAAAGTTATTTCTTGTTAAGGAGTGGAATATAAATGAAGCATATGTGTTGTAAGTTTAATCCTTCCTTATCAAACCTTCTTGTTGTGTTCATGTTCCAATACCGTGTTTCTTCAACTAAGCAGCAAAATATTAAGTGGGATTAAATTTTCTTTTTTATTTCCAATTTATTAAAACAAACCTGCTATAATTTCATCGAAAGTGTTAACAAAACAGGTGGCATTGAACTCCTAGAACAGACAAAAATATTACTTGTAATAACCACTCTAAACGTTTTCAAACGAAACGTTTACTATGAAGAAAGATTTTCTTCTAATGGAAATATTTTACAGCATTTAAATGCGAAATTGTAATTTAGGGATTTGCGGTGCTGTGTGACCTTACCAAATTTCACGATGAAGATACCCATTTTTCCCATACCCAAGTATTGGGCCATATTTTTTAAGCAGAGAGCTTTTTCCTGACTGATTTAAAGAATATTTGCAGCTTAACCCTACTTTCCATACCCGTATATACAAAGCCTGATAAATTTCTTTTGTTTTGCTCTGACAACATTCTGTTGCCTGGAATAATGATATGGCACGACCATGGTTTAAAAACTCCATATTTTAGGCATAAGTAGGCATATATTTTTATAGCGGGACTATGCCGTTGGGCTGGATACGCTACTGTTGATGCTGCATTATTTTGACCAATAGCAAAGCATTTTTAAAACAAACTTTTTACCTTTGCAGGTTAATTTTCGCCACGCCCCTTATTATATGATATTAGGGACTCATACAATATGGAACACGGGACTCATACAATATGTTAAAACATCTGTTATAATATGAAGTGATACCTTTTGTGGGTTAACAAGATAAACATAATCATAGGAGGAATTCTTCTCCAGTAATCTCTCAGATGTATTGTAAACCACGTTGTGTAACATTTCACAATTTGAATCATTTTTTGAAGTCCATTTCTTCTTGAAATTGATAGATCTACAACATATCTCAGTTGCACACTCCATTACGCAATCTATCCATTCAGAAACGACATTTGTCTTAACAACTGGTGCATTTAGTCTGAATCCTAGATAGAGTGAAAAGTGTCGTCGTAATCGCTTTCCTAAGTTGGGATTTAGAACTATTGTATGAATTTGTTATAAGTAAGTGACTTACTTTGTAGGTACGCCACGTAAATATTTAATACTAGAGAGCTTAAGATACCCCGGTTTTGGTCTACGGGTACGGGTAGCGCCATCTTGTTTTGGAATTTTTGCAGATGTCAGCATTTTTAAACGTATTTGTACCCGTTTTCCCGCCGTAAACCAAGGTCTACAAGCACGTAAGACAATATACGGGTGAATGTTGGAGAGTTTTAACAGTTTTAAGAGGAAAATGGAGAAGCGGGTAAGGCCTGTATTCAAAAGCCTCACTCACACTCATCGAGTATGACATATAAACTTTGTTAATGCTGATGAAAAAGAAAGTTTTCTCGGAATAGATGAAAAGATATAAGGTAAATCATTGAGAATCAAGCCTCTATTCGGCTGGAAATACCGCCATTGAAACGTTCTGAGAAGATTAACATCTTCCACTCAATGAGTTTGAGTGTGAGTGAGCTTTTAGAATACAGGCGTAAGTGTCTATTCGTATATCTAACAACCAATTGCACAACCAGGTTGTTTTTTAAGACATCTCATTTTCATCAAATATGCATGATATCAATATGCTGTTGTTTCGAAAAAAAAAAGGAAGTATTCAGTTGGTTCTCGTGTATATAGACGACAAAACAATAACTAAAACGTTGTAACTATTTTGCTTATCACCTTTTAAAAATGCTCGGAACTCTTACCCGCTACATACATTACCGGTACATTACCCGTATACCGGAACCGGGGTATCTTAACCTCTCTATTGCAAAGCTTTTGGTCCGTTAGCCCGGGCTTTCATCTGTGCAATCACCTCAATAAATTTTGCAAGCCTAGTTTGTTGATGGGCAAAAAGAACGATGAGTTTTTTTCGTCAATTCAGCCACTCAGATAAAGCCTCATATGCGTCACATGTTACAGGCGAAAAGGAAAGGCCTAAAGATTCAATGCTAAAAAAAGCCATTCGATTAAATGAACAAATATTAACTTATGCTGGATTTCTACTTTCAGGAAAATAGTTCGCTACACAGTATTTGCGTACTTTCCATAGAATTAAAAAACTGACTGTTCTTAATTCAAAAGAAAATAATGTGCAAATATTTATAAACTATTTATCTGTAATTCGAAATCCACCCTTACCTTCGAGACTGGAATTGTAGCAAATGTTGACAAAAGCTTCGTTTGACTCGGAGTTTGCCACAATTGTTATGAATTGTATAAATATTTGAATGAAATTCTTCTTATTCATTGTTCTTTACACTGTCTTTGTTCACCGTTTTACTAACATTGAAAAAAATTCAGATAAATTGAAAGAATGATGCTGAAAAATGCTGCGGAAGAAGAAAAAGTAGGCGAGAGAAAAGGGTTTAGTGGAGGTTCAAGTGTTAGCGTTAGTAGAACATTAATAATACAGTAGGTTACTACTTCTTGTTTTTCAATTCACCTCGAGTACGTCATGCAAGACTTTGCACAAAAAAAAGCTGTTTTTGAGTTAAGATCAGGACCTTTTTCAGTTAAGATCAAGACCAAGATTTTATATGAAAAAACTGACCAAATTTTGACCCGTCACTTATGCACACGCACTTAACTATATAAGCCATAACAGACATGTTCGTATAGTTATATTATTTGTCTCACATACAGCGCCAGCAGTTAGTAAGTACAGCTTGCATGCAAACACTCATAAATGTCTGAAACTAATAATTCATTATATTTCTGAATTGCATACTAAGAAAACGAAAATAGTTAATATATAGCTAGTGATTGCATGTAGTTTCGGCTTTTTTTTAATTTAGTTGAGTGCAGTTTTTCTTCACGGAAATAATCTACACATATATTAAGTCATATAATTATACCTAGCCGAAAAACTTTGATTATTAAAACGACTTACCAAAATAAATTGACAGTCACGATTTGTAAGCAATAGAAGTTCTCTACGATGTTTTACAAAACTGGAGACCCTCGTACGTGTCAGGTAATACACTTTTTATACAATGCGGGCCCCCACTTATTAAATATTAACAATTCTATTCTTGGAGGTAATTAACTGCTACTCTAAAATACTATCTAAAGATGTGTTTCATTATTATTATATTTGCTTTAACCAAAGCGCGTCGTAGCACGAATATGAGATAAAAAAATTATAGTACATCGTTTGATTTTGACGTTGAGGAGAATTTAAAGTTACGTGCTATGGCAAAATTCAAGGCCACAAAGCAGCATGCATTATAATTGTCGAATTTACAATGAAATATTTCGAGCGTGCTATATTTTTGCGTTTGAAAGCTAAGGTCGAACAATTTTCTCAAATCATTTTTTTCAATTTGACATTGCTTAAGTATTGTAGAATTTCCATAAAATATTTTATCATTCTTACCGGCTATGTCTTATGCGTTATACCGGCATTCGGTGATATATTATTCACACTGAATGAAGTGCCTCATTTGTTATTTTGAATAGCTTTCTTCGCCGGCCACCAGCCAACAAAAATGCTTGGCAGACTGGGGGGCATTAAATAAAAACGACGTATTGGATATTGCATGGGCATTGACTTGTTTGAAGATTCGCTAATTGTAAAAAACTTGCTTTTTATCTCAGACAAGCGATGTTTGTTGAAAGATACAACTTTCTTCTTCTTTTTAAACAAAGTTATTTACAACCTGAAGGCATCTTTATTAGAGCGGTAAAAAGCCCGTCAGGGAGGGGAGTGGGGGCGAAGAAGGGACTGCATGGGGGCATTCCCAATCCTCAAGTTTTATAGTTAAAGAAAGCTTGATGACCACACTGCGTTGTGTATATCTGTGAGGCCGGCTAATGCAATATAATATATGTCATTCTTATGTTGTTGGAAGGTAATAATTATGATGTAAAGGCCGTCATAAAAAGACAATTTCATAATATCGTTTGGTTTACGAGGCCTGATGTATGCACTGGAGTTCTTACTTTATATCATCATGCATTTTATCCTCAATCTTATTGAGTAATATACCGCCAACATCAAGTCATCAACGAAGTGATGCACAGAATAACTGTCTACCCTAGTTGACAGTATTCCCTTGTATGTATAGCCTCATAATGTAAGTTTCAATTGTTCATTTCCAATGCCAGATGACGTTGCAATTAAGTCCAAATATCGATCAACGCATGCAACATTACAATTCTTTTCTTCTGTCAATAGCTCATATCTTAGGTTAAGTTTTTATTTGTTTGCAATTTAACAGTCATTTTTAAAACAATTGTACATTTATAAAAATTACAATAAATGAAATAAAATGCGAAAAGAATGTAACAGATTAAAGATAATATTTGAAGAGCATTGGAAATATTGTCACTGTTTTGATGTTTCCCTGACTCTGAAGCATCAAAGGTGGAAATTTCGACAATTAATTATGCTGATAAAATCCCGAAAACGCCTGCAGAAAACGATTTCGCTATGACACTAGACATCATTGACTCATTCCATAACGTGAACGTATAATTACGGCTAATATTGGTCTGGCTAACCTAGAAGATTATTTAATTGGTTATAGATGTGGGAAGCGGTGCCGCATGCATGTATTTCTAAAACAAACATGTTGCGTGTTAGTGCACTGCAATTTTTTTGATGTATATCATATAGGGTCTAAACCTTATTTCTTTATTGTTCAACAACTTTATTTCCTCTTTCCAAATTCACGTGGTCGTATCTTCATCGATGTTGATTTCAGAGAATAATCATATCCTTTCCAATGGTACCAGTTGATTCCAACAGCCCACGATGTGTGATTGCCATAATGATACAAACCATTCAAATTGGAATGATGACAATGCCAATACCACCAGGCTCCTTTGAATCTCACTGCACAGTTGTATCCCGCAATATCATTGTCAGAATCTTTGGTGGTGAAAGCCATACGGTTTTCTCTTTTCAACGAGTTCCCTGCTGTACCTTAATGCAAAAGTATATGGCCTGTTAAAAATTTAAATTAGGTTAAATCAAATTAAAACTAAATGTATAGATAAATAGAGAATATTAGGGAATCACTAAATTCGCAGGTCTTAATTCCGGAAGAGATTATATAGTAGAGTCATAATGCTCCAACTGCATCCATATGTGTAGAAACGTCTACTGTATTTAAGCTTTTGACAAGTAACTGCATAATATACTCGACAATGGTAAAGAGAGCTGGGTTTTTCTCCCAGTGAGAGTCTTACCATGATAACCTCCAACATTCAACTTGTATTTCTCTCTTTCACTGCTGACTTTAAATGAATCATAATGAGCGTAACTGGTGTTCCCAGATGTATCTTCCATGTCGATACGAAGTTCATTTTGTAAAATATTTGTCATCATGTGTATTTTTTCAAGACCAAGCCAATATTCTCCGCTCAAGTTACCAAAACCATGTTTGTAATCTTGCCATCCTCGGTAGAAGTCAACACTTCCATCAAGACGACGTTGAAATACAGTCCATCCTCCACCTGATGTTGTCATATCACAAAACACTTTGAAACTTCCCTTTCCGTCGGGATTAATTTCATAAATTCCACTTTGGGTATTTCCCTTTTCATACAAATCAGCGCAGTGGAGACCTAAAAAATATCATGGATTTATATTACAACTTAGTGGTTTTTGCAAACGGGTAAATAACCGCTTGCAGTTTTTCCCGTGGTAATAAATTTTTTCTCGGTTTCAGCTATCAGATTAATTTTTGTCACACTTGCAAAATTCGTAACAATATTTCTCTAAGAGAATAAGAAAATTAGTACAATTGCTAAGTTTAAATTCGCCAGGGGGATTAAATGGTTATCAGAAGGCAGGTTCCCTCATGACCCAAAATTTTTTAATTGTTACAATTGCCATTTATGTGCGAAAAGAGACCTTTTCTGTGTTGACAAGCGCCGTGTTTTTAGATCTATAAGCCTATGTAGCAACCAATCATTTCCTAACCATTACAGCGTCTTTTAGCCTTCTAAACACATTGGCGTACGCCTATTTTCGCACGCTATTTACAGTTCGGTAATTATTGTTCAACAGAAAAAATTCCCTTTCGTTTTTTAAACACAGTGGAAGGTTGAAAATTCCCTACATTTTCTTTTAAACGCTTCTTTCTCACATAACAAAATAAGAGAAGATTAAATTATTTTTGAAAGTTCGTCAATATTTAAGTAAAATTGAAACATTGGCGTGTCCGTTTGTATCTTGATTGTGTTTTCTTAAGATTACATCTCGCAGTTTCCGTTTTTTTCATGTTCTGATATGGTTCGTGAATCATGAATTTTAAGTTTTTCTTCTTTAGCAATTGAACCAAAACCCTGACAACTCGTGTAAAAGACAAAAAATTGTATGTCAACAATTCTAAACTTCAAATCGTTATTGTTGAGGAAAACAAAAACTAAAGCAAGCAAACCATCCATGCATATACGCATTTTATAGCTGCCCTTTTAATTGACTGAAAAGCTTCTCTGGAAACTTGTGCCCCTCAAAGAAAAAAATTGAGATGCTTCTTCCTATGCCCCCGTAAGATATAATTATATGCATTTTGTGGAACTTTACTCGAGGAAGAATAATTTAAAAAAAGCTTTAACATTTTAATTTTGATTAAAACGATAATCGGAATGTTCTGAAATTCAAAATTATGATATTTGTGATAATTCTAAAGCAAATTACCTGATTTCTTGGTAAGATTTTCTTTTTTAACTTCACTCTTTCCCTATAAAATTGATTACAACAATACCGAAATTAATTAAATATTGATTCTAACCCTTTTACATCAATCATTATATCACTACATTATATACACTAATACAATAGTAGTATGAAAATTACGACTTTATATTTATAACATCTTTATTCTTTATAATTCATAATTTCTTTATTTCTTCAATGTTCATTTCTGTTGTTATAGACAAAAGAAACATAAGATACCGTATATTTCTTATGAGAAAAAGTGGTTGTATTTTGGTACGAATACAGAGTGGTCCAAAGATCGCAGATATGGAGAAAATATTTTCATACAGTTTAATAATAACAATCTTTTTCTCCAACCTCGCAAGCCAAGCTCTTTTACCTACGCTCCTCGCGGCCCACGCTGCGGCAAAGACTCTAGTCAAGGCTGGTCACGTGATTATTTTGTTACGCTTCTCCCGTGTGGGGATGGGTGGGACACAAGTAGCGTATAAATCACACCAGTTAAAACAGCGTGTTTCTAAGGAGTGAACATTGAGCGCTGTTGTACCGCAAAGCGAAATAACCTGTGTCGTTATTGTTTTTTGACCTCTAAATTCGCTCATCAACGCCCAAATTTAGAAGATAGCACAGGCCTTCGAGTGTCTGTATTGAATATCAACTGAACTTGTGACGATACTAAAACCGATTCTATCGACGATGATACCGTCTACACATAGCACTTGAATCTAAATTCGGTTTATTGCTCTTTTTAGTTTTTTGCTGCGCCACACTAGCTGTATTTATTTAGTTTATTGCGAGAACCGCTATTTTTAGTTGCGTTAGTACAAAGTCATCTGGATTGTGACAAGTGCTAAAAATAGCAGAAATGGTATATCGACTTTGCCACTCCTCCCATGGATAAGAACTAAGCGCTGATTAAAAACCTCCCATATTTTGGGAGGTTTTGCGATGTCACATGACCAGCCTTGACCAGGGTCTTTGCCGCAGCGTGGGCCGTGGAGCGTAGGTAAAAGAGCCTGGCTTGCGAGGTTGTCTTTTCTCGTTAAATCAGAATTGAAAGTTGATTAAATGATACCTTGCTTACAGGTATGCGGATTTCTGAAATTCGTACATCAACTTGATACTTGATGCAGACAATCTAATCTTGTTCTAGTTCGCGAAAAAAAGCTGCCAAAACCGCAGTATGTTTAATGTTGGTTTTTATAATTAAAAGTTCAAATTTTGAGTTCGGACTTCGGAACATGTTTTTTAAGTTCCGCAAACAAAATCGTAAACAAATCTTGAACAACACCTTTTCTTAATTCTGAAACTAACGAAAAACAAACCCTAATTGCTTCATTTCAAATCAATGGAGGTCCAGTGACGATTTCTATTTTACTTCGTATAAACAAGCATGTTTGAAATTATTGTGGTTTGCAGTATAAAAACCGTTAAATATCACTGACTTTGTCGTTTATCAAACTTACCGCTTCAACATCTTGTATCAATATCCAATCTCCCGTTTTCGTTTCTTCTTTCTTTCTAGTAACGTTTGTCAGTTGGCAATTTTCAACATTTTTTGTTGTTCTGTAGTTGAATCCAACACATTTGTCTTCGTCTTTGCAGTGAGTGTGACATCCTAACATGACAATTGAAGATGTAACATTGTGTCTTGATATTATTTCATCTGCAGGCAATGATGGACCTCCTAAAAATGTCAACAAAATTCTTGAGAGTCAAATAATTAATGTCCAAATTTCAACTAAAATTATGTGTTTTATTCGGGACTGATTTCACCATATGAAATATTTAAATGGTGTTTCACGACAATATTTTTTCTCTTACTTTTTTCGACAATACTCACCTTGTATGATTGTGTCGTAATTCGTCGGGGAACATTGGTTTGCTGAAATGTTTCCAATAGCAAGCAACAGCAAGCTTAAGCAGGCCGCTACAAACATCGTTTAAATCGTCTCTTGTCTGACTCGGTAATTCTGGAAGATATTTTCGCAGTTATGACCAGGAAAAAGGGGAAAATGATTGTAAGATATGATGCTGGCTGTAACTCAATTAAGTTGCTATAGCGACGTAATCCACTTACATACATGCAATCATGCATAAGTAGCGAGGCGAACTGATTTTAGTTTAAAATACTGTATGATTGGGAAGAGTTTGAAGTATCCTTGACGGTTTTGAGTTAAAAGGAAAAAGGAGGGAAAAGTAATGAAATAAAACAAAAGCACTTTATTTTACTAAATTATTACTTAAGTTATTTATTGTTTTCAATTTTCAGTTCTAATGTAGCAATATACGTGCTGCGTGTTTGGGTCGGCGCTAAAACAAGTCCAAGGGATGTAAAACTTTTAAACAAGTCATTTTCAAAAACAACTCCAAACAGCATTTTTCGATGTGGTGAAGATTGAAATTTTTGATGCAATCTTTTGTACTTCATTCAGTTGAAACTGAATGTTATATCCCCGATAATGTAGTAAAACGTCCTTTAATTAAGTTAACAAGTAACAAATTATGTAGTCCACAATATTTGCGTTGTTATGGCAACAATTGCTGAACGAGATGGCTGATTAATAGTCTCATATGGTCAAACATTTTGACGGTGTAAGCTCCCATTCAAATATGCATTGCACACAAATCCCTAAAAAGTGGGTTTAGGACGTTATCCCTATTCTTTTCTATCTCCTAGCACGAAATAAATAAAATATTATTTGTTTGGTTCTTTACCCGCTTTTGTTTACATTTCAAGTGAGTTATTTCATGATTAAAACTGCGTGAAAATTTAAACCTCAACAAACGTACGTCGTAACATAGAAAATGATGAAAATAATACTCGTTTTATTTCACGATTATCACGAAAGTTAAATTTAGTAACAAAATGTGATGCAATTTTTGTGGATATTGACAGACAAACATGCATGCAAACCTCTCCATGAAGATCTATTCTCTGAGCATCTAAACACAGTGAATCATGCGCACTTTCGCTGGATAGAAGAAACAGTTATAAAACAGAACGATATTAATTTTATTAATACATGTTTAAAACAACACAAAGTTACGTCCAGAAAAGGGTGAAGGCAACCGTAACTTTCAACCCCTACAAAATCACCAACAAATTTTCCCGTCTCCTGTAAGCCGCAGGAATAGAGGCAATGCAGATAAGGCCATGCTTGAGAGACTGCATGAGACTTTTGCTTTGTCGGACGTAGGGAGAATACTTAAACGATATAAACGATATATTAACGATACTGAAATAGCAAATATTTTTCGAATGTCAGTTTAACCAATTAAGATAGAGATTAATTGAGACACGATTGAGCGAAACGTGACTGACATTCACAGTACTGTATATAGTTTGCTTAATTGATACAGTTTGTTTATTTTCTTCAATGCCTGGCGCTAGCCAACTTAGAACTCATATATTTCATACACCAAATTTCTAAACGGCTTGAAATAATCTGAGACTAAATTTAAAATAAATATTCAATGCATGCTTCATCTAAAGTAAGATCGGTTCAGTGTGGGTTGTAATTGCCCGGAAAGTTCTATTCTAAATTTAACAAGACGCCAATTCTGGCGGTAACTCCGTCGCGCCAATCGTTGCATGCAACTGTGCCCCATTTCCTGTCAATATTTATTCCTAGGGTTTCTTGTAAATAGAGCACTTCGTACAGAATATAGGGGTAAAACTGCGTTATTGGTGCTAGGCAGATGAAGATGTAGCTAACGATATACGTGAATAAGGCTGAGTTTGGAATCATGTTCTCTGGGAATCTGTTTGTACTGAAATTCAATAGTTTCAACAATTCAATTCTTTTTGAAATGTGTTTAGCACGAAAATATTTCGAGACGAAATCAAACGAAATCAAAATACGAGTATCTTAGTTGGTCTGCGCGGCAAGGAAAACCGGGTCGAAAACGTAAAAAACACGAAAACAAAACAAAACACCGACGGCAATTTTAGACTGCGTTCGCGCAGTGCGCGACGCAGTAACTACGTTCTTTGTTAATTGAGGGAAATTTAATGAAGTTGTGGTGGCCAAGCAACAAAATTTTGGCTGCCTTAGAAACAATCTCAGTGGAAGTAAATTTCAATGTTGAAATGACTTACCACAACTGTGAAATTGTATATTCGAAATTATTTCAGGACTTTATTTGAAACAGCTGGTTTGCGTAGAAACTGCATGGACGAACAGTAATGAAATACTAATTTGCATGTTAGTAGCACTCAACAGCAAATTAATTATTTAAGTGCAAGCTGCATTTTCGTAGATATTGAGAGGCAAGCATGCATGCAAACCTTTCCCGAAGCTGGATATATATTTTCTGAGCGTCTAAACACAGTGATTCATGCGCTTTGGTTACAAGAAATAGTTATCCTTGCTCGTTTATTTTTATCAAACAGAACGATATCAATTTAATTAACACATAAGCAGGAATTGAGGCAATGGGAAAAGACAAAGATATTTTTCAAATGCCAGTTTAGCCAAGATGGAGATTAATTGTGCAAAAAGATTGAGGCAAACTCGTGACTGACTTTCATTTGTCTAGCACGTAGTTTGTTTAAATGGTTATTTTTCTCTAATTCCTTGCGCTGGGCAACTTAGTGCTCTTATTTCACACATTATATTTCTAAACTGCTTTAAATAAAATAAAGCTAAGAAAAATATTCGATGCATCTTCTATAAAATAGCCTGAATTTCGTGTGCATTTCGAAGCCAATTTCTAAGAATTGCTATTTTCTAAGTTTAACTACTTTCTTTGTTAATTGAGGGATATTTCATTAAGTTTCTGCCCAAAGGGCATCTAAAACCTACAAACTCCTAAAATAACCCAACTTTTGGCCGCATTTCATGAGACAAATTTATTAGAAATAAATTTTAATGTTAAAATGACTTACCACAACTCTGATTAATATATATTGGAAATTATTTCACGACTTTATTGTCAACAGCAGGTTTGGGTAGAAACTGCATGGACGAACAGTAATAAAATACTGATATGCATTTTAGTAGCAAATAAATTATTTAAGCGCAAGCTAAATGTTAAATATTAACGTCTCTTATTTGGCAGTTTATCTGCGGCCAATTTTTCAACCCTCGTACCCAGGGCCTGTTTTCCGTTGTATGCATTGCACAATCTCATTCCCCGAACCCGCGATTCGTCTGGTGAGGAAACAAATGCTAATGTTTATTATAAGATTAAACATACTCGAGAAAGTGTATAGTCACAATAAATTCGTAATATATTGTCTAGACTTTTATACAACAATTTGCATATAATTATTTTAACACCTATGTAATCATGCGTTACTACCTATTAGTTATTCATATACATATATTATTCGCATAACAAGTTTCACGCCAGAATTGTGGAAATTTAATGCCATTGTATGAAAATGTCTATTTGAACTAATATCGTGTTTCGCACTGTAGTGTTTCACGACAATATTTTTTCTGAACAAGACGTACCTTTTATTATTGTGTCGTAATTTTTCTCGGAACATTGGTTTGCAGAAATGTTTTGAATATCAAGCAATAGCACGAACAAGGTGCCGCTGCAAACATCGTTTAAATCGTCTCTTATCCAACTCCGTAATACAGTCTGAAACTTTTTTACTAGAGATGTAACTAGGAAAAAAGACGAGTAGAAATTGATCGTGAATAATGACGTTTGCTGTATTTAATGTAAATTTTGAAAACTTCATTAAGTTAATTACTATAACATGAGCATGAGCAAGGCAACATTAAGCTATTTATTATGCCATCAATATAATAAAGTTAATGGAGAAACCTTCTTATCGAGGTGTGTCTTCGGTTTTGCCTTTGGCAAAAAAACATGTATAAGCTTGCCGTATGTCAAATATACAGTATGTCAAATATAGATTCAAGATGACATCGTAGGCGAACATTAGTTAACCTGATTCCTTGCAACCAATTAGACTCCTTTCACCTTTAGCGCGAAGAAATTGCAGAGGTTAACTGCATAAGCAAACGGCTGTAGTTTAATTTTCTCTCGAAGCACATCTGCCCATCTCGAAGGTACATTTCGAAAAATTTAAAGCCATTAACTCTCTCAAATCGAAAAATTATTTTCTTCCACCTTCCCACCGCTCAGAAAGGAAACTGAGAGACTTGTGCCAGCTGACGTATGTCTGCATGGCGGGATTTATTCCTGCCTATATTTTATTGCTTCAGTACAGCGTAATTACGTCATTACAGCTTATATATTTCGCTTCTATGCTGCGAGCAACGTCGTGCTCACAAATCATTACGTTATACCGTGTTTGTTGCGATGAAATATCGCTCATAGTATAAACAGTCTATAACAACTGTCCGTAATCTACGTCACGATATAGTGACTCCTTCACTTATATTGTCTGAATATGTGCCATTTCTGTTGCTTTAGTAATTAAATAAATAAATGAAATACAAGTTATTCATTGTTTTTTACACTGTCTTTGTCCACTGTTTTACTAACGTTGAAAAAAATTCAGAGAAATTGACAGAATGATGCAGAAAAATTATGCGGAAAAAGAAAACGTAGGCGAGAGGGAAGGGTTTAGTGAAAGTTCAAGTGTTAGCGTTAGTAGAACATTAATAATTATAATACAGTAGGTTACTACTCTTTGTTCTTCAATTCACCTCGAGTACGTCATGCTAAGACTTTGCACCAAAAATAAGGTGTTTTTGAGTTAAGATCAGGACCTTTTTGAGTTAAGATAAGGACCAGGAATTTATATGAAAAAACTGACCAAATATTTACCCGTCCGTTATGCACACGCATTTAACTACGTATATAAGCCATAACAGACATGTTCTTCATTATATTATTTGTCTCACATAGAGCGCCAGCAGTTAGTAAGTACAGCTTGCATGCAAACACTCGTAAATGTCTGAAACTAATAATTCATTTCTGAATAGCATGCTAAGAAAACGAAAATAGTTAA